TCTGTCATCCCCTTCTCCTTGTGCCCTCAATCTTTCCCAACATCAGGGTCTTTTCCAGGGAGTCTTCTCTTCTCATGAGGTAGCCAAAGTATTGGAGCCTCAGCTTCACGATCTGTCCTTCCAGTGAGCACTCAGGGCTGATTTCCTGAAGAATGGATACGTTTGATCTTCTTGCAGTCAATGGGACTCTCAAGAGTCTCCTCCAGCACCATAATTCAAAGCATCAATTCTTCGGCGATCAAATAAATACATGTACACAAATGTTAAGACAGCAATAACACATAGTCTATCCATTCACAGCTGGTGAGGTTCATTTTATTTGTTAATTAATACAATACAGTGTAGGATGCTTATGTTTTTCCTTATTTTTTAAAGCCAAAGGCGTTCACTCTCAAAGAATTCTCCTTCATGTTAGCAGACACAGACCTAAAGGGATGGGTGGATAAAATCTTAAGCCATTGAGAATCTTTCAGTTTGCTTATAGGGTCCATCTCTCACACCAGTTTCAAAGTAGTAAGTGAATAGAACTGGGATTGTATCAGTAGGCAATATATCACACAGGCCCTGCCTTTCTGGGAGCTTGCTAAAGTTAGATGTTCATAAAGTGTCATGACTCTGTGGCTACCCCATGCCAATCTATGCCTGAACCTTTCAAGTGTTCCAGGAGTTGTGGTTATGTAAGTGGCACATCGTTTTCATAAAAGTCTTGCAGGCGATGGAGCCCTGCTTTGGAAAGAATAGTAGATACTGCTAAGTTATCTTGAAATTGTGGTATATAAGGAAGCAGGATTTAGGGTGAGGAAGCTCGTTTCTTATACCATTTGCTCCACACCTCTATAGTACCACCTGTTAAAGAGTTATGTTCTTTATTGGAAAATAGAAAAATATATATACCTAGTATAAAATTGTAAGTGCACAAGGTAAAATAAGACATGAAAAGAATAGCAATTGTTAAGACACCTGTGTAAAAAAGAAAGAAAAGGGCGGGGGGGGACTTACAAATGTGCAAGGTTATTCTTGTACTTAACCTAATATCAAGTCTCAGAACACTTAACAAACTAGTCCCTGGGATTCTTTGGTGGAAGGCGTGATTGTTTAAAGTGGTATGGTTACAAACTTTGTTGAAAAAGTTAAAAACAATTATCAAGCATAGAGTGTTGTCTTCCAGGACAAATACATGCACAGATGTTAAGTACTGTATTGTGTGCAGTCATCCACACTGCATCAAAACAGACTTGGAAAATCTTTTACATTACAGATTAAGCTCACATCCACAGGGTATACTTCAGTCTAGAGATTTAAGATAATTTCTCCATGGTGACAGAGATGGAAGGGAGATTACTATTATTAATAAATGATATAATTAACTACATTTCCCAGGATTCTTCAGGGGAAGCCAGGGCAGTTAAAAGTGGTATAATACTGCTTTAAATGATGGGGACCTTAAATGCGCAAAAAACACACAACCCTGGTCTATAATGTATTTCTTTTATATATATGTGGTGCCTTTCTGCTTAGGTACCAAAGGCAGTTCACAATTGTAAAACACTAAAACAAAAAACAAAAAATCCTATAAAATGGAGAGTGGCCAAAGTCTCTCAGGTCAACTGAAAGCTGATGGTAGGTTCTTCCTCCCCTGGGCTCATCACTTCTGCCTTCCCTCAGGTCGCACAGGTCTTAAGTAGCCCCGGGGAATAGTACTGGTGCCCAAATAGTTCCCTCAGACCATTGATGGTCCTTACAAGGAGCTGACGGCATGTGCTTCTTGGCCTGAGCTTCCTCAGAGCTATATCTCCTTGAGTACTAAGAAAAAAGAAAAAGTGGTATCTTCACAAACAGGAGGACAAGTTTGAGGGGAAATATGTGACCCATGCACATGACATGAGGAACCAAGTTAAAATGAATTGTAACGAAAGGCCCTCAGGCTACTCAATCCTCAAACAAGTGACGCACAAGATTTGGTGACTCCCCACATATTTCCCCACATATTCTTTTAGTCTGGTTTTAGCTAGGGCTTTTTTTTCAGCCGGAACTGAGTTCCAGCACCTCTCAGGTGGGCACCATTCCCATTCTAAGAGAATGAGGGAGGTGTTCATGGTGAGTTCTCACACCTCTTTTTTTTTTAAAAAAAAGAAAGAAAAATAGCATTGGTTTTAGCCATTAGCCATAACCAGTGCTTTTTCTGTGACCAGTACTCACTGGTACCGAGTCGCCTATTGCTTTTGCTGCCCATGTCAACTATGTTGTGTTGACGCCTGTAATGCTTTTATCAAGCTATGAGCCCTGGCACCTCATTATTATTATTTAACCAGAAAGGCACTTGCCATAACAATATACTGCTGCACTCTCCCAGAGTTAGGAAGCTTCTGCTTTTGATTAGCCACATTTATTCATGTCGTCCAGACATGCAAATTATGGTTAGGTGCAAAGGACTCTTCCTTCTTGAAATATACTCAGAGTCGCAAAGTGATTTCATGCTCTTTATTCAGCTCATAGTGGTTAGGAGGAATGAATGAAAGACCCCTCAAGGTATCTGCTTTATATACATTATTTACACAATGGGCTGCACGTGATTGGCTAATTCCGGAATTCTACTGTAAGCCAATCAGGTTGTGGATTCACTTCTATCTGGAGCATGATTGGGTGGTTCCTGCCAACCAATCATACTGCTGCATTGTTCTAGGACCAATCAGACTGCTGCATTCTGAATCCTATTGTTCTAGGACCAATCAGACTGCTGCATTTTGGATCCTATTCAACTCAGTACATAACACCCCTCCCCTCTAAGTTCCAGTCCTGCCCGGGAGGTCACATTCATAGTCCTCGAGGTACGCCGGCGGCCTACGTGTGCGTTGTGGCCTGGGGTGTTCCCTGGTCCGGGGTTCAGGTTCTGGCTCATGTTCCAAGGATGCTGGCTGTGATAGGGCTGTTTGGTCTGGCGCAACCGGCTCGCTCAGTCGTGGTTCTGGTTCCGGTGTCCTTTCGGCCTCGCGGGTCCTCTCTGTATTTACTGATTCTGCCTCTCCTGCTGGCCCCTCCTGCGCTATGGGCCTCACTGCCCCACTGTTCCCTTGGGACTCCTCTGACCTGTCCTTCTCCTGGTTTTCTCCCGGGAATCGTCGCCATATCTGGTCGCAGTGGCGGCGCCAGCATTGTCCCCCATCTGTTAGCACCTTGTACGACACGGGGCCAGTGACCCTGGTGACTGTGGTGGGTACCCATGCTGGGCCTGCCCCAAAATTCTTTGCGTACACTGGGTCCTGGGCCTCGAAGGTCCGGGGGTTCCTGCCTTCCCCCACCACTACCTCATCCTGAGCTCTATCGGGGTGAAGGTGGTCCAATCTGATTGCAAGGCGCCGACCCATTAGTAGTTCAGCAGGGCTCCGGCCAGTCGTTGAGCTGAGGGTGCTGTGCTGTGCTAGAAGGAATGTGGCAAGGCGGTACTCCCAATCCCCTTGCGTCATGCGGCGAAGGGTGTCCTTGGTGGTCCGCACCATGCGTTCTGCTTGGCCATTGGTGGCAGGGTGGAATGGCGCCGAACGGATGTGGCGGATGGCGTTCTGCGCTGTGAAGGTTTGGAATTCTCCTGACGTAAATGCAGTCCCGTTGTCTGAGATGAGAGTGTCAGGGAGCCCTGACCATGGTGCTCGGGCGGACTCCCAGGACTGGACTGGGGCCCTTGGGGGATCTGGGCGGGATTCTTGGCAGGCCTGGCAGTGTTTGACCCAGATCTCTATCTCTCCGTCGATCCCCGGCCACCACACATAACTCCTGGCAAGGGCCTTCATTCTTACCACCCCTGGGTGTGTCTCGTGTGGGGCTGTGAGGACCCTTTTGCGGAGGGGCTGGGGAACAACAACCCTGCTTCCCCATAACAGGCACCCCTTGTGGGCCGACAGTTCCTGTTTGCGGGTTGTGTAGCCGGCGAATTCTGGCCCAGGGCTGCTGCTGGGCCATCCCCTCCACACCCAGTCCAGGACTCGGGAGATGACCCTATCTTTCTTGGAACGGTGTGCAACTTCTTGTGCCTGAATGGGGCGGTCGGGAAGCAGCTCCAGGCTCATAACCTCTTGTGCAGGTGCTGGGTCGGGGCCTGTTTCTGGTAGTGGTAGCCTGCTGAGGGCGTCCGCATGGCCCATCGCCTTCCCAGGGCGGTGAATCAGTGCATACTGGTAGCTGGCAAGGAAAATTGACCACCTGAGGACACGAGGAGACAGCACTTGGGGGGTCTGCTTTTCGGGGGCAAACAAGCCAAGCAACGGCTTGTGGTCAGTCACCACGGTGAAGGGCCGCCCATACAAGAAATCATGGAATTTTTTTACTCCCTTCACGATTGCCAGACCCTCCTTGTCTATTTGTTAGTAGTTCTGCTCGGTTGCATTGAGTGTCTGGGAAAAGTATGCCACCGGTACCTCTCTTCCATCCGGGAGTTGGTGTCCCAGGACAGCGCCAATGCCATAGGGCGAGGCGTCGCATGCTAGCACCACCGGCAGCCTCTCGTCGAAGTGTGCCAAGACCGAGTTTGAGACAAGCAAGTCCTTGACTGCCTGGAATGCGGCCTCCTGGCGCTGGCCCCACACCCAAGGGGCCCGCTTGTCCAGGAGTCTGTGTAGGGGCTCCGCTACTGCCGCCTTGTGTGGAAGGAAGGAATGGTAAAAGTTCAATAGTCCCAAGAAGGCCTGAAGTTCAGTCTTGCTCTTGGGTGCTGGGGCATCCCAAATGGCCCGTACCTTCTCCCCAGTCGGGTGGACCCCTTCTGCGTCCATAAATCCCAGAAAGTCCACCTGAGGCACTCCTAGTAGACATTTTCCCCACTTCACCTTGAGACCCGCCGTCTGGAAACGGTGCAGAATGGTGCGGAGGCAGTCCTCAAACTCCTTTGGTGTGGGCCTGGCAATCAACACATCATCGAAGAAGGGGGTGACGCCAGGAATCCCTTTAAGGAGAGAGTCCATTAGATTCTGGAATATGCCTGGTGCCACACTGACACCGAATTGCAGCCGCTTTACCCTGAATGCTCCTCTGTGCGTCACAGTCGTCTGTGCCTCTGCTGTGGCCTCATCTACTGGCAGCTGTTGAGATGCTTGGGCCAAGTCCAGCTTGCCAAAAATTTTCGACCCAGCCAGGGTGGCAAGGACATGGCTGACCACTGGCACTGGGTATGCATGGGCCGTGAGGGCCTTGTTTATGGTACATTTGTAATCTGCGCAGATGCGGACCGAACCATTAGGCTTGACGGGTGTGACGATTGGGGTTTCCCAAGCGGCATTAGGCACCGGCTCCAGCACTCCTTGCTCCACGAGCTGGTCCAATTCCTCATCTATACGGGGTTTCAGGGCGAACCGGACCCGGCGGGCCTTGAGCCTGACCGGTCGTACTGCAGGGTCAAGCTGTAGAGCAATGGGGGGCCCCGTATACTGTCCCAATTTCCCATCGAAAAGCCCCGGAAATTCCTTGCATATGGCGTCCATGTCCACTTGTAAGCTAGTGTGGTTCACCCCGGTGACGGCTAGCCCCAGTGGTCCAAACCATGCCAATCCCAGTAAGCTAATGTAGGGGCCCTTGACTACAAGCAAGTCCAGTTGCCGCGTCCGCCCTCGGTATTGCACCCTGAAGGTCCCCACCCCCATTGTGGGGACCTTACATTTCTGGAAGTCCCGGAGGGTGAATGGGGCCGGCCTGAGTTTGGGACCCCCAGTAGGACACAGTTTCCTTAAGGTCCTTGCCAAGATTATGGATAGAGTTGAACCCGTGTCAAGCTCCATGCGGCATGGGCCCCCCTCTATCTGTACCTCTACATAAATTTTCTCTATGTTGGGGTGGGGCAACTGGTATACCTGGAAGTCCGTGAGCTCCGTCGAGTTGCCTTGGTGTGTTGGGCCCCGGGACCTGGGGCTCTTGGATTGGTCATCTGATGCCTGGCATCGGGTGGACCGAGCTCGACACACCCGGGCGATGTGTCCCGATTTTCTGCACTGCCTGCACTCTGCGTTGCGGAAACGGCAGGTCCTCCTCTCATAACTTTCCCCGCAGCTTGCGCAGTTCCCTCCTTCTTGTTGAAGCAGCTGTGGTATGTGGGCTGCTTGAGTGCGCTGCTGTACTCGGTGCACCTCCTCCCTGTCGGATCCTGAGTCGTCGGTGAGGTCTTCATGGTGGACCCTCGGTTGGGACGGCAGGCTTGGCCGTGCCTCTTGCGTCGACCTCTTGGCAGCTTCCGTTGCCAGGGCCTCCTCCAGAGCAACCTGGAACGTTAGGTCCTTCTTAGCGTAGAGGCGTCGTTGCAGCTTCTGATCCTTCAGGCCACCAGCGAGACGGTCACGAAGCATGTTCTCCAGCTCTGAGAAGTTGCAGGATCAGGCGGCTTGGTGGAGAGAGGTCACAAACCCAGTTATGGTTTCCCCAGGGGCTTGCCGCGTTGCGTAGAAGGCATTTCGACGAGCCACCACTGAGGGCTGCAGCGAAAAGTGCCCCTTCAGCTGTTCCATTATTGTTTTGTATGGAACAGTAGCGACGTCTTCAGGCGCAAGGAGAGCCCGGGCGATTTCAAATGTCTCCTCTCCGCAGACGCTGAAGAATATCGCCCTCTTCTTGGCGTCTTCTTCGTCGGTGACCCCTTTGGCTTCTAGGAGGAAGGTGAAACGGGAGGCGTACGCTTCCCAGTCTCCAGATGCTGGGTTGAACGGCGAGAAGCTGCTGTCGGTTGCCATTCTGAGTTCCTTGTGTCCCGGAGCTGAAGCCTGGATACACGGTGCGAGGCAGCGGTGCGGCAGGTGGCAGTGCTGCGGTGCTGTGTGTGGCAGTCAGCTCAGCGGGATCCCATCCTCGTCGCCAGTGAAATATACTCAGAGTCGCAAAGTGATTTCATGCTCTTTATTCAGCTCATAGTGATGAGGAGGAATGAATGAAAGTCCCCTCAAAGTATCTGCTTTATATACATTATTTACACAATGGGCTGCACGTGATTGGCTAATTCCAGAATTCTACTATAAGCCAATCAGGTTGTGGATTCACTTCTATCTGGAGCATGATTGGGTGGTTCCTGCCAACCAATCATACTGTTGCATTGTTCTAGGACCAATCAGACTGCTGCATTCTGAATCCTATTGTTCTAGGACCAACCAGACTGCTGCAGTTTGGATTCTATTCAACTCAGTACATAACACTTCTCCTTAATTAAACCTTTGATCCACCCACTGCTGTTTACACCGAGGGGCAAATGCTCTCCTGGAGATGGCAGGAATTAAACTTTCACATGCGAAGCATGTGCACAGTCCTCCTTATGAACATTATAAAACAAGCCAGCTTCAGTAGCTATGGTTTCAAGTCGACTTGTTTGAAGGTAATCATAGTCAGGGATTTTTCATCCAGAACTCACCAGAACTCATTTCTGGCACTTCTTTTTCTAGAAAAATATCGCTGATCATAGTTAATGTTAACTGTAGTCTATACATCATCATTATCAGCCATCGTAGTAGCAGCGTTTTTCTTTCATAGTTCACTCTGAAAGAAAAAAGGCCTCCCAGAGCAGTTTGCATCTATCAGTGATGAGGCAGTCCCTGCCCTCAGGCTCATAATCGAAGATACATAGCACACAAGGAAAGGTGGGGAGGAGGGGAATAGCAAGTACAGAAAACGAGTTCAGGCACTAGTTCGTAGTAACAGATGTCTTGTCGCAACCAGCTGGAATGGAGAGATTTGAAGAGGAGGAGCCAAACATTGCTGACTGGTTGAAGGGTAGGCTCTGCTGTTCCATCTCTTCCTCTCCTGTAGCCTGATGGAATGAGTGCCATTGGCAGATGACAACTGAGGGAAGGGTCTGATGAAGATGGTCTCTTAGCAGAGCTGATGGAGGTGCCCTGCAGCCCTAATCTGGAAAAAAAACTGTAGTTAAGCAAAAGCCCTTTTATGTACAGGAACTGATCTTTGAAACAGAAGTGTGATTTCTACATAGGCAGCTGCCCAAATTTTCAGAGTGTGTCAAATAGCTAGAACAGCGGTTCCCATCTGGTGGTCCATGGATCCCATTCACATAACAAAAACTACAACAGGAATATCAAAAGTTTCAAAAGTAGGAAGTCCGCAGTATTTAGCTAATTGGGAACCACTGATCTAGAGCATCTTTGACAGATGTTCATTTGGCTTTTTTATATACTGTATATAAAAATCTCCAAGGTAGAGGATTCCACACATTTCTCAGACAAAGCTGGACATGAGCACATCAGTCTGTACCCTGTTGAAAGAGCAACCCAGCGGTAACAGTAACCTCTGCTCCTCCATAATAACTCACAGAGCCAATTGTAATTTCTGGTTTTCTCCCTTGTTTGCATTTCCTGGGTGATTCCTACGCAAAGGTGTGTTACTGCCAGCTCCTCGGAACATCACGATCCTGTCCACTAATATGAAGCACTTTCTAGTATGGAGCCCGGTGACGGTGCCTGGAGCAGCTGTAAAATATTCCGTCGAATTTCAAGGGTAACTTTTCTTCACATTGAGTCTAAACATGGAGTAAATATCACTGCTGACCTTTCTTTTTTCTTTTTAGGCAAGTATGTAAAGGACAAGACAGAAGAGTCTTAAATTATGCATGGTGTGAGGAAATGGATAATTAGAACACGGGGTTGAGATCATCCAATTAAGCTGAAGGGAATTTATTCACACCATTCAGTATTAAACTATGGTGTCCAAAATATATAGTTGATGTTTTTAAAAGGGTAATAATAATAATAATTTTTTATTTATGCCCCGCCCTTCCCAGTTCAAAAACCGGGCTCAGGGTGGCTAACAACAAATTTAAAACACTTTAAAACACTTACCCTAATTATAAAAGCAGCATAAAATGGTATAAAAACATGAATAACAATAAAAATCAAAAATCAATCAGATAATCCCCATTAGGCAAATTCTGTTGCTAGTCATGATGGCAGAATGCCTCTGAATATCAGATGCTGGAAGACAACAGTGGGATAGCCCTATTGCCCTCATGCCCTTGTTGTGGGCTTCCTGTAGGCATAAGGTTAGCCACTGTTAGGAGCAAGAACCTAGACTGGATAGGCCTTTGGTCTGACCCAGCCGGGATCTTATGACCCAAGCCAATGCAAGCTGTTGAGGGCCTATCCTGCTCCTTTGGCTGAGCTCTTGCAAAATTTCCTCACAGACTGGAGCATGTAGTAGGACCTAGGCCCAACCCACACATTCAGCCAAATAATGTGGTAAATATCCTGAGGTGGTCAAGTTAACACAGCCACGTCATTCTTTTTCTCAATAAGGATCTAAACTGGTTTCTTTTGGGGGTGAGGGAATGCATCAAAATGCATTATTTCAGAAGAAACAACAGGATAGATTTGGATTGTGGCTGTTGTGGTGTGTACTCTGGTTTCTAAGTGGGAATGTACTGAATGCAGAGTAAATGGGGTTGTGCACACAGCCTATGGTTCCAGACTATAAATAAGATGCCTTTGAATGTTCCCAAGCGTTAAAAACAAAACAAAACTCCTGCAAGTGAGAAAAAAGTAGAACATTGCGGAAAGAGGTTCTAGCCCAGCTTGCTCCCTCTTCCAGGTTTCTGCTTGCAAAGTAGCATTCAAAAATGTTATTATCCACTTCCAGTTTGGAGCAATACAACCCTTTCTGTCCCCACATAACCCTAATGTGACATTCTGATGCATGTCTTTGGGCCCAAGCCATAGTTATTAAGTGGCGTTGCAGTAAACTAGCCCATGTGAGAAGGTTGGAAAGAATTGTATCTGCTACCAGACATGTCTGCCCTTGTGGGACTATTCACGTTGCAACACATGTGTGTGAGGGTTCCTAACAAATATTCTTTAAAAAGTGCACAGAATATTTGCTTCGGGGTGGGGCGGGTCACCCTCAAGTGTACAGTGCGTAATTTGTACTGTGCTTTGATCTCTGTCTTCTATAACTCAACTGAGTAACACACTTTGCATACAGAAGGCTCCAGGTTCAATCATTTCCAGGTTTCTTCCTGGAGCGCCGCCGCCAATAAGCATCAACATTATTGAGTGAAGTAGGTCAGTGGCCCAATCGACTTCTTCAGTTGGCGGAATTGGCAATACTACAGTGCCACATAATACCTGTTCTTCATTTGTAATAACTCAATTGTTTAATGTGGCAGCACCTACAAAACTCTCTGCCTATTGATATCAAGCAGATGCCTTCACTGTACTATTTTTGGCACCTGCTAAAAACATTCATGTTTAGACAGGCCTACCCAGATGCTTAGAAGGTTGAGGTAATTTTAATATCTGTTTTAGTAGGTTAACTTCACTGTTTCATCTTTTGTAAACCGCTTTGAGGTTTTCTTTACAATCAAGCGGTGTACAAAATTTATGTAATAAATGAGTAAGAACCACTGCCTTCAGCAAAGCGTGTTGCAATCTTTCCCCTAATTTTTCTTCTTCTTCCCCTCAGAGAATATGAGAGAGACTATGCCAACGACAGCTGGATTCCCATTGGAGAGTGTACAGGCATTAGTGTTACTCAGTGTGACATCACAGAAGACATTTCTGCCACTGTGCCGTACGATCTACGTGTCAGGGCAGGTGTGGGGACCCAGGCTTCGCACTGGGCCACTCTCAGCAGCTTCTTCAATCGTGTCACAAGTAAGTGCATTCACGTGCTCCTCTGTGATGCACATCTCACGCTGGGATCCTTAGGATAATGATCCCATTGGGGGACCTTGTTCCTACTGAGGTCAGTCCTGGGTGTCAGCAAACTGGCACCATTGAGCAGCTTAGCCAGGACCCAAGCAGCTTCTCCTGGAAAAGAGGAGATTGGATAGCTATCTTCAAATATCTCAAGGACTGTCACGTGGAAGAGGAAACAAGCTTGTTTTCTCCTGCTCTGGAGGGTAGGACTCAAACCAATGGCTTCAAGTTACAAAAAGGAGATTCCGACTAAACATCAGGAAAAGCTTTATGACATTAAGAGCTGTTTAACAGTGGAATGGTTTCCCTCAGAAGGTGGTGGACTCTCCTTCCTTGGAGGTTTTCAAGCAGAGGTTGGATGGCCATCTGTCTTGGATGCTTTAGCTGAGATTCCTGCATTGCATGGGGTGGACTAGATGAGGCTTGGCTTCCCTTCCAACTCTACAATTCTTTGATTCTATAAACCTGCCAGGACCCCACTGAAGCAGACTCATGCCCTGCCCTCTCCTTCTTCAAAGCTGAGGAAGGCAGCTTTGAGTTGCAGCTTTAAATTTCTCACAATGCACTGGAGCACTCGATGTACATATATCATCACTCCAGGGCACGTTGTGAAATCTGAATGTCAGCTCAAGTCTGCCTGCCACTCTCGGCAGGTAAGCTCTTGACTGAGTTGGTAAACCAACAGCATTTTGCTGTGGGACACTCCTCCCCACAAACTTGGTCCTGATTAAGGTGATAAAACTGTGTGTGTGAAACAATTGAACGTACACAGGTTGGGGCCTACATAGGGTGCCAACTTAGTTAAAATATTGGGGGAGGGGAGAGATAAGGGTTTTCCCGCATAATCAATCATATGATGCTATGCACGCACACCATTTGACTGGCAATGCCCATCAACTTTAGGACACCCCCCCGACCCCCTCAAATATTTTATCGTGGTAGGCTGAACAGACCTCGGCCCCTAGGATTTGGCTGCTGTGGGCCTACGTAATGGTGGGCTGCCTCACCATTGGATCTAATGACTTGGGGATTTTCCTGTGCCTTTGGTAGTTAGGAGAATCACAGCAAGTGCAGTTCTCCCCAGTTCTCTGCTTTAATTTGATGGAATTTACCACGGTTGAGGCGGAAAATCTGTTTTGAATCCCATGGCTCAGCCTTCCACAAATGTGAGGTCGTAATAAAAACAGGTTTGGAGCAAGTGAGTTTCCGCCAGCACATTTAACCTAATAAACACACATCTGTCCATGGAGGCGCAGGTCAATTCTGTATCCAGGGCAGCTGTCTACCAGCTCCACCTGGTACACAGGCTGAGACCCTACCTGCCTGCGGACTGTCTCGCCAGAGTGGTGCATGCTCTAGTTATCTCCCGCTTGGACTACTGCAATGCACTCTACGTGGGGCTACCTTTGAAGGTGACCCAGAAACTACAACTAACGCCCTCCCATCAGATGTCAAAGTGATAAACAACTACCTGACATTCAGAAGACATCTTAAGGCAGCCCTGTTCAGGGAAGTTTTTAATGTATGACATATTAGTGTATTTTTGGTCTTTGTGGAAGCCACCCAGAGTGGCTGGGGAAACCCAGCCAGATGGGCGGGGTACAAATAATAAATTATTATTATTATTATTATTATTATTATTATTATTTAGAAGTATGGATTCCAGCTCAGAAAATGTGACTTCCAGACAAAGTTGTTTCCAAAATTTGACAGTTGATGCAGCATTTTTCAACTCTTACTTTTAGTTTTTTGCCCTAGCTGGAAAGGAAGCCAGAGCTCCCTTTTCTTTATCAGTTGATGTGTAGGAGTGAAATTCAAGAGTACAAGCTGGTCAGATGCTTCTGATACTATCTGCCTGAATTACCATTCTCTATGCAATTCATAAAGGCACGCTGTATTTTGGATGGTATAGTCTCCCTTCGAATCTAGACAGAACTGGTTTGTACTTCCTTCTTCTGTAGCTATTGCTGGTACTATTACTGTAGATGACGCCTGCAGGCAAAACTGATAACTCAGCAGCCCAAGAAACATTTCAAGTCTATGCAAGATTGCTAAATGCCTGTCCCTGATGGTGGAATCCAGTTTCCACTCCCAACTTAGCCCTGAGGGGTTTCTACTAGAAAAACAAGAAGGAATCGGAGAAAACAGATGACAGATTCAAGATGGTACCTAAAGATTTGTGCATCAGCATGAGAGCACCTCACAAACTCAGTACATCAGCACTGAACATAAAGCTGTAAGCTTCTGCTCAAGTGGATCACTTTGGGCAATACTATACGTTCCATAGGCTGGGACCACAAACGAGATAACCACACTGAATTCAAATTTTGCACAGAATGCACTGTAAGGACTAAAGCAGATGAAATGTTTGAGATCCATGAATGGATCTTCTCTTCTCTGTCTCTCTCTCTTTTAATCAGATCAACTGAGGTAGGGTAAGATTGATTAGGACCACAGCATTGGGGTAGGGAGGGGAGATACTTAATGGTAAAGGTAAAGGTAAAGGTACCCCTGCCCGTACGGGCCAGTCTTGACAGACTCTAGGGTTGTGCGCTCATCTCACTCTATAGGCTGGGAGCCAGCGCTGTCCGCAGACACTTCCGGGTCACGTGGCCAGCGTGACAAGCTGCATCTGGCGAGCCAGCGCAGCACACGGAGCGCCGTTTACCTTCCCGCTGGTAAGCGGTCCCTATTTATCTACTTGCACCCGGGGGTGCTTTCGAACTGCTAGGTTGGCAGGCGCTGGGACCGAACGACGGGAGCGCACCCCACCGCGGGGATTCGAACCGCTGACCATGCGATCGGCAAGTCCTAGGCGCTGAGGTTGCAAATTAGGCTGGCGGCCTCCAATATGGTGTTCATGGGCACCTGCCAAGGTCCCTCTCCGCCCTCCATTATTTATTTATTTATATTGCAGGGTGTTGTTATTTAAACCAAAGTGATGCTGTGCCTGGCTACAAAGCATATTGTAAGCATCCAGAAACGCCATCTTACCTCCTTTTCCTCATAAAGCCTCTGTCCCATCCCGTTCCCCCAGCACCACCAGCAGCTTTGCCTGCTTTTTTCTGTTTGTTTGGAGTGTGTATATTTGTCTTTTTTTCTTCCTTTGGTATGGGATGTTGCTCCTATTTTGGAAGTTGCCTGTTTTTTCTCTTACTCACTGATATTTGTTTTGGGATGTGTATCGGTATTTGGGCTGAGGGGCTTTTTGAGGGGTGGGGTTCCTGAGCATTGACAGTTTTTGTTCTATGAAATGGGTATTTTGTGATTCTCACAACAGTTTCTTAGATTTCCAAATGTTCCCCCAGGCTTGGAAAAGGTTGGGGACCCCTGCTTTAGGTTGTTCCACAGCATATTGATCCTTGTTTTTCCTGAGCTGGGATGCGAGATTCATGTATGGTCCCATGATGGATATGATTCTGTCGTTTTCACAGCCTCCCTCATTCCACCTATGTTGACCGTCACAGCTGATGGATATCATTTGCTAGTGGAACTTGAGCGTCTAGGACCTGCCTTTGAATTCTGGATATATTACTGGAAGAAGGGCCAAGGGCACAAGGTAAGTTTTGGTCTTATATCTGGCCTGAGAATGTAGGAACAAAAGAGAAGAAAGTTCTCATGTAACTACATAGACAAGATCAAATGCACCTGTGGCCTTCCATATGTTATTGGACTTCCACCAGCCCTGGCCAGCATAGGCCATGATCAGAGAAGTTGTAGACCATCAATGTCTGGAGGACCACAGGTTCCACATCCCTGTAGAAGTTAGGTTAGGCTATCCTGAAGCTCTGCCAAAAACTCTGAACGTTATTATGATGGAGCAGTACAGAAAACAATCCACAAGGAGACTTCACTTTGGTCCTTCCTAATTCCAATTTTTTCCTGCTATATACTGTTGCCTGATGGTGTATGCAATGTCTTTGATTCCTACTTGCTGCAATGCAAACATCCTAAGTGGAAACAGACTGTTTAAGGGATGGCTTTCTCCCAATAAGTCTGCCTGCCCACAACAGTAAACCGGAGGATCTGTTTTATATTTAATCACCATAGGAGGTCAGAATGGCTGTGGCGCAGGGTATGACCTTTTCAGTTGTGGAACCCAAGTTGCAGAAAGCTCAGGGATCTGCATGTCTTAAAAGACTCTTTATCAATAAGTTTAAAGATCAGCTTGCAAAAAGTGCAAGGGCCTGCATTGAGAGGCTTTCTCAGTTGCTCCTTCTCAGTGAAACAGAAATTAGTGCAAGGACTTTGAAGCTGGCTCAGTAGTAGATGGGCAGCCAGTACAGAGGTTTTAACAATGGTATCACATGCTGCCAGCCATGTGCCCCCATCAGCTGTCTGGCCAGTGCATTCTGCCCCAGCTGGAGCTTCTGAACCAGGGCCAAGGGCAATGATCTCAATTAAAATCACCTTAACCACAGAGCCTAGGACTTGTCGATCAGAAGGTTGGCAGTTCGAATCCCCACGACGGGGTGAGGTCCCGTTGCTCGGTCCCTGCTCCTGCCAACCTAGCAGTTCGAAAGGACCTCAAAGTGCAAGTAGATAAATAGGTACCGCTCCAGCGGGAAGGTAAACGGCATTTCCGTGCGCTGCTCTGGTTCGCCAGAAGTGGCTAAGTCATGCTGGCCACATGACCCGGAAGCTGTACACCGGCTCCCTCAGCCAATAAAGCGAGATGAGCGCCACAACCCCAGAGTCGGTCACGACTGGACCTAATGGTCAGGGGTCCCTTTACCTTTACCTTTATGCCCTGCTGCAGTTAGCTTTAGAAAAAAAGTTCAATTTGGATTAAACCTTCCCTTCCCTATACTCTGCTATCCCGGTGAAAATTGCTTCATCCACTAACCTAGTATTACATTTTTTTAAAAGACATTGTTGCTATCTATGCAATTGAAGTAATGTCTAGTTTGGCAGCTGCTCAGCTTACCTACAAAGAAATCAGAAAACAATTTACTTGGTAGCTTTCAGAACCTTTGGCCTTTCCCTATACAAGGGAACCTGGGTTAATCTCTTATTTCAGTTGTCTTGTACTATAACAATTTAACTTCCTACAACTCCCTAATTGCCCAGAATTTCTTACAACTGCCTAGAAATAAAAGGGGTGGGGATTGGGGATATCTAACTTGAATTTGCTTGCAGACATTCCTATTTATATTTCCCTGAGACGGTTTTTTAATGAGTGCCTCTGAAAGTATCTGAAAGCAAAATGCGAAAATAACCGGAAATTCAAAAAGCCAAATTTGCATTCTGAAATCTTGCAGAATTTTCAAATTTGTGAACAGTTTTTGTTTTGGCTCTAGTATTTGTGCACCTTGTCTTAGGCGTTTGGCTGCGTTACAGAAATGGGCTGTGGTGGTTCTTCTTGTTTAGCAATGGAGTTCATTACTATTCGGGTGTCAGAGAGGGTGACCAAACAGGATCTCATGCCAAAGCAAAGAACAGACCAGTTAATCAAATATAGGGGTGGGGAACCTGTGACTCTCCAGGTGTTGTTGGACTCCAACTCACCTCAGCCCAAAACAGCATGATCAATGAACAGGGATGATAGAAGTTGTAATGCAATAAAGTCTGGAGTAGGGATGGAGGAGAAATTCCATTCAGTATGCATTTAAAGCAGAATCTATCAAATTTGTGCATTCCAAAACAACATGTGAACAGAAACATAGATATCTTTCAAAATTTGCTCTTATCAGAATTTTCTGATGCTGTTCTCCAAATGATTTTTGCAAAAATGCATATATTAAGTAAAAGTGTGCATAAAAACAAAGATACCAATGAAAATAACATACAAAAATACATTATATTAGGGGGAAGTGTTTGTACATTAGTTTGTGCTGCATATAAAATTATGTTCAATAGGATAAATTTGTGCTTAAATGCTGAATTTTCATGAAGATTTTTTAAAATATAAAATGTGGAGAACTGCATTTCAGACTGGCAAAATGAGAACCCAAGAGAACCAAAATTCACAGAACTTTCCGTCTCTAGTCTGGACAGCTATATCAGGCATCCCCAAGCTTCGGCCCTCCAGATGTTTTGGACTACAATTCCCATCATCCCTGACCACTGGTCCTGTTAGCTAGGGATCATGGGAGTTGTAGGCCAAAACATCTGGAGGGCCAAAGCTTGGGGATGCCTGAGCTATATGTTCCCATTACCTGATCAAATGCAACTGATTTCACCCTGGCGTCTGTGAAACTAGGTGTATCGCAAAGTGGTGAAAGACAGCAGCACTACCTTACATATGGACACCATGGAAGCTGGTACTGAATACTGTGTTAAAGCCCAGACCTATGTTGAAGCCATAAACCGGAGCAGCAATTTCAGCCAGGTGCAGTGTGTGAGGGCCGAAGGTAAGAACAACAAAGATACTCTCCTTTTCAGACATGGTTCTCCACTGCTGGGGGGCCAGGGCAGATAAAACTAATAAAAACTTGAACGTTTGTGACACCTTTGTTGGGCTTACAGGGTAGGCGATTTCAAAAGTCTATATAAGGGCTCGTGTACCATTGTTCAAGGTTCTCCTCCCTCCTGCATGTAGTGAGTGGGGACCCTGTTGCAACAGTTCGTTGAATAAAGATCAGACTTACTAGCCGCTTTGCTTCTCAATATACTCTGGTTGGCCTCTGTTATTTTCTCCTACTGATAGGAAATCCACTTAAGGACTCTATATGGGCTTCAGAATACCCCATAAGGGAAAGGGAGCACTGCTTCCCTTTACTTTACTGCTTCACATTACTCTTCTTCAGAACAGTGCAAAGCCATGTAAACACAATGTGCAGCAGTGGCGCTTATATCAATTCCCAGATACTTTTCAGCTCAGGGCCCCTCATTGTGGTTTTCTGCCCTCTTAGCAACTACAGACTCTTTTTTGTCTCCAGCAGGCAAAGCCATATTGGTCACCTTCGCCCCACTCTTCTTGGTTATCTCTGTTGTGACTCTTTTAGCCCTTCTTTGGGTTGCCTGGAAAACATGTCAGATCTGCCAATATTCCTGCTGCCCGAACGAGAGCCTGCCGGACACTTTGGTAAGATAAGAAATGGTTTGGAGTACTGTATTGAGGTTGTGCCTTAACACTTCCAGAAAAGGTAGATGTGCCCTGCTTTTAAAAGCCATGGGTTGAAGCTTGGTGCTTATACTGTGCCTGTTACCTGGGCAGGTTATTAGAATGCATAAGAGCAGCAATCAGTCTGGCTGCAGACACATGACTATACCTTTTAAAATCACATTCCCCCCCCCCCCATGAATTCTGGGCATTGTTGTTACAGGTGTCTGAGAATTGTAATTCTGTGAGGGATAAACCACATTGCCCAGAATTCTTTGTAGGGAGGAATGTTCTTTGAATGGGCACATAACCTTGAAATGACAAAAGTCAGATCATTGAGGTGCTCAGATTTGTAAATGAAGGAATATTGCTGTAAGGGTTACAGGTAGCCCAATGTGTTTAAAGCTATGTAACTATATTTGCCTTTGTGCTTGTTGAACCCAACACTGGAGCAACTTAGTGAGCTATCAGGTAGAATCCTACCTGTGCTCTTCTCCCCTCATAGTGCCACCAAGAAGAGGGCTAGATACTTAACTTTTAAAATTAAAAAGCAGGGTGGAATATCACTTAAAGCTGGGGTGGGCAACACTGTGGCCCTTGAGAAACTGTCCAGTTTCCACTATCCCTGACCCTGACCATTGGCCATGCTGGCTGGGGCTGATGGAAGCCCATAAACAACTGGAGGAAGCCAGGTTCCTCATTTCTGCCTAAGGGAATCAGACTTACACAGGCCTTCTTATGGCTACAGCCCTGAGCACTGCTTTGAACACTGAGCTTTGCAATACTAATCCAGTACCTCCATCCCTCTGCAGTGGTGAAGTAAATGCTCTTCCATCTTTTCCCCATTACTGTATGTTTTTTTTCCCTCCTCCCCCCCTCTTTTCCAGAAAGTAACAGAATCACCTGCTAGGCTACTAAATTACAGGGGAGAGGAGACGGAGAAATGTGATGAGTCTGTGCAAGTGCTACCCCCTGAAGAGCTTCTCCGCTTGTGGATTCATGAAACTCTTTAATATCACACCAAGGACACAATCTGCAAGATGAGACTGCAGTGCTGCTCTCCTTTTTGCCTCTCTGAGTAAGGCACACACACACACACACACAGTGCACACACACAGGTAGCTTTCCTCTCCTAACAGCACAAAGACAGAAAATTGAGGATTTGCTTTCTTCAAAGGGAAAGGCATCATGGGGCCAGCAAGACGGGTTCCCGCTCTGAGGGTTTCACAGAGGGGGCTGGAGCCGACCCATTCATCCTTGTCTGACAGAGAACAGCAGCCAAGCTCATGGATAGCCACAGAGGCTGTGATCCTAGCTGCTTGTCATCATCTGCTTAGCTGAGAGTTAAAAGACCTTGGGCTGATTACAATGTGCTGGGTTTGCTTTTTAACATAAAGGTGCAGTGCTAGAAGGCGATGCAATTCAAATCCATGTTGATTTTGCGGAACAGGAGCAAGGAGCGGCAGGTTCAAATTCAGTGACGGACTGTAGCTTAGCGGTAGCAGCTAGAGCACATGTTTTGAGTCAGAAGGTTCTAAGTGCAATATCTGGCACCTCTGTTTAAAAGGAGCAGTTAGAAGATGGTGTGAAAAATCCTGAATGCCAGAGGAGACAATGCTGGAAAAGACTGACCTGGTACAGTGGTACCTCAGGTTACATATGCTTCAGGTTACATACACTTCAGGTTACAGATTCCGCTAACCCAGAAATAGTGCTTCAGGTTAAGAACTTTGCTTCAGGATGAGAACAGAAATCGTGCTCCGGCGGCATGGCAGCAGCAGGAGGCCCCATTAGCTAAAGTGGTGCTTCAGGTTAAGAACAGTTTCAGGTTAAGTACGGACCTCTGGAACGAATTAAGTGCTTAACCTGAGGTACCACTGTACAAGGAAACTTCCTATGTTCCTCCTAGTCAAAAATAAATATTTTTCACATATATTTTTCAATCATAGCCGTAAGCTACGGTTAACCTTAACTCTGGGATTTTTGTAATAAGACCGTTTCTTAAACTACAGTCTCAAGTTAGCTTATTTCCAGGGCCATCTTAAGCATAAGCGGCACCGGGGTGCAAAGATCCGCCTGCCACCCCACCCCCTGGTTGCCCAGAGTTGCCTCAGGGCCTCCCTGGCTGGCTTGCTTGCTCCCGAACTCGCGGCGCAGAGCCACCCGCAACAGAGGAGCCCTCCGTGGCGCTCCATCCGACGGGTGGGCTCTTCCCCGGACTCCAACTCTCGGGCCCCAGACTCTTGGCCTGGCGTCCCTGAGAGCCTGGTGCCTCTGGTTAAGATGGCCCTGCTTATTTCAGCACTGTTTAACCACAGATTGTCAGGTTAGGGCAACATGTGATCAGAGGCGGAGCTAGCCGCTCCGGCACCCGTGGCGAGCGCCACCCGCAGCAATGTCACCCCCGCTCAGGAATGACAGCCGGGCAAGTCGCACCAACCACACACCCCTTCCTCCGCTAGTGCATGTGATTTAATTTTTAGAAAAATATAAGCAAAATCTTCCAAATTCCTCCTCATGTCTGCCCTGGAAGAGAGGTGCACAAACCTGAGGTTTGTTGAGGCTCCTTCTTGTTACACTAAACTATGGCTTAGTATTATGTTTGAACTAGCTCAATGAGAGATGACCCTCACTATATAGGCATTTCAGAATTTTACACAGAATTCAACAACACATGGGTTGTCTGACTTGCATTCAGGAACTACTGTGCTTTTCCAGCTTTGTTCTAACTTACTGAAAGTTGTTTACTTCCAGTGCCTAATCTGATTGGGTTAAACTTGGCCACATCTTACTTAAATGGATTAAATCACTTGCTGTGGAACTAGTTTGCTGCTTGAAAAACATTCAATTTCTGGGCCAGGTTTTAAAGTAAGACACATAACAAGTTTTGCATTATTTTGGTGGGATTTTTTTTTTAACTATGCAAGGCATTGGAAGGCTTGGAAAATATTTTTAAATACTGAATTTTTTTTATGTAGTTACATGTGATTACTACTTAAGTTCAGTTCAAAAAGCTACCTTACAAAAGTTATGGTATCCTGAGTACTGCAACTCTGTGTAAAAGCCTATGCATTCTCAATGTTAGCCATAAAATATAGAGATATCTGGAAAGCAAAACAATGTTTTGCATGTATATTTTATAGTCCTCAGATGTGCTATGCCAGTAATAAGGCGTGCAGGAAGATATCATGTAACACAGCAATGCTGATGCATAGGATTGGGGTGGGGACAGGGAAAAGAACACAGAGCACCTAATTATCTTGGCATGGAATTTTAATGCAGTCCCAACTCAGCCGAACAGCAAAATCTGACATAACCAGACTGTGAAGTGATGATGTTACAAAACTAGATTAGGATTGCCACATTTTCCCCTGGCAAAACCTATGTCCCTTTTAAGAGCTGAACAAAAATGTAGAAATCTAACCAAGTTCTTTACTACTTACCTATGCAAGGAAAAACTGCAGTGGATGAATTTCACATAACCTTTGTCCAGCAAAAAGACAGAAATTTTTCAGTTTCAGGGAGAGGTTAAGGGAAACAGTGGTTGTGGCTCCTTACTTTCAACTCCTTGCAGTTGTAGTTTCTGTAGTTAAGAAAAGAGAGGAGTAAAGTATCCTGAGCAGAACCACTGTGAGCCTTCCTCTCTAGTTTGATAGCTGGTTTTTGAAGGAATATAACTTACTGGCAACTGGGACGTGGGTGGCGCTGTGGTGTAAACCACTGAGCCTTGGGCTTGCCAACCAGAAGGTCAGCGGTTTGAATCCCTGCGACGGGGTGAGCTCCTGTTGTTCGGTCACAGCTCCTGCCAACTGAGCAGTTCAAAAGCACATCAAAGTGCAAGTAGATAAATAGGTACCACTCCGGCAGGAAGGTAAACGGCGTTTCCGTGCGCTGCACTGGTTTCGCTAGAAGCGGCGTAGTCATGCTAGCCACATGACCTGGAGAAAGTGGCTTAGTCATGTTGACCACATGACCTGGAAAAACTGCCTGCAGACAAACCGTCCGCTCCCTCGACCGGTAAAGCAAGATGAGAGCCGCAACCCTAGAGTCATTCGCGACTGAACTTAACTGTCAGGGGTCCTTTACCTTTACCTTACTGGCAAAAGAAGTACTTATTAAATTTTGTAATGATTTTTTGGAACCTGGACCTAATAAAAAACACAAGCACAGCATATATAGATTAATTGCTTGTCACTGGCTAATCGTAACATGGAACATCTGTATGTAAATCTTACCTGTTTGTGTGACTGTAACATACATCTGACCTATATCACAAACACAGAAAGCATATAAAATTCAATGTGGCATTATAATGGTGTGGTCAAAGTTATATATATTAGAAGAGACGATATGTTTAACTTCATAGTGCTGGGAAATGTGTAGATTTTTTTTAAATAGAAGCCCTGGCAGCAGTCTTCATCCTCTCCAACTCGTTTGAAGTCCTCAGTTTTGTTATTTCCAAGTGTTCTCTTTCACAGCAACAGTTGTGAAAAAGGGAGATTCCATGCCAGGGATCATTAAGAAAGGAGTTGCCGTTATATGGGGCAACCACAGTTCTGGTTGCCTCACCTCAGAAAGGATATTGTAGAGTTGGAAAACTTTTAAGGAGGTGGAGCAACTCCCCTATGAAGCATTTGGGACGTCTTAGCTTAGAGAAAATGCGAGGATTGGAGTTTACTGCATTAAGTTTATTAAAATCATGCACGGCATGGGGAAAGTGGACCCAGAAGTTTTTCGTATCTCATGACACCACAACCCATGAACATTCAGATGAAAGTACCTCTTGCAGATTTCCTACAGACATCTGGTTAGCCGCTGTGAGAACAGGATGCTGGACTAGATTACCATTAGTGTGGCTCAGCAGCGTCTAATGCTTTAATATTGCCCCATCTGCTGTGGCAAATTCTGCTCCTAATTAGGCCCCCATCCCATACCCTCCAACATTTCTCCGATGAAAATAGGGACATCCTATTCCATCACAATAATTTTACTGAGAGATGCAATGTTTGTGCTACGAGATGGGAGTAATTAAGATGGCGGCTGTAACAACTTCTCCTTCGTGAACCCTCCGGATTACAAACCTTCTATAGCCTTTTATAGCTTTTTACTGCCGTTTTTATAGTTGTTTTATTAGACTTTTAAATTATTTTACTTCTGTTAGAAGTTTTTAATCGTTTTACTTCTACGGTTGGCCTGTTGGTGCCAATATACGTATCAACAAGGATATTCAAACCCTCTGCTGAGAAAGCCTGTCGCTGATTAGTAACGCCGCCTTGAAGACTGGGCTATGTTGAGAAGTGGAGGAGGAGGAGTAGCAGAGGAGTTGCGCCCATAAAAGATAAGTTCTCTCTTTATCTCCGTTTATCTCTACTTTGAACCTCCGTAGTTAGTGAGACAGCGACAAATGGGTCATGGCAAGCGACCAAGATCTGCTGAGAAAGGTTGCTCACCTCCAAGAGCAAAGCAGTCGAAGCTTGAATCTCCCCCATCTACTAACAATAACAGCAAAACAGAGCAAGTAATTGTTTCTGCGGTCGAAACATACAACCGCTTTTGGCCTCTGTATGATCAAGGAGAGCCGGAAAAGCTAGCTGATCCAGCGGGGACGGAAGCCATAGGGAAGCCCTCCTCCCTGATACCCTAATTACACCTCCGTCATTGAAACGGGACGCATTAGGGCAAACTGCCCATGAATTAGTACCTGATCAAATACAACTGGTAATCAGGACTTTAAGCTTCATTGTCAACGAATTCGAGGTGATTTCTTTGACATTGAATAAACTTTCACGGGCCCTTCTGGCTCATCTACCTTCCTCAACTGAGCTATCTAATTTGCATCAATCTCCTGTGCAGCTTGTAAGTGCCTTAAAGAGACAACCTGACCAGAAATTTCACCTTAAGAGCTCAAGATGCAGGCCGCCACTGCCCCAAAGGAATAGGCAATCCTTGATTTTTCAACCTAATAAAATATGTCTAGCCATTTTTTCCCGTGACGCCCCCAGACTTAGGTGGAATAACCTGAGGATGGCTAAAGGGTACCTACGTGATTTGTTAAATATTCCTTTTTCCAGATAGATCTTATATCTGTAGTACCCCTAATTGCCACGCCCTGGCCAAGGAAATTTATGCTCTCCTTCCAGTCTGCAAGGATCCCACATCTCCTTGCAAGAGAGAAAGATCGGCTGGCACCCTGGGAGATTGTAACATCAAGAGTCTTTAAGGACACGAGTGTTAAACCTCTTTTTGCCAACACCTTAACCGGCAATGAACGCTCGTTTCCTCCTTCTGTTCCTATAATAAAGGGGAAAACACCTAGCTGGGTACCCCCTGCTCCATCTGCGACCTTAAGTGCCCATCTAGCTACACTGAGGAATGATCCAATTGCAAGCGGAGATTGGAATATCCCTGAAGAGAGAAATCTTATCTTCTCCTATGGAAAACTCCCTTCAGAAGAACAGCAGGCTATTCTCGATAGATTGGATCTACTCAAACAAAGACTCCTATCGCAAGGGGACCCCTCTATGCCGATGAGAGAGGAGAGCAGGCACTCCACGTCCCACAAGGCGTCTCCATCAAATGCCCTGATAATCTCTCAACCTGCTACTTTGTTACCCCCTACTGATCTGAATCAGCAATCACCTGTTGACCAACAGCTCCAACAGCACCATTCTACCGTGGAGGAAGTTGATAAACTCAATACTCCCGTCTTAGACCCTATGTCCAATCAAAATATGGAAGTTACTATTTATACTATTTATACCCCGCTCATCTGACCGGGTTGTGCCAGCTACTCTGAGCGGCTTCCAAGATAATAAAACATTAAACATTAAAGAACTTCCCTATACAGTGGTACCTCGGGTTACATATGCTTCAAGTTACATATGCTTCAGGTTACAGACTCTGCTAACCCAGAAATAGTGCTTCAGGTTAAGAACGTTGCTTCAGGATGAGAACAGAAATCATGCTTCAGAGGCGCAGCAGCAGCAGGAGGCCCCATTAGCTAAAGTGGTGCTTCAGGTTAAGAACAGTTTCAGGTTAAGAACGGACCTCCAGAACGAATTAAGTACTTAACCCGAGGTACCACTGTACAGAGCTGCCTTCAAATATCTCAGGCATTGGATAACTCCATACCTTCCAATATTTATCTGATGAAAATAGCGACATCGTGGCAAAGGGGCTTGAATAACTCAGAGAAGCTATGAGCTATGCCATGCAGGGCCACCCAAGACAGACAGGTCATAGCCGAGAGTTTAGATTAAATGTGATCCACCTGGAGAAGGAACTGGCAATCCACTCCAGTATTCTGCCAAGAAAACACCATGGACATAAAAAAGGAGCAGCTTTGAGAAGACAGTGAGTGTTTCCAAGGCATGCTCTAGTTCATGGGGTCACGGAGTGTCGAAGACGACCAAGCAACAACAAAGGGAAAGTGGGACATTCCAGGATCAAATCAGAAACTCGGACGACTTCTGTAAATCCAGGAGTGTCCCTGGAAAATAGGGACACTTGGGAGGATCTGCCATCCATTGTTAAAATGGCGAAGAAAAAGGGGAGCTCACACTTCTGCTCGTTTGCTCAGAAGAGCAGGAATAAATCATTGAATCTCTCACTCTGGATCAATTAAAAGCCCTAATTAATGTTCAGCGGCTATAACTAAACGACTCATTACTATGTGCATTAACTCGTTTTATTATCCATGTATGCCTCCTTGCGCTCACTGATATATTATAATAATATAATAAAATTACAGTAATATAATAAAAATCAAATTCCAGGCTTTCCCAGGACAAGCCTTTTGCACTGTGTGTGTGTCCCCCCCCCGTAACTGTGCCCCCTTCCAGCTCAACCTTAACCCCCGGGTGAAAAGAATAAAGAAAAACCAGCTACGGGTCTCCCTTCTCAGCAACCAGCAAAAAGAGATAGAGCAGAGCGCTACGCGAAATGGGAAGATCAAGCAGCGCAACCCCGCCCAATTGCTCTGCGCATGCGTTCGCCAAGGGCGGACTCCATCCCCCAGGAACCTCTGCGGCACTCCCGCCCTTGCCCCGCCTCTTTCCCCTGTTTCACACTTCCGGTGCGACCGCGTTGTCCCCGCGCGTGCGTTCGAGCGCTGCGCGGTTGGTGCTTCCGGCCCGAGAATTTGAAGCGCGTGTGTGGCGAAGTTTGCCTCTTGTCGGTTCCAGCCATGCGGCCCGGTAAGGGACGGGAGGGAAGAGTTGTGGGGAGGGTGCTGCTGCTTCGGGGATGCACGAAGCCGATGTGAGCTTGGCGGGGGAGGGGTTGAAGGAAGGGAAAAGGAGCCCGCGGGCAGACACGTGGCTGCTGGGATCGTCTGGTGGTTGATTTGTTCTTCTGTTTGTTATTTAAAGTCATCATGCGGTTGTTGTTGCTGCTGCTGCTGCTGTTTCCCTTCTCCTTAGCTGACAAAGTCTCTTCGAGCGGTTTACTATAGAGATCGGTGGTTCCTACTTTTAGGCTTACGATCTGAAAAGGAGGACGCGAGGAGCACGCTCAGAACACAAATTCTTAAAAATTAAAGAGCCTAAGGAGAGCCTTCTGGATCGGGAGTCCAGGACTGGTCCAGGGTCCTGTTTCCACAGTGGCCTAGTAGATGCCTGAACCAGGCCTTAGAATGGCCAGCTAGGTCACCTGTTGAAATAACCGTCACCGGTTGAGAGTTTCGCAAAGGCAGCTGATTTCTTGGCAAAAGTTAGCACTGTTTGCATACTGTACAGTGGTACCTCAGGTTACATACGCTTCAGGTTACATACACTTCAGGTTACAGACTCCGCTAACCCAGAAATAGTGCTTCAGGTTAAGAACTTTGCTTCAGGATGAGAACAGAAATCGTGTTCCAGTGGCAGCAGGAGGCCCCATTAGCTAAAGTGGTGCTTCAGGTTAAGAACAGTTTCAGGTTAAGAACGGACCTCCGGAACGAATTCAGTACTTGACCAGAGGTACCACTGTACTTTTATTTTCACTCTGCAACCTGATGGGGACGGCAGCTGTTAGGTCTCAGTTAAGGGGTGAGGAGAGTAAGGTTTTGTCTCTTTTCTCTGACTTGTGTGCCCTTCTCCTCTGCAGGTTTTAGCCCCGTGGAGGACGTGGGGGGCGTGGTGGGTTTGGAGATCGTGGTGGGTTTGGAGATCGTGGGGGGCGTGGAGGCTTCCGAGGAGGGCGAGGTGAGTTCTCTCTTTCTTCCCCCACTAGTGCATTAGCTGTTAGCGCTTGTTGGCACCCTACAGATAGGACACTCAGATCTGCAGTGGTGCATGCTGGGGAGAAATCAAGGTACTTAACCACACAGTTGTGGTGGCTTGTCTCTCCACTTGGTGGTTTAGTCAAAGGGTGGTCCAGGTGCCTTGGCCAGGTAGCAGCCATGTGTGACTCCATTTCTGGGAATGAGGTCTAGCCAGTTTGGGCCTGGGCACATCAGAAACATAACAGCCAAGCAGCTTAAAGCCTTCCTTCCAAACTTGCAGGTGGAGAGAGGGCAGCTTCCAAGACAATCCCTGAACTCCTGTGGAGCTCCAGGGTTGGGAGGAAGACTGAGCCCGCTAAAGGGCTATGACAAACCCATTTTAGCATCAAGGACTGGTCCCCAAAACCCATTCCTTGGTAATTAAGATGAGACTAATAATCAAGGTCTGACACCAACTCTGCAAAGTACATTGCCCCCACTCCTCCTGGCCAAACAGCCTGGGTCAGGAGACCTTATTAGACATCCCTAAGATTCTTGAGAAGCAAGAGCTAAAAACAAGGCACCGCACTCCTTGAGTCTGAAGTCACCAACTTAGTAGTAAAAGACCAAGAAGTTAGGAACTGGATTGAGTACAAAGAAGACAGACATCAATTTTTAATGCTGAAGATTTATTAAGAAATCAAAAAATAAAATAAAGGATAAAATGTAGAACTCCTGTAGCTCCGTTTTAAAACAGCTGCACTAGTTGCCAATTTGTTTCCAAGACCTGATTAATGTTTAAAGCCTTAAACAGCTTAGGTGCCAAATACCTGAAAGACCATCTCCATCCCTGCCAGTCTTCTTGGGCATAAAGATATGCAAAGGCATCTCCCTTGATAGTTTGGTGGAACCCTCAGAATTGTATAGAAAGGCAGTCCTGGAGAGGGTTTTCTCTGTGACATTCTGAAAAACGTGGAGCTCCATGTGTTGCTGGACTACAACTCCCATCAGTCCCAGTCAGTCAGGGTGATGGGAGCTGGAGGGCCATAGGTTGCAAGCCCCTGACCTAAATTGTGAACTGTAAACTGCCCTACGATCTTTGGATGAAAGGAGGTATATACATTTTAACAACAACAACTCGCCACAGAGGTATGTGTAGCATATTCATTGCACAGCTTTTGTTGTACACTGAAGGCACATCTCTTAATCCCAGCCTTGGGCAGTTAAGGTGTTTTTGTTTCGTGGCACCTGCCTCTTTTTCTGAATTTATACTGTCCTGCCTCATTTGGAATAGTTTTACTTGTCCTATATCTGTAATGGTTTTTGTTTGTTTTTATAATGGTATATTACTGTATCCCTCCCTGAGACCTTATGGCTGAAGGGTGATAAGATATCAAAATCATACAAATAAAACCACAGTATTTAATCTTTGATGCAGAAAGATTTCTGCTTTCCATTATGCCCTTTAGGAGTTGTGACAGTTAAAAACAGAAGCAAACTTAAGCGAAGGAAACTAGAGATTTACTAAAATTACATTGGACTTACACTGAACTGTCACAACTCTCATTCTTGTTGTATTTGCTGAAGGATCTAACTAGTTTTATTTATAGCTTAACTCATTACTGTTTTTCTTCTCTTATTTGTTTTGCTTGTTCAATAAATCTTTTTTTAAGTAGGGAGAGAGAAAATAAAGCTTACTTCATTTTTCAGTTATATTATAACTAATGGGCTGGATGATAACCCAGGGGCTCCTAGCTGGAAACGGTGCATTTAGAAGGAAATTAGAAGGAAATCATGGTGCTGTCAGGGAAATAGAAGCCAGGGTGGCTATCTAAAGAACTTTAAACTGAGTTAAGATTAAAAAAGGATGTGTACAAAAAATGGAAAAGGGGGGAAACCACCAAAGAGGAATTCAAACAAATAGCCAGCACGTGTAGACACAAAGTCAGAAAAGCTAAAGCACAGAATGAACTCAGGCTTGCTAGAGAGGTTAAAAGCAACAAAAAGGCTTTTATGGGTATGTTCGTAGCAAAAGGAAGAACAAAGAAACAGTGGGGTCACTCAGAGGAGAAGATGGTGAAATGCAAACAGGGGACACAGAAAGAGCTGAACTCCTCAATGCCTTCTTTGCCTCAGTCTTCTCCGATAAAGAAAACAATGCCCGACCTAAAGAATTTGGAGCAAATGATTCAGCAAAGGAAACACAGCCCAGAATAACTAAGGAGATAGTACAAGAATACTTGGCTAGTTTAGATGTATTCAAGTCTCCAGGGCCAGATGAACTGCATCCAAGAGTATTAAAAGAACTGGCAGATGTGATCTCAGAACCACTGGCAGTCATCTTTGAGAATTCCTGGAGAACAGGAGAAGTCCCGGCAGACTGGAGGAGGGCAAATGTTGTCCCTATTTTCAAAAAGGGGAAAAGAGAGGACCCAAATAATTATCGCCCAGTCAGTCTGACATCAATACCAGGGAAGATTCTGGAGCAGATCATTAAGCAAACAGTCTGTGAGCACCTAGAAAGGAATGCTGTGATCACCAATAGTCAGCATGGATTTCTGAAAAATAAGTCATGTCAGACTAACCTGATCTCGTTTTTGACAGAATTACAAGCCTGGTAGATGAAGGGAACGCAGTGGATGTAGCCTACCTTGATTTCAGCAAGGCATTTGACAAGGTGCCTCATGATATTCTTGTAAAGAAGCTGGTAAAATGTGGTCTTGACTATGCTACCACTCAGTGGATTTGTAACTGGCTGACTGGACCGAACCCAAAGGGTGCTCATCAATGGTTCTTCTTCATCCTGGAGAAGAGTGACTAGTGGGGTGCCACAGGGTTCTGTCTTGGGCCCGGTCTTATTCAACATCTTTATCAACGACTTGGATGATGGACTCAAGGGCATCCTGATCAAATTTGCAGATGACACCAAATTGGGAGGGGTGGCTAACACCCCAGGGGACAGGATCACACTTCAAAACGACCTTGACAGATTAGAGAACTGGGTCAAAACAAACAAGATGAATTTTAACAGGGAGAAATGTAAAGTATTGCACTTGGGCAAAAAAAATGAGAGGCACAAATACAAGATGGGGGACACCTGGCTTGAGAGCAGTACATGTGAAAAGGATCTAGGAGTCTTGGTTGACCACAAACTTGACATGAGCCAACAGTGTGACGCGGCAGCTAAAAAGCCAATGCAATTCTGGGCTGCATCAATAGGAGTATAGCATCTAGATCAAGGGAAGTAATAGTGCCACTGTATTCTGCTCTGGTCAGACCTCACCTGGAGTACTGTGTCCAGTTCTGGGCACCACAGTTCAAGAAGGACATTGACAAACTGGAACGTGTCCAGAGGAGGGCAACCAAAATGGTCAAAGGCCTGGAAACGATGCCTTATGAGGAACGGCTAAGAGAGCTGGGCATGTTTAGCCTGGAGAAGAGGAGGTTAAGGGGTGATATGATAGCCATGTTCAAATATATAAAAGGATGTCACATAGAGGAGGGAGAAAGGTTGTTTTCTGCTGCTCCAGAGAAGCGGACACGGAGCAATGGATCCAAACTACAAGAAAGAAGATTCCACCTAAACATTAGGAAGAACTTCCTGACAGTAAGAGCTGTTCGACAGTGGAATTTGCTGCCAAGGAGTGTGGTGGAGTCTCCTTCTTTGGAGGTCTTTAAGCAGAGGCTTGACAACCATATGTCAGGAGTGCTCTGATGCTGTTTCCTGCTTGGCAGGGGGTTGGACTCGATGGCCCTTGTGGTCTCTTCCAACTCTATGATTCTATGATTCTATATAGTTGGGATAATAGATGCAGCTGGAGTGGGTGAGATTATATAGACATGTTGAGGCTTTGGGGTGGTTGTAACTGTTGCTTCTGAATTGCTCATACTCCATTCCTTCTTTATCTTTTCACCTGTAGGAGGTGGGTTTAAGTCCCCTGGTGGTGGTGAAGGAGGCTTCCGAGGCGGTCGTGGAGGCGGCGGCTTCCGAGGCGGCCGAGGTGGTGGTTTCCGTGGCGGCCGAGGAGGAGGTGGCCGAGGAGGACGGGGTGGCTTCAGAGGAGGGAAAAAGGTTACAGTAGAGCCCCACAGACATGAAGGTGAGACTTGTTCATCCTGTCCTATAAGAAGATAATTAAACTTTATGCAAGAACATTACTTTTACTGCAGTAGACCCAGTGAAGGAGGAACCACCTCCCAGAGCATTGTGGGAGAGGCATTCTTTCTTTGTTTGATATAGGACAAGGTAAAAGACTGTTACGTTCTAAACCTCTTCAGAAGGCTAGCTATCTCTTCCTGTTAACTGTAGCCAAAAGCTATCATGGGAACAGCCCCTGTGGCCTCTCTGGTAATTGTTGTTCAGCTTCTACTCACTCTAAAATATTGATTGCCTGGAAAAAACACACACACATCCATGACTTTGTTTAATGCTAGAAAGCAAATATTTATAGTCCGTTTGCATTCCTTTCCTACAACCCTCCATGTATGAACACTCCTCTTCTGACATGCAGTCCTACTTCTGGCATCCCATACTGCTTTATTAGCCTGAAGTCCTCTTGCATCTGGATGGGAGCTACCTGACCAAAGGGAAAACTGGGGTTAGATGCCAACATTCCAATAGCTCCTGCCCAAAAATATCATACATACTCTAGGCATGCTTGTTAACTTTGAAGCTGTTTTTTTAAGGAAAAGTGAGGAAAGCTAAAAGAAGCAGAAATGGTAGTTGCACCAGCTGAAAACGTAAGACGAGCCTGCTGCATCAGGCCAATGGTCCCATGTAGTCTAGCATCCTGTTCTCACAGGATGGCCAACCAGATGCCCGTGGGGAACCTAGAGAGCAGAACATGAGCATAAGAAAGAATTCTCATCTCCCGTTATTTCCAGCAACTGGTATTTGGAAGCCTTACTTCCTCCAGCTGTGGAGGTACAGCATAGGCATCCATTAATTTGTCTAATCCTTTTTTAGAAGCTATCTAGGTTGGTGGCCATTACTGCCTCCTGGGGGAGCAGTTCCACAATTTAACTGTGCTGTGAGAAAAAGTACGGGAAGCTCCCCATCTACATGTGATCTGTTTGCGCACGTAATACATGTCCATATATCCTAACGTTATTCTAAATGTTTTTGATTTTTGTAAGAAGGCTAGCTGAGGGTGAAATGAGGTTGTGGGGACAGAGTCCCATTCACTGTAAAGGACCAGCCACCACGGCTTAGCAGCTGCCTAGATTGAGCTCATGGCGGGAAAGGCAAGCGTGGAAACAGTTTTTGCTGAATAATAATATTTGTATCCTTGCCCACCTGAGGTTGCCCCAGTCTCGCAGTATTTAAATCTTGCTCGCGTGAAGCATGTCTCCAATGTGAACAGATCTAAGTTCTGGTCTCTCTTGTCTCCTCAGGTGTCTTCATCTGCCGGGGAAAGGAAGATGCGTTAGTCACACGGAACATGGTGCCTGGCGAGTCTGTGTATGGAGAGAAGAGGATTTCTGTGGAGGTGGGTGATGGATGACGCTCCATGGGAGCATGGTTGTGGGGAGAGGGAATTGCTGGCAAATGCAGGAAGGGGGAGCACGTTCCAAGGACGGGGACCCCTCTTGGTCTGCAGACGCCTTGGTTGGAAAGTCTCTCTCAATCCAGCATGCCTTATCCTCCCCTCTTCAGGACGGTGAACTGAAGGTGGAGTACCGCGCCTGGAATCCCTTCCGCTCCAAGCTGGCTGCTGCCATCCTTGGAGGCATTGACCAGATCCATATCAAGCCTGGTGCCAAAGTGCTGTACCTAGGAGCCGCATCAGGAACAACAGTGTCTCACGTCTCTGACATAGTTGGACCGGTAAGGAGACGCTTTGGGGTACCTGAGACTGTGGGTGTACCTTAAACTGCTTGTGTATACAGTGGTACCTCGGGTTACATACGCTTCAGGTTACATACGCTTCAGACTCCGCTAGAAATAGTACCCAGAAATAGTACCTCAGGTTAAGAACTTTGCTTTAGGATGAGAACAGAAATCGTTCTCCGGCGGTGCGGTGGTAGCAGGAGGCCCCATTAGCTAAAGTGGTGCTTCAGGTTAAGAACAGTTTCAGGTTAGGAACGGACCTCTGGAACGAATTAAGTACTTAACCTGAGGTACCACTGTACTATGCTCTTTCCTTGACCTCGGGCGATGACTCTGAATGAGATCAAGAGACCTAATCCCCAGCTCCAAGCTTGGGACAGGAGGGGAGTGTAGGGACAGGAATCATCACTGGAAGTTGTCTTAATACTAAGTCAGGCGACTGGTCCATTCAGAGTAGCATTGTCTACACTTCTCTCCAGGGTTTCCAACCAGGGACATCCCTTGTTTTGAGATGCTGGGGGTTGAACCTGAGATCTTGTAGATGCTCTGCCACCAAGCTGTGGCTTCCATCCCCACATTTTCCCCATGGTACTTGAGTGCTTTGGCAACTCAGCACTCAGCTCTTTTCTCCAGAGCTGAAAGAGAAGACTGCAGCTTTCTTTTGGTGCCTAGCGGGCAGGCTGTCTAGTGCTTCCATGCTGTAAGTGTCAATTGACCAGCCCTGAGGTTAGGAATCTTCCCTTGGCCAGCACTTCTGGAGACAGCATAATTGCAGGGATTATCCCTTCCTGCTTCCAGGTGTTGTTCAAGATGGTAAAAGCAAAAAAAAAATTAAAAAAAAATGATTCCATGGGTTGGCAAATGTGGTTCAGTGTGAGCAGGTGTAAAGTGATACATATTGTGGAATAACCGTAATTTTACATATATGCTGATAGGCATCTAAACTGCCAGTGACTGACCAGGAAGGGCATCTTGATGTAGTGGTGAATAGGTCAGTGAAGGTGTTGACCTGGTGTGTGGCAGCTATGCAAAAAGGCAAATTACATTAGAGAAGAGTGAAAATAAATTTGCCAGTATCTTAATATTGTTATGTGAATCTGTGTTGCAACTGCACTTGGAATACTGTGTGCATTTCTGTTCTCTGCAGAAAATATTGTATAGCTGGGAAAATGTGATGGGGGGAAATTGGGATCAGAAAATGAACTTATTTTGTAACAAACAAATAAAGTTGTACATGAAATTATTTTAAGCAGTTGAATGACGATGAAAACCAGTGTTGATCCAGATATTTCCAAGGAAAAGAATCCAAACACGAACAGTGTATACTAACAAAATACCCAAATTGTGAATAGATATAACTCAAAAATTATCGATGAACCTCAACACTTCTTGACCTTAGTCTTCTTCAGTGGTTTCTGTACCATGTACTTAAAAACTGTTTGGCATAAAAGCAAATGTGACTCTGCAAACAATGAAACACACACAATCAAAAGTAACTCCACCTATAAATTAAATGCTATTTTTTAAAAAACCTGATTGGCCACTGCAAGAACAGAATGATGGACTGCATAGGCCTTTGATCTAATTAGCAAAATGGCCCTTATGTCTGGGGCTCTTGTAGCCATCCTTGCCCAATGAGTAGTAGATTGTTGCTGAAGGTGATAAGTGGAACTGGTGAGTGCTGCTCTTTAGACTATTTCTAGCTACTTTATCAAAGATGATCACTCAGGGCTTCAGCAGTGGCACTGGGCGATGTCCTTCATGAACGCTTTTTCCTGTTCTGGGCCATGGACAAGGCACTGACTCCCTTGCTTCCTGCTTCTTACCCAACAGGAGGGCCTTGTGTATGCTGTGGAGTTCTCCCATCGCTCGGGTCGCGACCTCATCAATGTGGCAAAGAAACGGACCAACATTATCCCCGTCATAGAGGATGCACGGCACCCACACAAATACCGCATGTTGCTTGGTAAGATGCCTGTGAAACCTTAACACTTGAGCAAATAAGCCTTCCTTTCATGCAGCGGTTCTCAGCCTGTGGGTCCCCAGATATTGTTGAACTACAACTCGCATCATGCCCTGAGCTCTGGCCTTGCTAGCTAGGGGTGATGGGAGTTGTAGTTCAACAACATCTGGGGACCCACAGGTTGAGAAAGGCTGCTTTCATGTATGTTGGTTGAGCTGGACACCTCTTAGAGGAGCACCCTTTTTCGTCTGTCTTCTGTTTCCCCCACCCACTGGGCGAAAGCAGCTGCCCATGGATTGGAAGACCTTAGTAACATTAATACTTGCATTATGCCAAGCCCAACTGTTTCTATGTTGTCTACAGACAAGCAATGAGACTCCAAGGATTCAGGCAATGGTGTTTTCCAGCCTTAGATGGTGATGCTGGGGACAGACCCTGGGAACGTCTGCAGGCAAGATATGTGCCAGGTGTGGGGAAATTTTGCTTGCTGGGGCTGGTGGTGTTCCCCATACCTGGCATATGATCTACCACTGAGAAACATCCATTTGTGTTTATTTTGTTTATTAGGAACTGGCAAGCTGCTAGTAACTGATGCTGGGGATTGTACAAAATAAAAGTGTCTTGGGTGTTCTTCACTTCTAGAACATTGACAGGGAAGGTTCCTAACAGTCTAGGTTTTGTTAGTTTGATCTTAGCAATCAGAAAAAAAGTCTGAGCTGTTCCCCTAAATCAGTGGTTCCCAATTAGGGGTCCGCGGCCCCATCCCTTGCCTACACCCCACAAACTAAATTTTTGTCATTTTTGCATGGTAATATCACAAATTTTATGGTCTGCTGTGCCAATATCAATATATTGGCCAAAATCAGTTTTGAAATCATCCGCACGCCTGATCTGCACAAACCCCATCTGCCTAATCTCTGTGACTGCTGCTTCACTCATCCCCATGCCTGATCTACACACACCTGATCTCTGCAACTGCTCCTTTCCTCATTCCTGTGCCTGATCTCCCATTTCTGACATTGTGATATATCAGAATATTGTGATGTTTAGCTGCTTATATATCACGATGCTGAAAACCAGATATCGCTCAGCCCTAGTCTGTTTTTAATATACCGTATTTTTCGGCCCATAGGGCACACCTAGTTTTTTGGGGGGGAGATAAAGAAAAAAAATTATTCCCCCCCCAGGCGTGGGGCTGGGGCGGGGGAAGCCCGAGCTTCCCCAGCCCCCAGAACAGGAAGCTCTCCACAAGCCGTGGGAGAGCTGTGCGAAGCCCAAAGCCTGGGGGGCGCTGAGCTCAGCGCGCCCCCAGGCATCAGGGTGCAGGCAACTCTCCACAGCTTGCGCGCTGCCTGGAGGCTGCAGCGAGGCTCGGCGCACGCCCTCCCACGGCCTGCGACAGGCTTCCTGAAGCCTGCATTCGCCCCATAGGACGCACACACATTTCCCCTTCATTTTTGGAGGGGAAAAAGTGCGTCCTATATGGCAAAAAATACGGTAGCTAAAATCCTTTGCTTATTAGGGGCTACCCTACATTTTGTTCAGAAAATTGCTTTGCAGAGGTAACTACCATAAAGTTATCAAAACTTTATGGTAGTTCTTCTTTCTACAAGAAAGAAGATTCCACCTAAACATTAGGAAGAACTTCCTGACAGTAAGAGCTGTTCGACAGTGGAATTTGCTGCCAAGGAGTGTGGTGGAGTCTCCTTCTTTGGAGGTCTTTAAGCAGAGGCTTGACAACCATATGTCAGGAGTGCTCTGATGGTGTTTCCTGCTTGGCAGGGGGTTGGACTCGATGGCCCTTGTGGTCTCTTCCAACTCTATGATTCTAAGGGGTCTGTAGCTTGGCCTTTGAAAAATAAGGTGTCCTCAGTAATTAGCTAACTGGGAACCACTGTCCTAAATAAATGTGGGTAAAGTAGGTTAAATGAACACCGCTGCTGCCTCACTGCTGTTGATTTAATCACAAAAGTGCAGGGGCAGATCTTGACATTGTAGACTGGAAGTGGGAAACAGGGTTAGGGGGCCAAATCTGGAAGTCCCTCACCCGCTGTGGCCCACTTTGCTGTGTGGGTGGAGCCACCCACCTGTCAATCACCTGGTGCCATGACATCAGGGTAACTTGGCTTCAAAGGAAATAATTGGAAGCACAGCCTAAGTGTGCTCCCAGCCCTTCTTTGCAGCCCGGCTTGAGTTCAAGCCACAGCTGCAAAGGCAAAATGATATTTTGCATTGAAAAGTCCACCCCCCTTACATGTGGCACCTTTTTCTGTTGCCATGTATGGTGACAGGAAGAGGCACAAATATAAAAAGAGCTGACTTCCTGATGCAAAGGAAGAATCAAGTGTGTACTCCTCATTCTTTGTCCTCTTAGCCATGGCTTGAAATTCGCTGTGGCCAAAGCAGACAGGCCTGGGAAAGGAGGGTGTGTTGAATTAAGCCAGGGGTCCCCCGTTACTGTTCTAGGCTCTACTGTTTTTCTTTTGCCTGATGACCTTATTTCAAGTGAGGAAAGCAATAGGATTTGCAGGGCAACTTCCAGGTCCGTTATTCAATACGCCCCCTTGCTTTGCAGGCATGGTAGATGTGATCTTCGCAGATGTGGCTCAGCCCGACCAGTCACGTATTGTGGCTTTAAACGCGCACAATTTCTTGAAGAATGGTGGCCATTTTGTCATCTCCATCAAGGTAATGTTTAGTGCAACTGTTATATTTTTTTAACTGTATGACCTTCAGTGGGTCGTTTTCTTCGCCTTCGGCTGGAGAGTCAGCGGGGGCTAAGAGCTGGTTTTTGGTGGTCCATTGGAATTCCATCTCCCTCATCAGGAAGACCAACCATTCTGGGGCAGGATTCACAAGTCTACACCTTCTTCTGGTCATGGCAGTTTGCTATCCGTCAAGACACTTATGCAAACATAAAGAATTTTGCCCAAACCTCGCTGGTTCAGATATCAAAAGAGCCTAGATCATGCCCGCTTCCTTTCTTGTGCTTTGCTGGTCAGTGGCAGCTATTTTCAGGCAGAAACCATGGAGAGTGTGGTGGGGCGAGCGAATATATCCGAGTAAAAGAGATCAGACAAATCAATTTTTCTTTTGTCTCTCTCCTGCTCGTTGGCTGCAGCCGTTTAAGGACAAAACCATGATGGGCAAGGAAGAGAGATTGCTGATTCCCATAGGAATCAATGGAAATTATGGACTTGTTAGGCCTAACGAACAATTTCCAACGAAAGCTTTGTGGCCGTAAATGGCACCTAAGTGTATAGAAGGCCAATATGCCTTCCACCCAACTGACAAGTGTTAGGCCTATTTGGATTGCTGGATGTAATCTCTGGAGTTGTGTTGGAGAACCCCAGGACTGTTTTCTTAGAGGAGGGAGGCAACATTCATGCTAATGCTGCCTCAAGGTGTCCGGTAATTTGAGCAATCTGGAGGTGAGTGACCAGGTGGGCTGACAGCATGGTCTTTAGACGAGGGGGGTAAAGGTGACCATTTCTTAAGAAGCCCTCTGTGGATCTAGAAGTGTGTGATAGCTACTGCCAGCGCACAATCACCCTCTTGGGGGAAGGTTCTCAAGCTGGTGGTGGCTGTGATCTTGGGAAGAAACTGGTTATCTGGACCCATTCCAGTCTTGGTCCAGACCTGATTCCTGATTCAGAGACCACACTGACCTTGTTTGCCCTGGGAGATGACTTTTATTGAGACAGACACGCAAAAATGCAACCCATTTGCTTTTTGATCTATCAGTTGCCTTTGATAACACTGATCTTAGCAGTGTGTTTTGGTGGGTGTAAGAGACACAGTACTACGGTGGTTTGGCTTCTGCCTATGGGGCCAGTTCCATGCAGAAAGTAGAATTGGGGGGAAGTAGCATCTTTGCCTCCTTGCAGTCACACTGTGGGGTGCCACAGGATTCCATCGTGTCCCCAAGGCTAATAAAGCCATTAGGTATGCTTTTTAGCAGGTTTGGCGATTTGCAAAGAATGCCCAAATGCATTTCTTTGTAACTTCTGCATAGTCATACATAACTTGGGTCCTGGGTAAGGGTGACCTGCACAAAGGCCAAGAAGCTGAAACGGAATCCTGCCAATGAAGAGGCCTTTGAGGGTGGGTGTTTCCTGGCTCTAAAAATTAGACGGGGTCCCTGTTCTGGACAGGTGTGGAACCAGGCTGCTAGCGTGCTCCTGTAACATAAGGGAGCGATGAATTGTCCCTCTTAGATAAGCTTGAAGGCTTGCTGTTAGACTGACCTGCTTGATTCTCTCCTCCCAGGCCAACTGCATTGACTCAACAGCAGCACCGGAGGCCGTCTTTGCATCAGAGGTGAAGAAAATGCAGCAGGAGAACATGAAACCCCAAGAGCAGTTGACTTTGGAGCCCTATGAGCGGGACCATGCTGTAGTAGTTGGCATTTACAGGTACAGATAAGTCTGGGAGTGCTGATTTCTGGATGCGCTTGGTATTTCCTTGGAGGCATAAAAGGGGAACAGGTAGCATTGGGACATAATGAGGAGCAACTACTGTTCTTCCCACCCCACACTCGAGCAGAGGGAAGAGTGGGCTTGTTACAGGGTTGGAAAAGAACCAGGGTGTTGATGGGGCTTGTGTGCACACTGTGTATTCTGACCAATAAATAGCAGCCAAGCAATCTAAATAAGTTGCAAAGCAGGCCAGATATGCATCTGGTTTGCATTATAATGGTTCTTTCCCCACTCTGATCAAACTCCTTTGATTGGACGGTATCCCAACACATTTCTTCCGTCCCTCTCCTCTACCGACACACACCCATTATCTCTTAAAATCATTGCAACCTGTAAAGTATGCCAGTCTCCACCCTAACTGGGTTTCCCTGTTGTACAGGAACCTAAGAAGCTGCCCTTCATCTGTCAGACCATTTGCCCGTCTAAACTAAACCCTGTCCACTGTGGTTGGCAATGGCTCTCCGGGGTCTCACGCTGAGGTCTTCCCCATCCCTTGCAACCTGAGGCATTTAAACGGAGATGCCAAGGTTTGGTCCTGGGACCTTCTGTGTGCAATGCGTGTGCTCTACTGCTGGGTTGTGGTCCCTTATAGGTGAGGGGGAATGTGGCCCTTGGGGAACAAAGATCAGTGTGAAGCTACACCTCTTTTTCCTGCTGCCCCCTAGTCTCCTGGGAAGTGCATCAGGGCAAGCAGGGGTGGCCCCCTTAAATATTTTACTGAGGGGGCTGAAGGGACTTCGGTCCCTAGGAGTTGGCTCCTATGACTGCAACTCCTATCAGCCTTGGGAAGCATAGCCAATGACTAGCAACGATGGGGGCCTCAGTTCAGCAACACTGAGAGGGGAGCAGGCACAGGTTCCCCACACCTGTCCCAGCAGAACAAGGGTTGCTAGTTCAATAGCAAGAGTTACCAGCCTGGTCCCAATTAAATATATAAATGTCTTTCTGCAATTGATCTCTCTTCTCTACTTCCCCCCCTCCCTTTCCCTTATATGTCACATGTCTTCTTTTCTTAAACTCTGCACTTGAAGGCAAAGCTCTATCTTAAGTAAGGAGCTACCTATCTAAAATGGGATAAAAATATGAACAGGAATATAATGTATTTACAGTTCGCACAAGGAACTGGAACAAAGAAAAAGTTACAGAATGTAAAATACGTAAGATCTTTAAAGGAACCAGAAAGCAATTGTAGATTGTCTAAAAGGAAAATGCAAATATTTGGAAGGTTTGCTACTTGCTTAGTGACTCAAAAAATAGGAGACCAAAAGGTGCTTCAAAAAGAATTTGGGATACAATTACAGCAATGAAATAAAAACAGATGCGTCAAAGTTCATGCAGTATAATTGTGGATATCCATGAATAGCCTTCAAGCTCATTGATCTCTGGAGGACAGGCACTACAGCTCTCTCTCATGGGTATCTAACTTGTGGTTCCCCAGATGTTACTGAACTCTTAATGTGACCTTCAGAAGTTTGTTCAAATGCACACTAATTTAGGCTGCGGGTGCTAAATCATCATCCATTCCCTTTCAACAGATTTCAACTAGTTGTATTTCAACAGAGGCTTCATCAGCATTGCTTAATTCACTAGGCTCCAATTTGTGTGTTATGGGAATTGGTTCATCTGATATGATGACAGTGTGAGTCCCTGTTATTGAAATCATTCTGTGTTGTGTTGCCCTTGCTTGTCACGTTACTGCAAGTAGCTGGCAGGAAACAGTATCCTGGTATGTGTGCCGTACATACCTGGGAAGATTGAGAGTCTTTCCATGAAATGGCTAATGCTGGTTTAGGCTCCTGCAATCAGCGATATCCTTGTTGCCTCCCACTCGGCCTTTGCTATCAGGATTACCACGGAATACTCACAAAATGAACTTTTGTGTATGAGAAGCTGATGTTGATACTGAATGGTACATTTTAGAAAATAACCTCTGCATTGTCAAAGCACATTGGTCAACAGTCTGTTAACAAACACTCTCCTTTTCCTTACAGACCACCTCCTAAACAGAAGAAATAAAGTGTGGAAGCTAGTAGGTGACCATTGCAACAGTGCTTTAGGTCAGAGTTGCTTTTTCTGCCGCTTCAACAATACAGGACTCTTTCTACTGACTAGACCCCAACTTTCTTTAAGGCCAAGCATTTACGCAGAGATGCAGTTGTGCATTGGTGTTCTGTGGCGTTATCAAATGTGTATATTTTTTATTAAAATAAGTAATGTAGATATGCACTGGTTTTGCTTGTGGACTTGCATATAATCAACAAGGATCAGAATTAGTGTAGCAGCTTGTAAAAGTCTCTCCTTTAAATATGTATTTGGTACAGGACTGTAACAAGTGGGGTGCCGCAGGGTTGTGTCCTGGGCCTGTAGTTGTACAATGTCTTTATAAATGATTTGGATGAAGGAATTGAGGGGGTGCTCATCAGATTTGCAGATGACACCAAACTGGGAGGGGCAGCCAGTGCCACTGAAGACCGATCAGGATTCAAGATGAGCTTAACAGATTGGAGAACTGGGCCCAAACTAACAAAATGAATTTCAGTGGGGACAAATGTAAGGTTCTGCACTTAGGCAGGAAGAACCAGCTGCTCAAATATAAGATGGGGGATATTTGGCTTGCCAATAGTACGTATGAAAAAGGTCTAGGGAGTCTTAGTAGAGCACAGGCTTAGCACAAGTCAACAGTGTGATGCAGCAGCACATAGCTTATGCTGCATGAACAGAAGTATAGTTTCGAGATCAAGGGAAGTCATAATACTGCTCTATTATTCTTTGGTCACACCACGTGTGGAGTACTGTGTCCAGTTCTGGGCACCACAGTTTAAGGAGGATACTGACAAGCTGGAAGGTGTACAGAGGAGAGTCACCAAGATGATCCAAGGGTCTGGAAACCAAGCCTTATGAGGAGCAGCTGAGGGAACTAGGTAAAGGGTGCATGGGGTGTTAGAGGAGGGATAGTACCTCTGGTGGGCCACGCATGCGCCTTCTGAGGTAGTTTGTCCATCTTTGGTCCCCACCCTGCACTGTGTTCTCACCTGTGGCTCCTAGAAGCTGCCAGTATCCACACCCTGGGGAACGGCTTTGACTGGCCAGCTAAACCAAATGAGGGTAGTTGTTGGGTCTCCAGCCTTCAGTGGGTATGGGACTTGCCCTGCACGTGAAGACAGGCTTCAGCAGATTGAGTGGACAAGACCAATAGTGGGCCCAATGGTCAACAAGGTGGTTTCTGCACAGGCAGTAGAGGGAAGTGAAGGAACATGGGGCTCGTCAACCTGGGAAGGTAGCCCATCTAGGAGAAGGAAACTCTGATCCTACACCTCCGCTGCCTTGTGGAATATCTTGAGGAGAAGAAAAGGCTAAAGAGTAAAACCCTACATAATACAGAGTGGATAATTCTTCAGACAGTTGGAGGGTGACTTGTATGTCTCCTTCTAGCAACTCCTGCAGCCAAGCTGGTGCCTGATGTATTGTGCTGCTTTCCTTTGGACTACATCAGCAAGGCTGAGGGGGAGGGATTGTCTTCTGAGCAGCCTAGGACCTCCATACACACTGCCCAGGTTTGCACCCAAGAGAGGTCATTTTGGTGCTGCTAACACAGCAAAAACATTGCAGGAGGCAGCAGTTGCAAGTTACCAGTCTCTGCATCCACAGTGGACGCTGTGACTCTCTACCAGTTTGATTTCACCCCTGGACGCCCACTCCATTCTCTCAAGACAGACTGATGCCAACAGCAGCCTGGTAAAGAGACTGAGAAGAGAAATAATAGTCATCATCAAACATCTAAAGGGCTGTCACATGGAGCAAGATTGTTTTCTTCTGCACTGGCAGCTAGAACCCAAATCAATGCATCCAAGTTACAAGAAGGGAGATTTTTGTGCGGGCCATTTGAATGCGGAACAGACTCCTGTGAGAGGTGATGGGCTCTTTCCTTGGAGGTCTTTAAGCAGCGGTTGGGTGGCAATCTGTCATGTATGGCCTAGTTTATATTCCTGCATTGCAGGGTGTTGGACTAGTTGAACCTTTAAATCTCAACTCTACAGTTCTAGGATTCCAGGATGAGTTCTACTTCTGTACTCTTCATCTTCAAGTGGTAGCTTGGGAGTTACAGGCAGTTCACAGCCTAAAATGGGTCACACCCCAACATCAGCACCATTTAAAAAAAGTTGTTTAGGATATGTTTTTAAATTGAGGAAGACGACCCAACTAGGCGTAAGAGAAAAAATAGAGGCTGGCAATGTGTGGGGTAGACAGAGTAGAGAAATATGACTGCACTGTAGGCCATATAATGGCCAACATTCATTATGTAAAACTGACCAGAGAGTTAGCTCTAGAAATCTGAGTTTGCATACATATGCTTGTAAAAGACATACGGGGATCCTGAGATGACCAAAGTACTCATCTCTTTAAGTTTGTTTCCAGGCTCAGTGAAGACGCGATATAAAATCAGATGGGTCTCTGTCCTGAAGGCAAGACATAGATGGGCATGGGGAAGGGACATTTAATGGTGTTGTTAAAAAAACTGGATGACTGTAGTTTCTCTTGGGCTGGGTGGCAGATGTTATTCCTAGATGGTATGGTTTCAGTACACACCAGCACCACTCTGCCCCATTAAAAATCCTGGATTATTACATATCTTTGGTAGCGTATATGGGACAAACATGAAATTCTATGAGGCATTTAGAAATTTACTATGCATGTTAAGCCTAGACTAGCATCCCAGTACTGGATATGAAGGAAGCTTCTCCAGAGCTGTGGAATGTTGCATCACAGCATCATCCTGTAGTCTGTACTGCCTGGATAGCACCTAGAGCAGGGGTCAGCATGGTTTACCTTGCCTGGGCTGGTTCACTCCAGTGGATATCCCTCCGTGGGCTGGATTGCGCATGAGCGAGCACACCCGTGATTCCCAGCGTCTCTGCAGGCTCATGGGCCAGTTAAACGACCCCCAAGGGCCGCTTCTGGCCCATGGGCCTTAGGTTGCCAACCCCTGACCCAGTGATAGTTCCCATCGCAGGGGCTGCTTTGTAGGCGTCTCCCACATGTAACAGGACTTCTCCCACATGTAGCAGGATTAGGACTGTTAAGCGCTGCACCATGCAGTTAGCATCCCCAACTGAGAAGAGGGTGTCATTTCAAATGCTTCCCTGATCTACAAATCCAAATGCCTAATATTTTTGATCGTTGGTGCTCCTTAAAATACTGCTATCGGCCGTACCATCTCCATGCCACCAAGGTGATGTCAGCACACTGCTCTGGTATGCAGAAGGTGATCGTAAGGAACTTAAGAGGCTTCCCCAGCCCTGCCTGCGGAAGGACTGCACACGGGGCCTTCTGCATTCAAAGCAGGTGCTCTACCACGGCCAAATATCACTAAGGACTAGGGGAGAAAGGTTTCAAATTTCCCTTTTGTTCTGCTCTTAAGTCTCCCCCTCCACTATCCTCTGGGAAAGCATTCAACGGCTTTGGGGCACAAATCTAGGGCACCCCTCAGTAAAAATGAGGACGGTCCCCAAATGCAGATGGACTGTCTTGCTACGTTTTTGGAGTACTGTAATCCACACTGCCATCTAAAGAGGAGTGGAGGGATGTATAAAGACCACTGCGCCCAGAAGCCTTAGCATTACCTAACTGCGCCGCTGTACGAAACGATAGGGAGCACCCACACCAACCCCCTTCCTTTCAATCTGCAGTGGTACGGTCCAGAATTCTACCCTCTCATTCTGTGTCACGTAGAGCGAGAGAACGGCTCTAAGCTTCGCGGCTGCCATTCTGGAAAGGGACGTGAGTGAGGCGCGGGGTGGGGTGGAGGGAAGGAGCGTTATAGACACACATACACACACACACACACACACACGGCGGCCCGCAGACACTTGCGCATGCGCACACCCGTTTGGGAGGGAGGAGCGTCGAAAGGGAAAGAAGCACGCGCTCCTGAAGAGAGAAAGAGCGCGCGCGGGCGCGCGTCCATTTCTTCCCCCTCCCCCTCCCGGCCCGCTGCCTCACGTGGCCACGCCGGCGGGGCGCATGCGCTCGGCGGCGGCAACGGAGGCGGTTTGTTGTGGTCGCCATTTTTTGTTGCATTACTGGGAAATCCCGGCGCCGGAGCAGCCGCCGGAGTACGCCCCTTGCGCTGGGGGTGGGGGCGCAACCCGCCCGCCTGCCGCGCCCCGCCCCCAGCGCGCTTCTCCTCCTCAGCCCCAGCTTTGAAACACGCCGCGGGCCGCAGCCGCCTCCTCAGGTAAGAGACCCGCCCGCCTGCCTGCCGCTCCCCATCCGACCGCCCTCCGGGCCCTTCCCAGGGAGAGGAAGGAGAGAGGAGGGGAGGGAGGGACGGAGGGGAGGGAGAGAAAGGCGGGCGCCGTCGCGCCTTCCTCTTCCTCCCCAACCCCCCCTCCCCCAACCGCCACCCGTCCAATCCTTCCCGCCTTTCTCCTCAGCTCATCCCGGCTGCGGCGGGCAGATTCTCCCAGGGAGCCGGACTCTCTCCCTCTCTCGTCAGGCCCCGCCCCTGGCCGGCTCTTCCCCGGCTTCGCCTCGCCTCGGGCGGGACCCCGCTCGTCCTCCCGGCCGGGCCGCCCCGCCCCGTCCTCATCCCCTCCCCGCCGCCCGACCCCACCCTGATTCTCCGCCGCCGCCGCCTTTTCTCCCACTTCCTTCCCCCAAAACTTCTGCCCTCCGCAGCGCAGCCGCCCGTTTCTGCCTTCTCCTCCCCGATAGGCCCGGCCTTCCTTACTGAGTCCCCACATCCTCCTCCTCCTCTGATCGTTGCTGCTGCTGCTGGTGGTGCATGGATGGACAAGACCCATCTTTTTTCTCCCCCCCCCTTTCCCTTCGTCTTTCTTTCTTGCAGCCGTGTTAGTCTTTATTACATTAAGCACCACCACACACTGTTTCCAGGCTTGTGGCGCCTTTTCAGTGTATTATTTTACTTCGTCGGAGGGCTCAAAAAAAAAAAAAAAGATTTCTGTGGCAATCTAATAGCGATATCAAATGCTCATTATTGTGATAGCAATATAACGATATCAGATATTCGACTGATATTAAATATTAAAACCACTGAAGCTTAGGCTCCAGTAAATCCAGTAGTCTTTAAGGTGCTCTCCTCGCCCCCCACCCCAAATCTCTTGGGCATTTGTGATGTGCAAATGCCTCTGGATGAGAAAATCACTGAGTTCTGCTAACCACAAACATATATGTGTATTGAATGGGTGGGTTTTTTTAAAAAAAATATCTAGATGAAATTAATATATACACGTACAAGGTGGTTAAAATGATGAGCCCTTTTAACTTCAGGTGAGCTAGGATTACCATAAATTAGTAAAGTAGGTAAATGTTGCTCCACTGTGCACCATGATCGATATGGGGCTTCTTGCATCAAGATACCTGTTGGGTAAAGCTCAGCCTTAAAAATTAAGAGAGTTTACTCCATTGGCTTAAATGAGATGTGGGTTGATCCCTTTGGGGATTTTACTCCTTCCAGGAAGTGAATTTATGTTTATATTTTTGTTGTATTTTTGGATAGCCCCATAAACATGGATATCTCCCCCTGCCCACAATCATGCTGTGAGCATTTCAACTATTGTGGTGAAATAGTACACTTGAGTTGTCTTCCTTTCTCTGGAGAAAGTTGCCTAGAATACACAACCTTCATAAACTGCCCTCATCATAATGTGTCCTATGTTCTCAATCTTCCCCTCCCAGGTGAGGATAAATCAGTACATGGTATTTGTAACCTTTGGCTCAGCACTAATTATTATAGTGTGTCACTTATATCTTTTATTTATTTATTTTTTAAAAATCTTATCTCTCTCCCCCTCCCTGCCGCAGTTTCTTATGCTAATACCATAAATGCCATCATGCATAATTTCAGTAATATGTTGCAATGATATCATTTGCAGCAGCTATGAATGGTAAGAGCAGGTAGTGGAAAAGAGATTTAAGTTGACAATACAGATAACCTGTAGAACCCTTGCTCCAGGATGTTGCTGACGCCAGGTATTTAATACTATCTATAAAGAAATAATCAGCGCAATCATATTAATGTTTGCTCTGAAATAAGTGCTGTTATGTGTAGTAAGGTTGCTCCCTAACTGCAATGAGCACAAACCATTGAACACAGGGGGACTTATTTGTAACATATATAGGATTGTGCTGTAGAAGTTTTGCAAATAAAACTGATGGGATATAATTGTTTTCCATATACGTACCTACACCTTGTGATGGAATTTATTTAATTCTGTAATCTGGATGGTAGTTGTTTTTACCAGTGCTGTCTTTATGACCTCAATGCTTTATGACCCCATGTGCCAGCTTACTTGGGTCCAGCTAATCACAACTTTGTGTAAATTGAGATTTCCTTTGGTTTCCTGGAGCAGTTCTGCCTATGCATATTTGTGGTACCTGTTGCTATTTACAAATGAGGTCGTTCTTAGAAACAAATACAGAAAATATTTAATCTGCTTATCAGCAGTTGGTTTCTGAAAACCCCTGTATTGGTTCATAGAACTTTAGTAGCAGGCCCAGATTTCTGTAGGTTCAGAAATTGTTCGTAGTTGTTGATGTGGATGTCAGGTTAGATATCTTGCATCTCTAACTGTGCCTGAGTTGAACCTGTAAGTAAGGTTGAGATATGAATTTGTGGCATCTGTACAGCACTGGCAATTATTTGTTAGCCCCTGATTTTGAATAATAGGTTTTCTTGTTCTCAGACTCACACTGCTGCAGTAATGTGGGGACATGTACTATCTCAGGTGTAATCGTAGCATATTAACTCATTTATGAGTGAGTACAACTTTTAAGAAACTAAGACTGTTGGATGAACTTTATGCATTTTTTCTGCATGGTCACTAGTAGGCAACATTTGTGCAGTATTTAAGTTCAGCATATGCCTGATTTCATACTAGTCTGCCCTATGCTCTTGCAAAACCCCTGCTACCATTGTGTAGCCATGAGTATTTTCTTCACCTAGTCTAGCCTATACAGTACTGTAAGAGGTAGCATCACTGAAACCTGTGAGATAACTATGTCGTGCTAAGTGAGTGGAGACTAAGAAACCCATGGTGGAATTAATCTTTTCCTCTCCTCTAGAATGGAAGCCTTTGGGAAAGGACCATTGGATAACATGTTGCAGGCTCTTGTAAACTAGGTAGAAGAATAGGGGCTTCCTTTCCTTGTTAGGGTGCACTAATAGCTCAGGAGCATAAAAAGTTGTGGGAATGGTTGTTTCTGCAGCTGAGGAGGCTGAGCGGATAGGTGTCTCACTTTCTCTGATTTGCCCAGAATGTCCAGATACAGGATTTTGGATGGGTAGAATATTTGTGTAGGTTGTTTGTTTGCTTGTTATTTGAAGTTACATAGCCTTTCACACTTGGGGTTCAGGTTTTTTACACACTGACTGAAAGTGCCACTGGGGACATGGAAAGGTTACAGTGCTATAGGCACTTCCTGTGGTTGCTCACTGATACCATGGTATTTACTGATAACATGTTGTTAGATGTAGACAGCACAGATAAGGATCAGGAAGTTATTTTGTGATAGAAGTTGATGATTTCATAAACGTCAGTAGTAGTTCAGTGGAAGATGACCCTTGGTAGTAAGTACAGTGAAAGGTGACATGGTTGGGATGTAGTAAATACTTTGTTCTTAGCTGAAAAGGACAGTAAAGAAGGAAAGAGAAGCTCTTTGAGTCTTGGCAAAATACAAGATACCTATGAGCAACAAAATGTGAATTAACGAAACAAAAAAAAGACAAATTGATTATTGGATTACTAAATGGGTATTTTCACTAAGGATGCAGAGATACTAATAACTTTGTATAAGGCTTTGATGAAAGATATTCCAGATGTTCAAGAAGCATAATTTTATAGAGCCATGGAGCTGAAGGACCCCAAGGCCACCTCGTTTATTCACCATCACAAGGTGGGGTTATCTGTACATCAGCATAAGATCAATCCATGAAAATTCAAACTACAACATGTCACAAGCTGAGAGCAAGTACATCACATAACTCTGTAAGCATAAATCATTTTAGGTGATTGAAATGAGCAGTCCAAGGCGCATGCTGCAAATTCATGTTGTTTCTGTGACCTCTTTAGAATGGGTTTACTGCAGGGCAAACTTTTGTCCACAGCCTTTTTCACCTGGTGCTAGTTGCAGAATTCTGACATCTTTGCAGTGATAGACTACTACGGCTAGTGTTCTAGAAAGTGGAACAAGTTTTGCATGGTTTTTCATAGGCAACCACAGCATCTGCTGCAGCCACCAGGTACATTAAGGGCACCAAAATACCTGTTTCCTTCATGGCTTGTATTGGATGTGGCAGTTGCCCAGAAGTGGGGAACTCCTTTCTCCACCCACCCCTGCAGGCCAACTTGTGACATATGTGCAGGGGCTGTCATGCGGAAAGGTGACAACTTGAAAGAGACTTACCTTTGAAATCCCTTTGCAAACAGTTTCAATACATGCTGCTTGCAAATTGACTTCAAAGTAATGGCAGCCATACCTTTACCTGACGTCAAATATGATGTTAGAAGTGGGACAAATCGGTATGGTTTGGAGGAAATGGCCTTGCAGGCAAAATTAGGACTTCTGGGCCTAATTAGGTACATGAGCTGGAGGTTCCTTGTCCCTGCAGTAGCAAAAGATCAGTGAGATGATCACTATACTAGAGTAAAAGTAAGTTGAATGAGAAACATGGCACTGTCTGTTCTATTTACATTCCCAAAGAGAAACTGAAATGTTCTAAGGTGGTAAGCAAGCAGCTCTGAGTTTGACCTCTTAAAGCTGAGGTTGAAAGATGACCCGTCCACTTGAGAAATGATAGCCTTCTCCTAAGTGTGTGAATGGACAACAACATTATGATCTGGTGTCAGACTTTATATGGAACTAATAAGTTCCATGGTTTTATAGAAAGGAGGTTTCTTGAACCTGTTAAGACATTTGACAAAGTTTCTGTAAAAATCAGAGGCTTTACATCAGTTGTCTGGGTAGGCTATTTTATTTTTCCTGGATGCTAGCAGAACACAAAATTGTTAGCTGGGTAATCCTTTTATAGTTCACAGACTTCATTTTGTGTTAATTTGATAAAAGACTGGTTGCAGAAAATCCACAAAGAAGAGGAAGGTGCTGTTGTTAAGGCTTGCATACATTTGTTGATACTCTGTTCTCAGTTCTTTTTGAGCTCTTGTTGAAACTATAGGATGGATACTGTTCAGCGGCCATAGCATAAATAACTCATTTGGCATTTAGCACACTAGGAAGCGTCTTCATCTATCTGAAGGAGAAGCTGGAAGTATAAAAAAAGGACCTATTAAGAGTAGAAACAATGTGGCTTGTGAGAATCCTGTATCATTGTTGGTTTTGCCATTGTGAAGGCTTCTTACTGTCATTCCAAAATACAGGGAAGTTGCGGCAGTATGACTACTTTGAGTTAAGAGCACATATGCTGATGGTCTTGTCATCTGCCTCCTTTTACTATTTGCCTAAATTACTTTCTGCATAATTTCTCAATTAATTTAAACCATTAGGACTATTTCCTACCTGAATGGCTCCCCCACTTACCATTGTCCTGCCTTGAACTCAAGATCTGGGTGTGAGGTTGTACTTGAAGTTTTTCATACAGAATGTTGACAAACTGGATGCCATCAGATGGAACATAATTTACACAGAACTGCTATAAGGAGCCTGGTGAAGTATCTTTAGTCTTTTCTATAAATCTTGTAGTCTACCTTACTTGGGTATCATTACATTTCATGAAATGTTTCTATGCTTACTTAACTTTTATCAGCCAGTGTTCCTGGTTGAAGCACTGTCCCAGCCCTCAAAATACCTTTTTCCAAATCCTGTCGAAATCAGTTCAGTCCTCCTTCTTCTCACATATCCAGCTTTAAATCCCCAAATACCTTGTTGACCATATTTAATTATTTTCTTGTACATCCTTTCACATTTTCATTAAATGTTTACTTGTAGTAAACTTTGTGTGGGAAAATTTGCATTTCATTATAAGAGAAATAGAACTGTTAGTGAAGAAGGGTGATGGTCCCATTTGACAATGTAGATCCAGTTCAGTTTCTGTTATCTCCTTCCTAGCCTTCTTTGATTGTTCAGATTTTGCATTCTAAACCAAGGTAGATGGAGACCAAATGGCACTGACTATGTCAGCACATCTCCTGGTTTCAACACTTGCAGAAGATGGGGAAAGGGAATTTCCTAGTGTCAAAAAAGAATGAATTTAAGATAATGTAGAAAAATAAGTTATATTAGGAGCCTAATATAGTGCTGTGGTCCACAATAATCATCCAGCTAAAATTGGTTTCACAATATTTTGGCCATAGTTTTAGGAAAGAGAAATATGTATAACAACCCTAACTCTGTATTCATAGTCAGATCATCGAGTTTATATAATTGGCTTTGAAATTCTGATTCAAGAGCAGGCCATTCCCAATATTCCAAAAGCTTCCAACAAATTTAGGTTGTGATTGCCTCTGGACAATAGGTGTTTGGTTGTATTTGAACAACCTTAGTAAGTAAAGGAACTTGGACAGACCTGAAAGTCATTGCTTAAAATTTCAGCTTGGTGCACTGCGACTGACAAAGACTCACATTAAAAGCTAACTACTTCAGAATGAATTGGAAAATAATTGGTAAAACTAACATAACTCTCCAATGTACATGCAACTTAGTACTATGTGTTGTTGTTGTTGTTGTTTAGTCGTTTTAGGTAAAGGTAAAGGGACCCCTGACCATTAGGTCCAGTCGTGGCCGACTCGGGGGTTGCGGCACTCATCTCGCTTTATTGGCCGAGGGAGCCGGCATACAGCTTCTGGGTCATGTGGCCACAATGGCTAAGCCACTTCTGGCGAACCAGAGCAGCACACGGAAACGCTGTTTACCTTCCCACTGGAGTGGTACCTATTTATCTACTTGCACTTTGACATACTTTCGAACTGCTAGGTTGGCAGGAGCAGGGACCGAGCAACGGGAGCTCACCCCGTCGCGGGGATTCGAACTGCTGACCTTCTGATCGGCAAGTCCTAGGCTCTGTTAGTTTCCTCATATTTCAGAAGTGAATATTGAGCATAAGCTAAAGTGATAAGAACCATGGTCAAAAAGAGAGAACTAAATTAGAATATTGAATATGGAATGAGGTTTGCCCATTGACTTAATACTAAATAAAACTGGAGAGCGCTGAGTAGTTTTTAAAGAAGCACATATTTTATGCTAGTACAAACCTGTGGCTCTTACTTGCACAGAATGTAGTAGTAGTCTCTAGTAATACTGAGTTAAAAAAATATTAAACCCATTCATGGAAGATCAGAGTATCTACAGTAAAACTGTCAATGGCTGGAGGAGAACAGCGGGAAGAGATTCTCTGTTAGTATCCTGGGTCATTAAAACATATTGTGACATCCAAATCTAGTCACTGTTGGAAACAGGATACTTGGCTGGCTGGACCTTTAGTATGACCCTGAATAGCTCCTCTTGTCTACTCAAGGCCTCTTCACTGAGACAGGATCTTTCACACCCAAACATGACTAGTAGGTTAATCCATGTCACCCATATTACTGCCAGCAGTCTGCTGCATAGTATTCCCCCTGCCACAGTCTTAGTTCTGTGCACTTGATTTGTGAGATTTCCATGTATGTAATTCAGTGAGAAATCTAGCAGTAATTCTAGGCTTAAGTATTTTCACTTGCACTGTGTTTACTGCTGTATGATATCCTCATGACCAGTAATACAGTGTTTATCTTGAAAATATTATTATGCTCTGAACTCACTTCGGTCTGTGATGATAATATTCCCCTGCAATGTTTGTGACAGTGCCCTGAATCATCTCTATATACCCTACCGTTTACTCAGAAGTATGGCTCATAGACTTACGGAAACTTGTTCCAAGAAAGTGTGCTTATGATTTCAACATAAGCTTCTATCTTCAGCACTCTTGGAGGCACATTCCATTAAAATCCATGAGACATACTTTTCAGTGGAGTCTTGTTTTCCTCACTTTAATCCTTCCACATTGGTCTTCTCTAGCCTCTCTTGATATGTGTTGAATTTTATAAACAGGTTTTCTTTTGCTCTTCCCTTCCTCCCTGAGATGTTACTCAGGGCCCATATAATTTCACAACAGTGGCAGTTAACTCTTCAGTTCTTTTTGCCCAATATAAATATGAGCCCGTTACATGCTTTAATCCCATGGCTTTAGAATGAAGTTCAGCACAAGGGATTCCTAATCATTCTGGCCACATTTTGACTGGGAATATAACTAAGTTTTATGAGGCTTGCATGTGATGAAGGTAAGACCATTACTAAGTTGCAATGAGGAAAAGAGCTCTCAAGGAGCATGGAATAGATTCCGCCTCAAAGAAAGATGCCATTTTGCCAAACAAGATGTTTTTCAGTGCTCAGTGTTTAAGGTGACAGTAGTCTGAAAGTTCCCAGGTTTATAATGAACTCTGTGGCATTCTGATGTAAATCATAGATAGATGTTTTTCTTCAGTCAGGGAAAGGCCTGTGGCCCTTCAGATTTTGTTGGACTACAGCTACCAACATCCCTGTCCAATGGCCATGCTGGCTGGGATTGATGAGTGTTCAGAGTCCAAAACATTTGGAGTGCTGCAGGTTCCCCACCCTTGTTCTAAGGACAGACAAGTAGCTGGCATCCTTCCACATTGGATCATATGACATTAGAATTTTCTGTAAAGGTTCTGTTTGCTGCCTTAAGTTTTTGAGCATTTCTGAAGGCTCTAATTTAGACTGGGTTTACCTGACCTTTTTTCTTTATTTCCACACCTCCAGTAGCTTGAGTTGAGTCTCTAGGCCCAGTGGGTTAGAAAAAAATGGCAAAGAAATGCAGACCTGCAACACAGGTTAGCAGGCACCTAGGCTTAAATAAAAGTGAGGCTCCTAACTCATTTCAGGACCCTTTGGCTAGAATATTGACAGTAGATTATAGGTTTCTGACTAGGGTGCAAGGCAGTCGAGTTGTACGTGGAGACCTAGCCTTTTTTTATCCTTGTCCTTTTTAAAGAATCTGTGAAATGTCCAAAACCTCTGATCTGGTAGAACTGTGGCAGTGAACCTCTGTTGAGGATACCTGGTGCTCTGTGGCTGCCAAAAGAAAAGGCAGGCACAGCTAGGGAATTGCAGCCAGGCCAGGCAACCTTTTATGTTAGCCTTGCCAGTTACACCGAAGGATGGAGACAGATAGGAAATTCAATTCAAGCACCCCATGGGATTCTGAACTGGGGGAGAGTTTTGCACCCAGCTGGCTCTGAGAGTCACTGAACAGGAGAGATCACGACTGCCGTGAGTGGCTGTGGCATCATGCCAGCACCATGAGCCCTGTTGTTGCTGGGTCTCCCTTTGCAGGTTATTTCTAGCCCCTGTTCCTGGAAGGAGAGCCAGTTCTTTACCGAGGTATTTTTGGAGACTCTCGCCTTCTCCTCTTTCTTGCTTTGTTTGGGCATAATCAGCCCATTGCATCCCGGAGAACCTAGCAACACCGCCTGGCTTCCCATTGGTTCCCTGGCAGCTCTGCTTCTCCAATGAGAAGCTTGTTGCCATGGCAGAGGCACCACTGCACAGAAGCGAGTGAAGAGGCGGGGATTGAATTTGCTGCCTGGTGGAAATCTGCAGGGCAGAACAGGGACCAAGCAGAGGGTTAATGTGTAGCCTGTGGCCTGGAAGCGGAGTGCAGGCTTGGCCCTGTGCCAGTGACGTACAATGCCAGGGTGGGCTAACGGAATGAAACTCCCCTAGGTAGCCCTACATGTTTGGAAATGCAGCTTCTTGGCTAATTTCTCCTCTGCTGCAAAGAGAGCAAGTAACATGTTTCCTCTTCTCAGCCCCGCCCCAGTCTGCTCCCCCCCCCCCCCCCGCCGCACAGCAAGAAACTGCTTTGGCAAGGGACACACACAGTCTCAAAAAGCTTGTTGTGCATTCTCCTTGTGTAGGGACTGGGCGGCTGTTGCTGTACAGTTCCATCAGAAGCCATTGCAGTGGTAGAGCTGATAGTGCTGACATGTTCAGAAATCATAGGGCCGCCCCATGAATGTCTGAAAATACGTTAGGGTTCTTTTTGTTTCAGCGGTTAGTGTACATTGTAATGGTTTAGCCCCCTTGTTTCCTCAGACAACTATTTTGTGCTGCCGCTATCAATGTTTTTAAATTGATCTCTCATCTGGTAATCTGTTTTATGGTTCTTGGTTGTTGGAAGGAATTGCCTTGTTGCAGTAATTTGGCTGTGGCAGATTCCAAAAACTGCACCCATAAACTCTTATCCCCCTCCTTTCCCTTAGGAGGCCTAATTGGAAAACCTAGCTCTAGCACACATTAGGGCTAGTAAACCTCAGATTACTTGATAGGAGACCCTCCCTTTCTCTCTGCATGTCACTGAACTACTTATATCCCCCTTCTGAATTTGTTGCAGAAGGCCAAGCATTTTGTTTGCATGTTTTTTATTACATTGCACCTATTGAACTGTACAGTGGTACCTCGAGTTACATACGCTTCAGGTTACATACGCGTCAGGTTACAGACTCCGCTAACCCAGAAATATTACCTCGAGTTAAGAACTTTGCTTCAGGATGAGAACAGAAATTGTGCTCTGGCAGCGCGGCAGCAGCAGGAGGCCCCATTAGCTAAAGTGGTGCTTCAGGTTAAGAACAGTTTCAGGTTAAGTACGGACCTCCGGAACGAATTAAGTACTTAACCTGAGGTACCACTGTATTCACTATGCAGTTCACAACATACTAAACTCAATAATACCATGCAAGTTTACCAATAAGCATCTTAATGGTACAAAGCATATAAAAAATTGTGGCTCCGATCATAGTGTGCTCCGATCATAGAGGTATAGGGTGGACATGAGACAGGACACAGGCCAGGGCTGCTTTGGTGGGTGCCCCTGCTATAGCAACAGGACGCAGGAGCTTAAACAGAAATCAGCCAATGGGCAAACTAGAATTCTCCTACTGGAACTGTTTGTTCATGAGGGAGCCAGCTGGGGAACTTGGGTGAAGACATTTCCTTCTGTCTCCAGAGAGAAGAAATGGTGGCATCTTCTTTCCTCCTGAAGAGATATAACCTCTTCTCATCCCAGGAGTTGATTGCATAAGGAAAATAGAATATGCCACAAAAATGACTCTTTAAAAGTTTAAGTGGGAGAGCAGTGCTCTTCCACCAGGCTTTTTTGTCTTTCTCTGCAGCTGTGGGTCACTTGCATGAGACATTTTGAGGTCTTAGCTCTCCTGATCTGCTTCTGCAGTGCACCAAGAGTTAATGAAGGGGTCTGTCACATTGAAGGTCTAGAGAGCAAACAAGAGCTTTCAGGACTGATAGTATTTCAAGCTATGACCATTCTGACTGGGTGCCTGAAATATAGCATGTAACTGGGAATTCTTTATGCCTTCCTCATAAAGCTTCAAATTTCTAGTCAAGAGCCCAACAGTTCTACCTCTAATTGTGTTGTGATGCAGGACTTGCATCACAAAATGTTGTATGTAGAATGTTTCTCAGATACCACCAAGGCTTTTGCTGCAGCTTTTAAAGCTATAGAACAAATGCCACCCCCCAGAGATCCTGTCCTCCTAGAGCTTCCCTTGAGACCAGGCATTGGAGATATCCCCTCCATGGTTGAAGCCAGTGCATGTTTGTAGCTTGCAAACACTTTCCCCAGATCAAGTAAGGAAATTTAGCAAATACACTACTTCAGCATAGATATGGATAGCACACTTGTGCAAGTTGGTGAGGAAAACATAGTTTCTTCCCAAGCAGAACTTTGAAGGGCTCACCAGGTCCTGAAGGCACCAGAACCTGAACAGATGGTCAGAAAAGTACAATAAAGTTGAGGTAAAGCTGAAAACGAGAAGTCTGTCTCTTTATTTACACCTCTCAAACTATTCTGACCTTCTATGCTGCAGTATAATGAATGGGAGAACAGTGCCTCAACAATTGGGGGAACATGGTTTTTGAGAATGCTTTGAAGCATTGAATAACTTTTGGTTTATTGGAGGCAAGTAAATTTATGCCAGCAGGGGACAGTGGAAACTTGACTTATATCAGGAGTTAATAGTAAGAACATATGAATTGAAGAAGAACCTTTTGGATCATAAGGAAGGTCCATCTGGTCCAGCTTCTTGTTCTCACAGCGATGAGCCAGATGACTGTGGGAAATCCACAAGCAGGACATGAGGGCAGTAGCCCTCTCTTTACTTATGATTCCAAGTAGCTAGTATTCAGAGGCATACTGCCTCCAACAGTATGTGTTATTTGAATACTGTGTACCTTACAGGTACTAGAATTCAAAAACTATTTTGACATGCTGTAGAGAATTCAGAGGAGAGGCAAGAACTAGTTAGATGAGGAAAAGGTCAAGAGATTGGGGTGCATATTATAGGTGGGGAAAGTCACAGGACATTCTTCATCTTCAAACAGAAGATTTCAGAAAGGGGGCTCACTGTTTGCTTTCTTTCCTTAAGTTCTTAAGTTTGGGATGAAAAGCCCATTTTTTATGTTTAGCAGAGTGAATATCCCAAGTATAAGAGAAATTCATACTGAAATAATCTTCCTGAGGAATTTTTGAACCATCTTTGTTGGAAGTTTATGAAAGGGCGGCGTGTGCACCAGCCTAAGATACTTGAGGTATAGGACATCTTTCCAAAGCCAGGGGATCAAACTAGAGGTCTCAAGTTCGGATTCCAAGTCTGGATTCTGAGGTTTTGCTATTATGACCAGAACTGTGTTTGAACTGACCTCTTCCCCACCATGCATATTTGCCTAAGTTGAATTAATGGCATTGCTGAAAGTGCTCATGTGCACATTCTTTCTCTTTGATTCATGCACGACATCATTTCTCTGATAAAAAAATATGAAGGTGTGTGCATGTTTATCAGCTATTGGTGGGTGCTGCTGTAAAAAAACACTCTGCTTTTAAGGCCCCGGCCTATGCTCCTTAGAAAGAAAGGCCTTTCCCTGTGAACACATCCCATAGGAATGGTGTTGGGGCTGGACCGAAAGCAGGATAAAGCCAGCTTAATTAGGGACGGGGAATTAGGAAAAAGCATGTGATTCTAGGAAGAACTGATTTGACCTCCAGCTCTGCCTTTCTTCTCCTGTATTTTACAGGTTTTACTCAGTTTTGTCTCTTTTTAAGAAGATGCACCTGTCTCTGAACTGCAGCATCATATGCTTCTGTATTCATTTTTGGTGGGCTTGTCTGCACCTACATACTTTTCAGTTGTTTCATCAACCCTGTTCACAACAGTATCTCCTTCAATATAAACCATCTTGATCAGAGTTCTGGTGGTATGGTGGAGCCATTTCACGAAGTGGGGTCTGCTTTTGGAGCCAGAAAGTATTAACATGGATGTAAGATTGTGACTGAGAATTTTGCTTCCCCAGTGTTGTGGCCCGACAAGTTAGGATTCAGATGTTGGCCAGACACAGCTTCACCCACCCTACATATAAAGGATCATGCACATTCTTCCGATGTCATGTCACGTAGAAGTCATTGAGCCTAGTTAGGTCAGCATAAAAGGCTGTGACTGTTACATGCCATGGAGACCATTTCTCTCTGAGTGCTTCATATAAAGTGTTTGGACAGCACTTCCAACAGACTGGCAGATATCAACACCTAGAACTGAATGAGTTGAATCTCTGCCTGACGGTTCATGAGCTGAGGAACGGCAAAGCTGTTTTGAGATACAAAGATACAAGACCTGAGGTGCTCACTGCCCTGAATAGCCAGTTGCTGGATAATATTCAGTATGCTTTATTGCCTTTCTCCTGTGTAGAATGATCACTTAGTGCCCAGTATTCCTGGTTATAAACCCAGTCAACATCTCTGGGTTTTGTTCAACCATCGGACAGCTATTCTTTCTCCTGTTGGTCAAAGAACAGTTGATACTGGAACCTATTTGGTATTTTACACCAAATAATTTAAGCCTTGATACCTGTGAGTTGAATAGTACAGCTGTATGGAGGTGTATAAGGATGTCTAGTGCAGACATGAGAGATCAGTGTGGGGCAGAAGGAAAAAAATCCCTGTCTGTGGGGACTGGTGATTTAGATTGTGGCTCTGGTTGCAGAAGAGTACAAGGTTTCTGGGATTTTTCAGGATTATTATGTTAAACATCATCTGCACTGTAGGCTTCCCAGGCACATCAGAATAAATGCTATACTCAGTGTTATGAACAGTGCTTTTTTCTGGAGGGGACGCAGGGGGATGCATACCCCTAAATGTTTGGTTAATCTAAGTTTGGCCTCATTGAGAGGCAGTATTTCAATATGAGTAGGAAAATGAGAGTACCCCTAAACATTTTTAGAAAAAAAGCACTGGTTATGAAGACCAGGAAGTTTAACTCTGAGAATCATTGCCCCATGACTTGCAGTTCTTATGACTCCTGTACAGTGCCCTCTTCTAAATGAAGAGTTGCTTGCTCAAGCTTCATAGCTACATATTACTACTAAGGGAAAATAGCAGGGAATAGGAATGTATAAATTTCCATTTGTGTATTCCCACTGGCCAGCCTACTTTAGGATAAAAGTGGTTGATTAGGGTTTCCCTTCTTCCTAAATAAATAAATAATCAATCATATTAGTTAACTAATATGGTTAACTAGTTAACTAGTTTTGCTTTCTCAGGATTAGATCTGGGCAGTAGTCTTACCAGTGTGGCTTGCTTCCCATGAGGAAGTCTCAGTCTTATGTAGTCCTCTCTACCTTTGCATGCTCTGATTCCCTGCATTTCACAACACAGTTTGATCACTATTTGCAATTCTAGCTTGGGAGAGCAAGCACAAATCATAGTTTACCAGTTTGTGTGTAACAGCAAAGTATGGCAAAAAGATGATATTCAGGAGGTGCAAATTTGGAGTGAGTATGCAAGGTAGAAGTTTACTTGTATCTGAATCAGTCTTTTGTGAGCTAAGCTGAATACTGGCCAGACATGACCAAATGGGGGCTTGAGACAGAAGCAACAGTGGAAAGTAATCAAAATGCAAGGTCAATTTGCATAGAAAAGTAAAAGAGCTTGCAGAACAGAATACAATTGACGTGTGTTATGCAAACTGGCAGTTTCACTAGAAGTCTATGCTAGAATAAACCTACTATTTAAAATAATAAATTAGGATTATTTTTACCTGTTTTCTTTATTTTGTCTATTTTATCTGATTTGCTTTAAATAGTTGACTTTTTTCAATGCTAGGCAATTAAATTCTTCAGGTTGGTGGGCTGAGATCCTCTGCTTGTAGTCCCACCAGGATTTGGAGACATGTAGAAGGGCCTCCTCTGTGGCAGGAGGATCTCTGGTTCTGGAATGATTCCTCCTTAGAAGTGGGCCTGTCTTCAACATTACTGGATTTCAGATGCCAATGGAAAACATTTAATGATTTGCTACTAAAAAACACAAAACAAATATTTTAGATTGTAATTTTTTGCAAATCATAACATAGCTGCCTTGAATATGATTTAACTAGAGAAAGTGGGCAAACAAATAAATGATGTTAACAATATGCAATATTCACAATAGTATTTCTCCAATAATTCCGTACATTACAGTCATACATTTAATTTTTATATCAGTTAAGTATTCATTTTAAATTAACCATTCAAATTTCATTTTTACATTTTACAACAATAAATAACTCCTTCCTAAGACTATTAATCCAGATCAAGTAAACTTCCTAAAAAATTACATTCTTTTAAAAAAAAATTCAAAATAGTTCATTTTGCAAGCTCCTTCTCTATTTTCTCTTTGTTCCAATAAGTTAGCTTTGCCATTATCATTTTTCCAACAGTTTATTTACCAGTTGTTGAGGTTCTTCCTTTTCCAGGTCTGTGCAATTAAGATTTTAGTTGCCATTAATAGATAGTGAATTAACTCTTTCTACTTTCAATCCAATATCCTTTAAAGATCAATTAAAAATGCTTTCATGTTTGCAATTAATTTTTTTAATTTATATATCTGTGGTTAAACCACGGAGCCTAGGACTTGCCGATCAGAAGGTCGTGGTTCGAATCCCCGTGACAGGGTGAGCTCCCGTTGCTCGGTCCCTGCTCCTGCCAACCTAGCAGTTCGAAAGCACGTCAAAGTGCAAGTAGATAAATAGGTACCGCTCCGGTGGGAAGGTAAACGGCATTTCTGCGCGCTGCTCTGGTTTGCCAGAAGCAGCTTAGTCATGCTGGCCACATGACCCGGAAGCTGTACGCCGGCTCCCTCGGCCAATAAAGCGAGATGAGCGCCACAACCCTAGAGTCGGCCACGACTGGACCTAATGGTCAGGGGTCCCTTTACCTTTACTGTTTGGTGCTCTTATGTTTGAAATACATTGTCCAGAGTCCTTCCTTGGGTGATTTATAAATAAAAAAATGTATTTATGGCCCTCATTCCCAAGCCACACTCTATTCCAAAAAATGTATAAACTGTGTACCAGACCTGAGGTTCTTATGAACATTGCTGTTTGGGCTGAGTAATAAAATGTGTAGCAACTCTTAAAAGTTTTGGTGTGAAGAAATTCTCAATATAGTACCTCCTGATATTGGATTCATATGCTCTGGCTGCCATCTTCTTGCATAACACTTCCACTTGTGCATGTGGTGGATGTGGATTTTCATGGTGATGGGAGCAGCGTGAGCTAAAAGGAGCCAAAAGGATGATGGTTTGATGGTGCTGGAATCAAAAGTTTGGTTATAGAAGTATCAGTGCAATGGACAATGGCTTGCTCTGATTTGAAAAGAGACCAGAGTTTCAGTCAAAGATTGAATATTGCCTCATTTGGATTTTTAATGAGACTGATTGCTGGTGAAGGGGGAGATCCATTGTAAAATACTATATTTGCCTGTCAGAAAGCATGATTGATATTTTAGTCAGGAAAGCCATTAGCCGTCCCACCCACCCCCCAAAACAAACACACACCTCTCAGAATGAATGTCTGAAACTATTATTCCAGTGGTGGTTGGCGAAGGTACTACAGTAGTTACTAAGAGAATGGGGTCTGGAAATTTATGCTAACATCACCACCACCCTGCAAAAACCCTCACAAAATGATTGCATGTTCATAAAGATACTGAATCTGCATTTTTTATATTACTATTTTTTTCTACAAAAATAGTGATAACATGCGGTCAGTTTAGACTCCTGTCCCACACTCCTCTTGTCTCTAAGGATTTAGCAGAAACAGCTTGTTCAGTGAGTATTCAGGTTTTTAGAAACCAGCACCAATGAGTTAATTCCTTTGGGAAAGTTCAAAGAGGCAAACAGTGGCCTGGAGGTAACATTTTAGAAAAGGGGAGTTTGGAATTGGCACGTTTCAGCCCCTCTCCTTAGTGGTTTCTCTGGCCTGCGTTTGGAAACCTTTTGTCAGCTGTTCCTCTGATCAGTTTCCACTTGGCCATGGCATGTAACCAGCTGTTTGCTTTGATCTAGCCAAGAGAGCATTCCACGCCCGCTGACCTTCCATAGCCTCTGCAATGACAGCTGTGTAGCACTGCTTTCTGCTTAGTGGCTTTAAGACTCTCTCTCGGGAGCACAACCTGGGCAAGCAACAGCCAAAAAGTGGACTTCAGCGAACAGCTTTCCATGGTGTGGACTTGAGTAGATGGTGTGGTTAGATAGCTTTTCCCATGGTGATCCCCTCCAGCACTGAGACCCATCTCAGTACGATGCTGCTGACATTGCAGTCGCATTGGGCCCGACAGGAGCCTTCCTGCTTTCTGCCCTCAGCCTGCTACAACAGGAAAATGGTCACAGGTAGGGACCATGTGTGGCAAATGAGAAAATACTGATTATCTGATCATATATGTCTTTGTTCTAAGCTATGAGGTCAAGAGCAGCAACTGAGGGAGACTTGGCAACCACATAAGGGAGAACTAGAAGGAAGCTGGAGGACTATTATGCACTGAGGAAAGTCTCTGTAGATGGGAGACGGAGGTTGTTGTCTCCTTTTGGTGTTAATGGGCTTAGGTGAAATCTGAAAATACCCTGGGGAAGAAGGCCAAGAAATCTAGGGTTTGGGTTTGATTGTTTTTTTAAAAATATGTTGACTGGCTTTGCTTGGAACACAAGGTGTGGTTTTTCTTCAGTGTTTCAAGAATGAGACTCTGGGAAGCAGTAGGTCTTTGGGACTACATGAGCTATGTGACTGAGTCAGGATAAGTTTTTAATTGTGAATACATACGCAAACACAGATAAGGGGCATGCTTATAGCTACCACCTTTGCATGGATGATGCCTGAGTTTCATATGCAGTTTTGCCACCCTTTGAATCATTGTATCTTGATGGTTGTAGAGCTCTGTAGGGAACTAGCTGTTATCTTTGTGGATTAGGGAATTGCATGTTTTACTAAAAGGGAAGTGGAAATGTACTTTAAATTAATCTGTGACCCTTTCTTTTATAAATGAAAATGCCTTAAAAGAGAAGCAGAGCCCACAGGCAAAGAGCAAAATTATATCTCTTGGCTTTGAAACTTAAATGAAAAATCTAAGACCAAATCTTCATATATGTCAACCTGAGTCTGCATGTAGAAAATAGAATGTGCCCTGGACTCTGTGTTGGAATTTTTACTTTCACATATAGGCTCTTACCAGTGGTTTTAGGAACTCCAGATTTAATGTTGATAATAAATTATGCAAGTGTCTGCGTGAGATTTTATATGATTTTCAATGAGTGTTTGGGGGGGGGGGGTTGGTCAAGTATTGGAGAAATGAAAGATGAGAGGGGATGGGGAATGGGGAATGGAGGACCAGTGGCTTTTGGCGGGTAAGAGAAGGGAGAATATGAGCCATGGGAGCTGAGCAAGGCAGAGCACAATTCTAGAGGGTTCATTAGGCACTGCCTGGATACTTCTAAGCTTTGCTCCTCAGCTATAACAGCTGAAAAAACTGATCTTAAGCATTGGAAACTGAACTGCTCAGAATACCAAATTCCACACTATGCCTGACAAACTCAGGCATATTGGAATGGTACATAGCCCTCTTTATTAATAAAGACACCAATCCTTGGGAAATGGGGGCTGTCAACCCTTAAGGCCCATGGGCACATTGGCATACTGGAGAAACTGTTGTGGGCACCACACACACCCTGCAACCAAGCACCCCCTGCAACCTGTTCTATTGGCTACAATGGAAAGATTCTTTCAAGTCTGATATCAGTGGGCAGCGGGGGCGGACCCTGTGGACACTAGGAAAGGCAAGCACATGCGTGCCCACAAGCACCATATTAGGAACCCCTGATTTAAAGATAGATGTTGTAGCTCTTCATTGTGAGAAGAGGCTTAGGAGAAACCCTAGAGTCAGGCTGAGCTGCAAAGGAACTTCCACAACTTGCTTCTGAGTGAAAACTTGCGATGTCACATGCTTATTAAACCCCACATTGTTTTTATCTGTGCCAACCTCCGGTTGGGAAGTGGGTCTCTCTCTTTTTAGGCCCTTCGTTAAATAAATAAGGAATATGATGTCAGTAGCCTTGCACTTCTTTGCCAGAAATTGCACTTAACTAGTCTGTCCATAAAGGGCAGAAGCCCAGCTTTGAAACCCTTCCATTAATTAACTAGCTGTGTTAATAAGCATGCAGCTGCAGCCAGCTTGGTGTTAGAGGGGTGCTGTGTTGCCAGGAATTGGATCTAGTGGGACCTCAAGCAAGCACTCTTTCTGCCAAATCGGTACTGAGTTTTGTGCCTCCATGTAGCAGACCTAGGAATAGAAACCATTAGCTCTCTCTGCCTGTATGCTGCTGTACTTCATTCCAGCCACTCTAACATGTCCTTTCCACAGCTAAGAATAGTACCTAGTAGTTCTGATGGTTGCCGAGGCACCAGCAATAGTAATAAAATTGCATTTTATGTACAAACTGAGCACTGTCTAGGCCAGCAATACCTATATTTCTAAAAGGGCAAATTTCCCCCTGGTGGAGAGCAGCCAGAAGCACAAGTAAGAGGAAAGCTATGTAACTCGAAACACAAACTTTGTAGGTGTTAAAGATACATATTTTTGAATGGTTCCACAGTGTTGTAGGGGTCATGCTTCAGACTCAGGTTTTCTTGGCGGTCTCCTATCTTGCTAGTGTGCTATGATGCAGAGAACCAGTGTGGTCTGGTGGCTAAAGTGCTAGGTTGGATGTGGGAGTCCCTGTTCAAACCCCTGTCCAGCTATGGTTTCTACAGTGGACATATCACTATAGTCTGTCATCCTGCATCACAGGATTTGGAAAAATATAAAAATGCAAGTTGTTTAGAGCTCATGTTGCTCTGGTAGGATATAAGTGAAATAAACTGAAGTTGTCAATTGCTAGTCCCAATTAGGCCACTGCTACCTCACAGCCTAAATATTTGGCAGCATAATCTGTAAGACCTGGGCTAGTTCTTCTAGCCAGACTCTTCTTCATCTTCATTCACTCTTTATAATATGTGCTATATGAATCTAGGGATGCGGGTGGCGCTGTTGGTTAAACCACAGAGCCTATGACTTGACAATCAGAAGGTCGGCGGTTCAAATCCCCGCGACGGGGTGAGCTCCTGTTGCTCGGTCCCTGCTCCTGCCAACCTAGCAGTTCGAAAGCACGTCAAAGTGCAAGTAGATAAATAGCTGTGGTTCGCCAGAAGCGGCTTAGTCATGCTGGCCACATGTACGCTGGCTCCTTTGGCCTATAAAGCGAGGTGAGCGCCGCAACCCCAGAGTCGGTCACAACTGGACCTAATGGTCAGGGGTTCCTTTACCTTTACCTTTATATGAATCTAGGTGCTAGCTCCAACTTCCATGGGTAAATTAAAACTGACTGCCTAGTAAAATGGAAATAGTGATAGTGATATGTCAGGTGGTTTTAAAAAGTGTTTAGACAAATTATCAATGCCTACTAGCCATGATGGAGATAGTATGACTTTACCAGTTGCTGGGGATCACAAGTAGGGCTGGGCGATACCTGGTTTTCAATATCACAATACATCATCAACTAAACATCACAATATCTTGATATATCACAATATATATTCACGGCAGCGGAGGGCTTTGTAGGCAGCCCCATGGCTGTGGAGGGCCTCTTCAAGCATCCCCACAGAGATGGAGGGCCTCGCCGCGCCTTTCCTTGGTGGCAGAGGGTGCGCTGTGCTTCCCTGGGGCTGCGAAGAGCTTTGCCGCACCTTCCCATGGCGGTTAGGGCTTTAAAATGTAAGGAAGTAGTAGATTTAATAAAATTATTAAATAAGCTTCCATATAATATATTTAATATATTTTCAACTAATTTAAGAATAGTTCATGTGATTTTCTAGTCAAGTTGCATCTGCTTCCCCACTCAGAGGTCTAAGTGGAATCTGTGCATGCACCGATCCCGGGGAGATTCATGCACAAGGTGGTTACAAACTGCTATCTGTATACAGTTAACTCGCAATTTGTCCACATTTAACTTGTACACATTCAGATGTAGAAAATTAAAACGGGGATGGAAAGAGGGCAATTGTCTGGGGGGAAAGGCTTTAGCAATCCCACCCACCGTTGAACCCAGTGTGTTTTGACTATACACTATTTTGGCTTTACATGCCATCCCTGAAACGTAACCTCTGCATAAGCTGAGCATTGCCTGTATTGCTTTGAGTTGTTAGGTAAAATCAGTGAATAACAGCATATAATACTGTACAGGTACAACTTCATTGACGCCTTGCCAGTAGAAGTAGAATATAAATTTAAATAATAGCATTAGCAACATGACTAATTGCCCACTGCATGTGGTGACTACATGCTGCATTAATGTGTGAACCAGCCCCTATGTTTTGACTGCTGAGTAATGCAACATATGATTTGCTTGTGCTGCTTGAGGATGTTTACATAAAGAAATTGTAAGGCCGCAGTGTAATTGTTTAGCAATAAATTATATTACCATGAGTCCCAGAAAATAGTTTAAGAGCATCTGATGTGGCAGCACTGCTTCAGCTACTTAAGATTTTCATTTGTATTATTAATAATAATCATCATAATAACAATAATTTTATTATTTATATGCCACCCATTTGACTGGGTTGTCCCAGCCACTCTGTGCGGCTCCCAATAAAATATTAAAAACACAATGCACAAGTGAAACATATGGTGAAAGGTTGAGTATTTGTGGAGGGAGGGCCTATACAGTATATGGTACTGGTCCTTAACATGTGTAATGGGTCTTTGTGGAAGGATAGACTGTGCTTTGGTGAGCTGAAGACAATAGTGTCCCTAAATACAGTGCTTGGTTTTTCCCTCATTGAGATGAATACATCCATGTGTCAGTAGCAGAGCACATGCTTTGCATGAATATGGTTCTGAGTTCAAATCCTGCTTGCGGGCTGGGAAAACTGTGGCCTGTCAGTCACCAATTGTTGGTGACCAGGGGTAGTGGGCCCATTTAGAATTTTGAGAAAACTATATGGGCACCAGTCACAAAATTGCTGCTATAAGGGCATGGCATAACACAAAATTAGAGAGAATCCACACATTGTTGCTTCCCTCCCACCTACTGAACAACCTCATGCTACCTGCAGGAAGTCAGCAGTGTTCTGCTGGCCCTGGTTGTTGACATACAATCTTAACATCTTGCACATACAAACTGATGCTGTTGCTATCTAATAAGAACAGAGAGCATTCCCCAGTACCAAAAAAATACATGCATGGTGGCCACACTACACTAATTCTCTAACACACATACAGATCTTATGCACATCCATCCTTCTCTCCCTCTCTCTCTCTCTCTCTCTCTCTCTCTAACACATATTTCAACTACAGTGGTACCTCGGGTTAAGTACTTAATTCGTTCCGGAGGTCCGTTCTTAACCTGAAACTGTTCTTAACCTGAAGCACCACTTTAGCTAATGGGGCCTCCTGCTGCCGTCGCACCGCCGGAGCATAATTTCTGTTCTCATCCTGAAGCAAATAGTACCTGAGGTACTATTTCTGGGTTAGCAGAGTCTGAAGCGTATGTAACCCGAGGTACCACTGTATACACAACCACACATACATCTCTCCCTTTCTTTGCCCAAGTGCATCTCTCCATCTGTTTCACAGACCACATAAACACAGAGACTATACATTCATACACACCTCACCCACTTCTTTCTCCCATAATCACAGTGCATACAGCTGTCTCTCACACACACATACTCCCCTCACATATGCCTCTGTCTCTGTCTCCTCAATGCAGGATTGTCAAACCCAAGACACTCGGTGGTTTAGACCACGCGCCACACACATCTCCACCTCTCTCACAGACCACCATTCGTTCATACCTTCTCTCTCCCTCCCTCTCACACACATACAGTGGTACCTCGGGTTACAGACGCTTCAGGTTACAGACTCCGCTAACCCAGAAATAGTACCTCGTGTTAAGAACTTTGCTTCAGGATGAGAACAGAAATCGTGCTCCGGTGGCAGCAGGAGGCCCCATTAGCTAAAGTGGTGCTTCAGGTTAAGAACAGTTTCAGGTTAAGAACGGACCACTGGAATGAATTAAGTACTTAACCCGAAGTACCACTGTACATTTTTCCCTCTTTCTCTGCCCAAGTGAACCTCTGTCAGTCAAGCATTCATAGATAACCTCTTCATGGGGTGAAGCAAGTGCCTGCCGCCAGCTCTACATCACTGGCAGGCAACAAACCAAACAGGATTGGACACTCAGGGAACAGGAAAATGATTCCTGCAACCACCAAAAAACCACAAATATAATGCAAGAGGACTTGCCCTTCCAGCTCCAGCAACTGCTCTACACTGTTCTGCCATCCCCTCTTCCCGCAAAATCCAAAAAATATTGAGGGTCTGCAACCTTGGGCCTGGGAACTCCAGAAAAAGCCTTCATGGGTGCTGGGTTGACAGTACCCCAGAGTAGACAATACTGAACTGGAAGATTCAATGATCTGGGATAGCTCAGTTGGTAGAGCATGAGACTCTTAATCTCAGGGTTGTGGGTTTGAGCCCCACGTTGGGCAAAATATTCCTGCATTTCAGGTGGTTGGACTAAATGATTCCCATGGTCCCTTCCAACTCTACGATTAGATTCTGTTCTGTTCTGCTCTGTTCTATGATTCTAGATTTGTTCAGGGCGAATTCAAGAGCTGCATTGAGATGAGGCCTAAATTGTTCCCTGCTCCAGGCACTGGGTTCTGCCTTTCTCAAATGTGCTCCAATTTTTCCCCCTTGCTCCATGGAATTCTGTGGGAGCCACTGAGAATAAAGTTCTGACATCTTAGATTGTAAAATCTATACTCGTGAAATGTGTGTCCTGAAGGGCAAGGTGTGTGCACATGGAAGGAGGGTCTGTGTTGCAGTGGCCCCTCAGGCCCTGTTAATGTGTGGCTCTGGGAATTGGCTTTTTAATTATGTAGGTGGTTTGTTCTTTGTAATAGAATTGGCTTGGAAGAAATAAGGAAATAGAAAAAGAACAATACTGTTGAATAAAAATTAAAACATACTGGAGGGGGGGTACATATCTGGGTTGTTGCATTCACAATCCCTCAGAGTAATTTAACGGTTTTTATTACATAAGTAAGTAATATTAGAAATGCTTTTTAAAAAGAATAGTAGGCTTGGCTATTATTGAATTCTTAGCAAGGGTATGTGTGTTCTGGGATAGCAGAGAACAGGACTCTGACTGCAAAATTCAACATTGTGAGAATGTCAGATTTTGTTTTGTTTTTAAAGCAAGAGTAGACCTTATAGGTTATCACATCATAGAATTTTTATTTTATTTATTTGTTGTAAGCAAACAGTATACACTATCGTGTTTATGTAGTAATATTAGAGATGTAGTTAGCAGATCATTTTTCCTGGAGGTTCACTTTGATAAGAAAGTTGTCTGTGGTAGGCCATCCCTTAAAAGTGGTTTGCTGGGAAGCTCCTGTTCCTACTGTTGCTTTTCATCCAGATCCCTCTCTTGGCTTTGGGACTAAAAATTAGTAGGGGAAACATAACATACCTCAAAGGGCCAGATTTGGCCAAGGGAACCACATCAATTGATCCTTATCTTACAGGGAGATGAAAATTGGACACAAGTTGTACAAAATACCGTATTGGCCTGAATATAAGCCACACCTTTAAAATTGGAGGAAGGGAGGAAGAAAAAATACCTGAATATAAGCCGCCCCATTCCTCTCTGCTCCTGGCTGTGTGGGGGATGGGGGAGCCGCGCTGCGTTGCCAGCGGCCTTTTCCCTACCTCGCTGTCTCCCATCCCGGCCTTGGGAGAGAGGATGGGGGACTACGCGTGGGGCAGGCGCCGCTTTGCCATGCTCATGGCTGCATACCATAAGGTCACGAATATAAGCCGCACTTTAACTTTTCATGGTGGGAATTTGGGAAAGAAATGACACTTATATTCAGGCCAATACAGTAATATAAATTTTAATGTAAAGAATGTATTCTAATAGATATATGGGTGTGTATATCGGGGCAGAAGTGTCTGCAAAATGGAAATGTATGTCCTGGGCACCAGTAGCATAAAATACGGTTTTGTATCTTTTGATTATTTGTTTGTTTAGAGTATTTATAAACCATCCTTCACCAGATGGTCCCACGGTAGAAAATACCATATATATTAAAATGATAATTAACAGTATTTCAAAACTAAAACAGATAATAAAACAGACATTTTAAAAAAAATACATGGCAACAGTAACTGAATTAAACTGAATTATTCCAAAAGGGGGACTAAATCTGTTTAGTAACTTGCAGTAAGAAAAGTTGACATGTTCATAACATCACCAATGGAAAATTGCTGTTTTGGGGGGAGGAGAAGCAAACTACATAGAAATCATGTTAGAAACAGCATAGATATTGACTCCCAGTGGGTGCTGAGAGAATCCCTCTCTTCAACTACATTCAAAAGAGAGATCTGTAACTTTGAGGTGTGGCTACATAATAAGATACAGTATACTGACCACATTCTGCCCAGCTTTCCTTCAGTTCTGACAATCCCTATGGTTTTGCTAGAGCCTCTGACCGTGTCTGACATGCAAACACCTCTGCCTGTTTTTCTGTAGTTACCTCTCCTCTGCACAGTTCAAGCTGTAGCCTCTCCTCTTGCCTCTTTCCCTTCCCAAAATGCCATTAATGGTAAAGGTGCACATGCACTCAGGTAAGCGTCCTTGATTACAAAACATGGAGCACAATACCTAGACCTTAAAACATTCAGGAATGCATTTCATGATTCTGCCCTTCCTCCCATAGACTCAGGGTTGTGTACATGGTCCTGCTTCTCCCATTTTATTTTGTTAACATCCCTGTGAGATAAGACAGCTAAAAGAGCTGGAGCTCACCCAGTGAGCTTCAAGGCTGGAGAGTGTTTTAAACCCAGGTCCAAGTACAACACCCTAGCCACACTATGCCATACTAAGGGAACAGTTGAATCTAGGAGTCATTCATATGTGCCTTCTCCTTTCCTATTTGCATAGTCTTGATCCCAGTGCTAACAGTTGATGGCTTCCTTAGGCTCTTCTCTCAGCTTTCATTCACTTAAAGCTGCTATGCAGTCAGTCTGGGAAAGATAACAAGAGGCCTGCCATCCCCCACCCCACCCCCAAGCTGTGGGAGCTTGAGGTTGCAGGATTTAGTCGACCCTTGCTTAGTATAATGAAGGTATAATGTAATCAAAACAAATAAAGAAGGCTGGGAAATGCTTATATTAAGCGCCAGCCCTTATGCCTGAACTCTGTTTTGTGGTTTTCGGTATTGCAAATATAAATTTGCTTAATAATACCATGAAATGCAAACACCTTTTAGACTGTCTTTTCTAATGCATTTGTGTCACTGTTTCAGTTCACTGGATGAAGCTCTCTATCCTGGGTTGTTTCAGGAAATTTGATCTACTGCCCCCCTCCCATTAAAAAGCTAAGAATAGAACTTAGGTTCTTGGCCATATCCTCACCCCTACTGTAATCAAGATACCTGACTCTCTTCTTAAATTGGAATGCGTTTTGTGGTGAAAGCAGGGAGCTATTTCTGGGAAGTGCAGGCATGTGTGGTGATTAAAAAAAACCAAAAACCCTCACCAAACTATTTTTGTGCCCTCTAGGTGGCAGCAGCACTCCACAATGCCAGCTGCCGCCCTGCAGCCAGGTTGCCTCTCTGGGCCGCTCTCTTCCTACTGAGACAATCATGTCGAGCCAGCACAGCCATGCTCCCTTCTCCAGCATCCAGCCCATGGCTGAGCATCAGCAGGTAATTTCCTGGAAATTCATCCTTTTTGGGGGCTTCCCCCTGAATCAGCTGTCTCCTCTTCAGACTGTATGCTTGTAAATACACATAGCAGCACAGCCTGGCTCAGCTCCTTTCCCACTCTTCAACCTGTGGTCATTCCAAGTAAAATCTACATGAGGCTGATACAGGTGTGATTCTCTGTTTTTATTTAGCTCATGTTATAGAAACAATGGCTATTAGATTTGAGGCTCTAAGTTCAGTCTCTAGTCAAGGCATGCAGAGGGGAGTCATTGTGGGATGAAGCAAACCCCTAATGCAATTGCCACTGGAATCAGCCATGATGTGTGGTGAGAGCCACTTAACCTGGGCCCAAGCAGTCATCCTCACCTGGGCTGATAGCAACCTCTTTCCTACACTGTGGGGGAAATTAGATGTGGGCTGCAGACTGAATCTACTAAGTTTAAAAGGTTAGTAATCTCAGCATGACCCCTGCACTCACTCACTCTCTCTGTCTCCTGCAAACCTTCCACCTCCAAGTACATAAAAGAAAACAGGGTTTTTAGTGGAATAGAATGAAGCCCTTGTCAATCGCTGCTTCCTGCTGGCGGCTGGAACACATGCTATTAGCCCCATCATGGAACTATTTCAAGCCCATGACTTATTCCCCCCCCCCCTTTTCTCCCACAGATCATGCCAGACCTGGCCATCCTGCAGAGAAGAATCCCACTCACTTTTCGGGACTCTGCCACAGCCCCACTGCGCAAGCTGTCTGTCGACCTTATCAAAACTTACAAACATATCAATGAGGTAAGAGGACCTTCTCTGTGGTGACAGCTTTGACCAGTTCCTTAAAGCATTGGGAATAGTGATGATTTAAACTTCTTTGCACTTCTTCTTCCTTCTGTGCTGCATGTTGATTCCTTAGCTCTTCTGCCCTGCCAGAGAGTTTAGTTTGCTTCCCCGGGCTGCTATGGGGAGGTGCAATTCCTCATCTTAAAAGAAAGGTTCCTTGTATTCTGTGCACTGACCCTGCGTTTCGCTGCCAGGTCTATTATGCTAAGAAGAAACGCCGAGCCCTGCAGGTGGCACCCGAGGACACAAGCACCAAAAAGGAACGGAAAGTGCACAACGAGGGCTACGATGACGACAACTATGATTACATTGTTCGCAACGGGGAGCGCTGGCTGGAACGCTATGAAATAGACTCGCTCATTGGCAAGGGATCCTTCGGACAGGTCAGAGGGCAGCCAGGAGAGAGACTTCTTCTGTATCCACATCTGTAACTACATAGCAAGTTGCAGCCTGTGCTCTGGTGGTCATTGGTCAGAACACTGCTCTAGGTTCTCCTTCCCCAGCAAATGTGCCTTTGGCAAGATCAAAAGGGAGCATGCCCCGCAGTCACTGGAACACACAGCCTGTAATCTTGCCAAAGGGAAAAGGCTGTAGTTCATTGGTAGAGCAGAAGCTTAGTTTGCAGAAGGCCACAGGTTCAGTCTCTAGCATATCCAGGCAGGGCTGGAAAAGATAACTAACTGAAACCTTGGAGATCCTCTGCTAGTCAGTACAGACGAGAGATAACCAACGTGGTATCTTCCAGGCATTATTGAACGACAGCTCCCATCATCCATGACCATTGGCAGCACTGGCTGGGACTACAATGAGAGTCCAACAACATCTGGACATCATCACTTTGGTTGTCCTTGATATAGAAAGTATAAGCCAGATGGCTCATTAGTGTGGTTTGGTATAAGGCAGCTTGTTGGGTTCTGACCTGCTTTTAAGTAACGGGGGTTGACGTTTCATTGCCATCCTAAGCAAAGTTTTGCACGTGTACATCACCCTGGCCTCTTTCTGAGGAAGAGCAATAAATAAATAAGATGGCCACTATGTGTGTGGACGCTTGAATGTTCCCCCTGCCCAGCAGCACTTTTGATTTGGTGGTTCTCCCCAAAGTGATTTCTTCTTGGCACCACTGTGATAAGATTATACTGATGTGTCTTTTTCTCCCTGCTAGGTGGTGAAGGCCTATGACCAACAGGCTCAGGAGTGGGTGGCCATAAAGATAATCAAGAACAAGAAGGCATTTTTGAGCCAGGCTCAGATTGAATTGCGATTGCTGGAACTGATGAACCAGCATGACACAGAGATGAAATACTACATTGGTGAGAGTTTGCAGAGATACATTTTTGGAATTAGTTGAGAAGTGTGAGTGGGTCAGCGAGAGCACTACTGGTGAGATGCACATTAAATGAAGTCTCCAGTGCTTCATTTAGATTGGTGGCAACTTGTGGAAGGCTCTGCATAAGTGAGTGACTGATTAAAGGAAGGTCTGGATAGTGTTTGAGAGACTGGTTGGGGCATGAGTTGAAGTCGGTGGGGGTTCAGGTCATTGGGAGAGATTGGTTCATCATTTTGCTTGCAGATATGGTGCACTCAGTGACCTGTGGTCCAAGACTGTGGGAAATGTTCATGTGGGGTGCCTGGAGGTCATAATTAAATGTCAGTGAGGTTCACAAGTGCTGGCTGCGGGGTGTTGTCAAAGCATCAATGGGGAGCTGCAGGATTCTAGCAATGCCGCCACCACACTTTCTCTCTCCACCCCACCTACAGTGCACTTGAAGCGGCATTTCATGTTCCGGAGCCATTTGTGCCTGGTGTTTGAGTTGCTGTCCTACAACCTCTATGACTTGCTCCGTAACACCAACTTCCGTGGCGTCTCTCTGAACCTCACACGCAAGTTTGCCCAGCAGCTGTGCACTGCATTACTCTTCCTGGCAACACCTGAGCTCAGCATCATCCACTGTGACCTTAAGCCTGAGAACATCCTGCTCTGCAACCCCAAGCGCAGTGCCATCAAGATTGTGGACTTTGGCAGCTCCTGCCAGCTGGGCCAGCGGGTGAGTGACCCCTTGCTGTGACCTCTCCAACTGCAGCCCCTCTCCCAGTGCCTGACCTGAGACCCTCCTAGTGGTCAACATCAGAAGTTTGTAATTGTCAGCTTGAACAGCTTCCCTCGTTTTCTTAGGACTTCTTCAGCTTGCTCTTGGCTAGATGAGGGCCTTAGAAGGCACTGGACCACCTTATTTGTCTTGGCCAATATTTGAAGCAAAGGGACTGAAAGAAGACAGACCCACCTGTTGTGACCTTCCAGTCCCCAGAGTGCAGCAGCTGATCCTATCTTTCCTTTTCTTCCCTGCAGATCTACCAGTATATCCAGAGCCGATTTTACCGCTCACCTGAAGTGCTACTGGGCATGCCTTATGACCTGGCAATTGACATGTGGTCCTTAGGTTGCATCCTGGTGGAGATGCACACAGGAGAGCCCCTCTTCAGTGGCGCCAATGAGGTAGGTGGAAAGAGGACGAGCCAGGGGAGGGGAGGGGAGATTAGCCCCTGGCTATTATGCTCCAAAGGACTTGGTGTAGCAGCTAGCTTTTAGCAAGGGCAGCTGTTGAACTTGCTGGGCAGAACCACCTAATCGAGACAAAGAATGCAGCAGCAACTTGGCTTGGCTTGGCTGGCAGGAGGAGTTGAAGTGTGTGGAGCTGCATGAATAGGTCCTTGGTTCAAGGAGACAAATGAATGGATTTAGAAGGCCCTCAAAGAAACAAGGAGTGAGTTTGGAAAGCCAGGAAGAGCCATGTGGGGCTGGGAACTATCACCTTGTGTTCCTGATTCTGTGCCTTTCCCTTGCAGGCCGATCAGATGAGCCGGATTGTGGAGGTGTTGGGGCTGCCACCCCCTCACATGTTGGAGCAGGCTCCCAAAGCTCGGAAGTACTTTGAAAAGCTGCCTGAGGGGGGCTGGGTCCTCCGGCGGGGCAAAGATGGCAGGAAGGTAATGCTTAGCACAGCTGTCCTATCTTCAGCCCTTTCCTCCTCTGCATTCCCTTTAAAATGAGCCTGAGACAACAGATGTTTTTAAGATTATCTGCACAGCACAAGATTTTGAATTGTCAGTTTTGCTATTCACATTTTGTGTTTTAGCAGGGGGTGGGGGTGGGACCTGTTGTGGTGTGCCACAAAATGTTTCCAATGACATTTGAACTGTATATTGTTCTGGGACTTTGGTTTTGTATCCATCATTTTCGGTTACTTCTATGGCAAGGAGGTAGAAAATAATTTGTATTGACTAATCAACCTAAAGGCACAGACTCTGCCCTCAGACTTCCAGGCTAAGAGACTAGAAACCTCAAGGGAAGAGGGGGAATGATTTTGAGAATGCAGGTGGGAAGACATGAGTTTTTAATACGCCTTGGAACAAGCAGATGAGTTCTCTGTGAGGGCAGAAGCAGGCTCCCCCACAGTTGTTGCCCTTGTTTTCATGGGTGATTTGAAATAGATGGGGCAGGTATCTTGCAAGTGTGTTAAGATAACTATCCTTTAACATGAATGGTGCATGTGACAGAAACGCATGGCACTCCTGGGCAGGAACAAGAAGCCCTGTGGTCCTTGCTTTTTGCAGAGAGTTAAGTCAACTCTTTTCTCCAAATCTTTAGTAAATATTGACAGTGATTTTTCTCTAATTAAACACGTCAACTTCACAATCCACAAGGACATTGTTTCTGATGGAGTTCCTTAGGTTTAGAAATATAAAATAGCCTTGTCCTGTGTTGTGATAAAATGAATTCTTTTCTACTTTCCAAATACAAACTTGGCATGACTGATAATGTTTCTGGCTTTACTGAGTACAGTAGCACAACACCCCACCTGGCTGATACAGACCATTCTCTATCTTGCTGTAAGTAAAGTCTGCCTAACTATACCGTTCCTTGGTGTCTTTCAGGACTACAAGGTTCCAGGGACACGGCGGCTGCACGAAGTGCTGGGGGTGGAGAGTGGAGGCCCAGGCGGGCGCCGTGCAGGGGAGCAGGGCCATTCGCCTTCGGACTACCTGAAGTTCAAGGATTTGGTGCTGCGCATGCTGGACTATGAACCCCGTAGCCGCATCACCCCCTTCTACGCCCTGCAGCACAACTTCTTCAAGAAAACAGCCGACGAGGGCACCAACACAAGCGCCAGCACCTCACCCAGCCTGGGCACGGAGCACAGCCACTCCACCAGCACCACCAGTTCTGTGTCTAGTTCTGGTAGGTCCATCTCTCCCTCCGCCTCCTTTCCGCTGCCAGCTCTATCCTCAGTCATCTCCATTGCGTGATCTGATACTCTTCCACCTCCCCCCATAGGAGGGTGTCGGTCTAGCTGTTCCTAGCATCTCCTGCTCTGTGCCCAAATGTTACCTTGTCCCCTGTTCTGCTCCTCTGACGCTGTGTACGTTTTTCCTCTCCTATCAGGCGGCTCCAGTGGTTCTTCCAACGACAACCGCGGTTACCGTTACAGCAATCGTTACTACGGCAGCATGGGCACCGTGCATGCAGACTGCGAGATGCAGAGTCCTCAAGTACGTTGCCTGTCAGGCTCTGGCCTGTTTTGGCTCCCCGTGCCCTTTCTGTCGCCCCAGCCCTTAACATGCTCAACCCCTCCATTTCATCTTTAACTGACCGTTTCCCTCTTTTTTGTTGTTGTGGTTGCAGGCGCCCCCTCAGCAGCAGATGCGTCTCTGGGCCAGCGGCGACAACGAGAGTATTCCTCACATCTTACCTCACAAGCCCACGCCCAGCCAGGCCATGCCATGTTTCCCCCCGAGCGGGCACCCTCCATACCAGCGCCCTCCACTCCCACTCTCCCCCCCGCTTCCCGAGGCCATGGAGGTTTCTCTGGGCCCTCGCCATCTGGACTGCAACCCCCCCGGGCTGGGCTCTTCCTCCTTGCACTTGGGCACCTCGGCCTTCCGGACTAGGACTGCTGGCGGCTCGCGCCCTGAGGGACTTGGCCTCAACTATCCTCTCCGCGGGCGTGGGCACCGAGACACTGACGAGACTGCACTGATGGGTGTCTGCGTGCCCCAGGGCACGGCTGCCAGCTCCTGATGATGGACTGGCCCGGCAGGCTAGGAGCCAGTGCCCAGCGAGAGCACTCCCTTGTTGCACCAGAGCCTGGACGGGCCAGGACTGACTGTAGGGCAGGGAACCAGTGCCCAGAGAGCACTTCTCCATAGGTGAGAGTCTGAGTGGGCCAGGACTTGCGGTGGGATGGGTCAGGTTGCCTGGCTGTGGCCAGTCTAGAGACCAGGTCCTGTTGCTACCTAGGACCTTGCTGCAACTGGTAAGCATTGTTGGGGGGGGGGAGGGGAGGGGGGAGGGGGGAATAGGACAGGGGGAAGCATGTGGAGCCAGCATCCTACCGCCCTTGCAGCCTGGATGCCGCCTTCCCCCTTTCGGTCAGTGCTTTCTCTGACTTGTGTGGTCTTTCCTGGCCACAGCCCCTCTTGAATCATTCAGCGGCATGTGGCCTGCCAGCCATTCCCTTCCTTGGTGCAAGAGATTTCAACATTCTGTGCTTGGATGGACAGTCAGACTTCTGTGCACTGCGTGGACTGATGGGCTTGGTGGCCTATGTGGTCCCATGGGAATTGCTGCTAAAAAATTTTTCCCCTGCTTGGAAATAAAGGGTTGCCCCAACCAGCGAATGTTTATGCTGACTCGTGTGCAGCCATCTTGGACCTGCCTCTTGTTGTGTGTACATGATGGAAAGTGGGGGGGGGAGTGCTTAGATCTTTGCTCTGGCATCATTGAAGTATACTAGTGCAGGGCACAATTAGGAAGGTGGCAAAGGAGGGAGAGGGGTGCTGAGCTGGGTTGTGAACTTGTACCTCTGCCTTACTTGAGCTCACGCACCTGCACAGGATTCGGTCGTCTGAGCTCAGGCTATTTCCTTAAGATTCTTTTCTTCTTTTTCGCGAGTAGGAAATGTGGAAGCTTAGCAGAGAAAGAGGGATGCAACCAATATTATTTTTCCTAATAACAGGGAGTTGGCCCTTAACACACCCACACCATAAAACGCTGCTGTAGTATAAATAGCAAGTGTGCTGTTAGATTGGCAATCAATTGAAGCAACAAGGCCAGAGGTGACCCAAGGAGCCTGTTTCCCTATTCCAGTGGCTTCTTGTTGCTCACTAGGCACTTAGTTCTGCTGTGCTGCACAGCCAGGCAGATCAGGGCTTATACCTGACCAGACTTGGAGGTGCTTGAGTTAGCACTGTCCTTTTCCAGTTTTGGCAGGCTGCTGTCCCTTTCAGCTGGATGAGATTCGGCTGGGCCTTACACATGAAGGGAGCCTCTCAGAAAAAGAGCATTTCAGTCACAGAGCATTTCATTGTAATTACCATACAGTCAACACAAGGGCAAGCGTGATCTTGCTGCTTTGGGCTTTTGAACAAGATGTTAGTTTTGTCCATTGTTCTCTGAAAGCAGGGCACATGGTTCCAGACTCAGCTGCTACTGGCAAAATGTGATGCTTCAATGGAAGTGCAGAGTGGTTGGATGTTGCCTGTGTCAGTTTTTTAGACCAAGAATTTGTTCCAGGGATATGTGCTATGTCCTCAGCAGTCCTAGTACACTCAGGCCCATGTCTACAGTATCATGGCATTAGACATTGGGATTCAGCATCCTAAAAATCTCAGCCTTTTGATATGTTTCTTGGTTGTAAAGATGGGTTTGAAAGGCGTGGGGGCAATTCCAACTTCTGAAACCAGAAGATGACTTGGATAGGCCTTCCGATGGCCTGGTGTTCAAATTCTCTGTTGCACTCCATGCCCTCTTCCTTCTGCCCCAAGAAGCAGTTGTTTGGAACACAGCATGTTTGCGTAATTTATGCAGATTATGCAGAGCAGGCTTTTTTGTTATTTAGAACAAAATGTGCACAGTTTTGCGCCCAATGCTACCAACTGAAAGAAAGGAGGCCGGTTGAGAGGCTTGGGCCCAGCTAGGCTAGGCAGCGTGGGCTGTAGAAGAGCTAATGAAGAAAGATGGCTGTGCGCATGAGCAAACTCCACTGCAGATGGGAAATCAAATTAGACATTTGGTGGTGCTTGTGGAAAGAAGAACTTGCTGCTTGAACACAAAATAACCTCAACCAAGGCCATCCAATAGCTCGTAAGTACCACAAAGTTGAAGTTCTGCAGGTTTTGGGTGCTGGTCCTAGCCTTTATTCTGAATAGAATAAATGAGTGTTACACTTGAACAAACAAGCTCCTGCAGACAGTTGTTCAACTTGGGAATGTATTCCATTAATTATCTGCTCCCACTTAAATGATAAATGCTTAAAAGTCATCATCAGAGGGTTCTGTATTCTTAGCTCCCTGCCAGACCAGCTGCCTCTTTACCCCTACCCCACCTGCACTACCCACTGCCATTCACGCCTTTTAAGAGTGAATTCACAGTTAAAATGAAGGCAGATAGCTGTATCACCTGAAACTTGCCTCCTTTACGAAATACATGCCCAAACTGGGAAGAATAACTGAGCCTACTAAAAAGAGCAGTGGCTGTTGTTCTTTCTGCTGTCACACCTGGGTTCTGTACTTCCAAGGAGCCTTGCTTGGGAAAGGTTTCAAGCTAGGCTAGAGTTCTGGTAGAAGTGCACATCAAGGTCATGCTCTTATGTTGTTCAGTTCTCTACTGACTTGTCACATTTCCTCAAAGGTAGGCATAGGGAACCCATGGCCCTCGGTGTGATGTTGGGACTCCTAGCTCCACCAATGGTCAAGGGTGAAAGGCAGTATAAATTGCCACATCTGGAGGGTCACAGGTTCCCCATCCCTGCTGTCTACAGCAGTGGTGAGGAACCTTTTTGGGGCAGTAGGCCAATCTTTACTTTCCCGCGGGCTAACTCTTACGGGGACAGGACTACCGACCTGTCAACCACCTGGTGTCTTATTGACATCTGATGATTGTCATGCCCACCTGCCAAAGTTGGCCTGCTTTGTGCAGTTTCCAGTGGGAATCAGCTGGTACACCTAAGCAGTATTGAACTCCCTGTGCATCAGCTAATGCACAAGTGTATGTGATTCGGTGTGTTTTCTGCTACCAATGTCTCTATTTAGCCTCACACCTGATGTCATGTATGGCGGCAGGTGAGCAAAACAGTCTTGTGGGCTGAATGAGAAGGCCTGATGGACCAGAGTTTCCCCACACCTGGGCTAGAGTATATTCTCTGGCATAAATTACCAGATTACCACCTGCTTTTATTCTTTTCTTTTTCTCTCTCTTCCACAGTAAACTCCACTCTGGGCACAGTTCTTTCTGTTTTTAAAAATGCTTGATTTGAGACTAAAAGCTCCTGTTAAATCTTACAGCCTGTTAAGTCTTGTATGCAGGTTGTAATTGTGCACATGCAAAAGAGAAGACAAAAAAACTCTAGTATTCAGTTTAACATCAATCATTTTTAGAATCCCAGTTTTTTCCTTCTCCAAAAGGAGGTCTCTAGCTTGTGTGACTGCAAAAATGATCAAGCCCAAGTTTAATTTAAATTAACAGACTAACGGCAGTTTTGATTCCCATGTCCCATTGGCTATAATGGGGAATTAGGGTTTTTAAGGATTGGGGCCTTAAAAGAACAGGGTAGGGTAGTGTTTTTAGAACTTCTGTCTCTGTCTTTAGTGGGGCTTGGGGATACTGGACAAAGGTTCACAAATATGGTCATGGCATCACCCACAAATTTAATTCTGGCAGGCAACATGGAAAGCCTTCATTGTATGTCACCACTATTATTTTTTAAAACGCATCTCACAATAAATTGAGGCAGAGCAATCTTTTCAAAATGGCAGGAGGGCTAGGTCTCAGATGAGGCCACAGTTCAGTTGGTAACAAACTGCACAGCTAAAATTCATGGATCCCTTCCTCAGCCTTTTGTACCTCTTTGTAAATTAAGAAATTATTGGAAATGATCAAATGCATAACATTTATACAGGAGAGAATAAGGGGTAGTATCGAGGTACACAACTCTACCTCGGTACTATCCCTTTGTTTTTAATTAATGTGATGGGCATTTTAGAGTGTATGTGTTTGATTTGAGCTACTATTCTGAGCTCCATTAGTTTGGTGTTTTCATTTAGGACTTCTGGGCTTTTCCAGTCATATACAATGTGAAATAGAATGCCACATGTCAGACTCTGCTCTCATTTCATCAGAGTTGCTCACAAATATTAAACAGATTGGGGGTGGGGCGGGGAAGGATGTGATAGTTTAGTTACACTTACATTATTCAGTGGAGAGTTAGACTTGTCACATTTCCTCAAAGGTAGGCATAGGGAACCCGTGGCCCTCGGTGTGATTGTATCGCCTCACCCTGCGCCCAAATTGTCCTAACAAGTAGTTTCCTGCACATACCCTGGCCCAGCTTTTAGGCTGTATGTAGCAGCCTCCCTCAAAGGAAAATAGGGTAATAAGACCGGTCACTTCAAATACTCATTACCCCTGCAATGCATTCACCTGTTCCCTTTAGACAAATTATGCAAACAAAGCTATTGTTTTCATGTCCTGCTTGGGCGGGTGGGAGCAGAATGCTGGACTATTCATGTAGCATGGGGTTCATACTACTCATTCAGCATGTAGCTTTATTCCTTCATATTTATATCCCACACTCTAGGAAGGCAGAATGAATCCGGTTGATGATAATAATTTTAAAAATCTCTGCAGTCATGACAACCTCCCCCAGTCCGCAATGTGAGTAGCATAACAGCAAAGCTATGGGAGAGATGTCCAAGCTTAGTTCATGTAATGGAACCATACGAATCAGCAGACATGTTGAAGGAGCTTAGCCAAGAAGGCTATTCTATAAATGTCTGTTCCACAATGTCGGGGAACCTGTAGCCCTCCAGATGCTGTAGGACACCAGCTCTTTGCAGTCTCAGCATCCATGGTCAATGGGAGTTGTGTCCAACATCAGTTGGTGGGCCCACCGCTTCCCCATCTCTGTCGTACAGCGGTTACATGTTAACCTGGCTTGCAGCAATAGTGAACCATTTCACTATTCGTGAGCAAGAGAACAGATGGCTTTCAAGAAGTGGAACAGGAAGGTGCACAGCACAGCTGCTGCTGAAATTTGGGACACTTTTGTGTTACTCCTGTTCTACCAGCACATTGCCAAAGGTAGACAGTGGAAGCCTCAACTTACTCAGTCTCTCATTCAGAAACTAGCGTGTAGGCCCTGGGTATTGCCAGAAAACAGATTGAAACTGCCAGTCTAACACACATCTTTACAATGCAGATTTTTATTCAAATCAGTGATGTGTCCAAAATGTTTGGGGTATTGGAGCCCTTTGCTCATGGGAAAAGTGGGAGGCCTTGGGGCCAGTGGCAAATAAGATGTCTCTGGAAGGAAACAACCCTGCCACTGTATATAGGACACGGCCTCGGAGCCTGGGTTGCATATAACCATCCCATGGATTTATCAGATCTTTTAAAGTCATGTAATAAGCTAGTGGTCACCACATTTTGTGGCAGGAAATTCCACTAAGAAATAATATACAGTACTATAATTACTTTTCATCTGTCCTGAATCTTATGCCACATTCATCGGGTGATGAGTTACAGTACTGAAAAGGAGAAAAAACTTTTTAACCATTTTCTCCATACCCTACATAATTTTACAACCATCAAAAACAATCATTTCTTCCTTTTTTTCACCCGCAACCACTGTAGCCTTTCATTTAGAGATAATTTTAGTTGTCCTTGCCAGTACCACTTCCAGATGTACAGTATCATTTTTGAGATCGGACACCTAGAAACAGCAAACAATATTTGCAAGACCTCAGAAAGCTACCTATTCTGAGCCACACAATGGGTCCATTATTATCCAGCATTATTTTAGCAGCAGCAACTAATGTCATTATGCCAAGGGCTTTTTACCACTGACAGTTTCCTTCTCATTCTCTTACCTAATAATCATTAGCAATGAATTATTTGTTTGTAGTTATATGCCAAGATTTTTAGTGAGCTTTCTTCCACAACCCCGAGATCATCTTTGTTAATCAGCACTAGCTAAAACCCCATCAGAGTATATCGAAAGTTAGGAGGTTTTGCCCCCATTATATTGAACCTCATTTGCGAATTTGGAGGTCTTTTTTTTTAACTTCCTAATCCATTTAGGGTTTGATAATCTTGAATAATTTAGTGTTTGGCCATCTCATTTATAAACAACTACAATATATTTTCTCTTTCTTCCTTTCGTTGTGAAACTGTCCATTTATTCCTGCTCTCTTCTTTCTGTTGTTTAGTCAGTTACCGATCCATTAGAGGTCCTTCTATGCTGTGACTAACAGTTTATGCAGCAGCCTTTAGTGAGGTATTGCCCAAAAGTCCAAAGGCCCAAGATCCTCCAGGATCATCCCATCCACATTCCTGTTGACAGACTAAAGTTAAAAGATGTGAGACAGAACTTTCTTTTGCAGAAGCCATGCTGATTCTTCTTCAAAAAGGTTTGTAACTTCTATATACTTGATAGAATTTTATTAAGCTTACTAGCTTTTTCATTTCCTGGGTTCACACCTGAACCACTCTCTCTATATATATGGTTACTTTCCAATCCTCTGGTACAGAAACTGATTTTTGGGATAAGTTGCATATCTCTGTTAGAAGATCAGCAGTTTTGCACTTGTTCCTTTAATAACTTTGAATGGATCTGATTCAGACCCAGCCATCTGATAATAAGCACTAGGGCTTCTATTTGTCACAGCCATTTGTCTCAATTATTCAGACTCCTCCTTCAAAAAGGCCGCTGAGGATCAGGTATCAGCCCAGCATCTTTCACAATGGATACAAATAATTCATTTAGTTTCTTTGCAATATCACTGTTCTCTTTTAGGGCACATTTTACTTCCTTTTCATATAAACGATTGATCCAGAGGTTCAAGCCAGATTTGCACATTTTATCACAACTCCTTCAGCTTATGCATTGGCATGGCTGATTCCACAGTTCTGAGGATTACTTAAGGTACCTTTGGAAAAAGCATGGCTGCAGCCATGTTCATTGCATTGTCTTGAGTCCTTCAGATGTTGAAGGAATTTGGCTGAACTCTTTAAGAGTTTGGAGATAGCTGTGAAAGAACAACACCTGAGAAATTGCAAAGCAAAATTGTCACCACCTAGTCTAATCAATACAAACTACAGTGGTACCTCAGTTTTCGAACGTCTCCATTGATGAATGTTTCGGAACTTGAACACCATAAACTGTAAATTCTTTGGTTTTCGAACACGCCACGGATGATGAATAGGAAATGCGGCTTCCACTGAGTGCAAGACTCTGTCAACTATTGAGTTTCGATTTTTGAATGTTTCAGAACTTGGAACCATCTTCCGGAACAGATTACGTTCGAAAACCGAGGTACCACTGTATAGTGAATGGTCAACTCATCTGTCTTCCAAGGCTGACAGTGAAGACATTTTCAAATCACAAGAGCTAAAAATAAGTGCCAATCCTAATTTCAGCTCTATTGCTATTGCTATTCATGGCTGTTACAAATCCCAGTGTCATAGAATCGGAATGATAACAGCAGCAGGTAGGACCTGCTCTGGAGAGACCAATACTGTTACAGAAGGGGTCATCTTGTATATACCAATTCAGTGAACCAGCTGAGCTCGCACAGCTGTAGAAGCAGAGATCCTTGAGATCTACTCATCCAAGAAAGGGGGTGGGGGTGGAAATCCAGCTACAATCCTTTCTGCAGCACAGGAAGAGGGTGAACAGAAGGGACCTCTTCAGAATAACTGCCTTTGCAAGAGCGAGAAACAAGCTAGCTTGGCATTTTATCACATCTCCTTAGACACTGCTGATAGTACGCCTATAAGCCCACCATGTCTTCCAGCACAACTCATTGCTACCTGCCTGGGCCATCCCAGCGCTAGTGTGTTGACCTGCCAATCAGCTCTGGCCCTCATACAGCTCCTCTCTTGCCTTCCTGGCAAAGAGCACAACTGGCCCAGGAGAGATGGCTGCTAACAGCTTCCCTCTTAGGCTCTTGCTCCAGAAGAGAAACTGCTACTTGGCCACACGCTTTAAAATAAATTGCACTTTAATAAGAAAGACAAACCATGGCACAGCAGCTGCAGAGGTTCAGACTTGCAAAGGACAGTCCTGGTTTTCTGCTCAAGCTACCGTGCCGCTCCTTCAACCAAGGTATGAAAGGCACCCCACAAACGGAGTCCTGTAAAGTCAGACTGCATCCAGCCCTCAAGAGAGAAACGCTCCAGGGGAGGGGGAGGAAGTCTTTGTGTGGAGTCCCCATCCAGTCCCTGGTAATGCAGTACCCCTAGCACCTTGCTAGACACGACAGTCAGCACATGATGACCACAATGCTCAGGGCTGTCCATCTCCCTGTGGATTCTTTGGTTTCCTTGGTCCCAGAGAAGTGGCAGGGTGGGGCTCCTGTCCCCAGGCCACTCTGTGGCTAGTGCATCACATGGAATGGCGCATTCCCTTCTCAGTGCCAATGAAGACAGTGATATTTGTGTAGAGGGGGTGGAGTTTCTTGGAGAGCAGCTGGTACTCCAGTGTGTTCATGCCATCCTGCTTCCATGTTCTCCTCGTCTTGGCCAGCAAGTTAAATCTGTAAGGAAAATTCACAGAGTCAAGCGCGAGAACTCGAGCCCTTCTCCTACCACCTCCCCGCCCAAAGTGCAGCTCCTTGGATTTGCAGGTTAGGAGAAGCTTACGTATTCTTTTTACACAGATTTCCAGTAATGAAATGGTATGGTGTGGTCAACGTTTTGTAACAAGGCGAGGAGGACAGTGTCATGTTTGTCAATAACGGGGAAAACAGTTGCAAATACCCATGCCTATACCTGCCGAAAAAATACAAACCACTCACAATGATGAAGTGGGTGCTCTGAAGAAACTTCACAGCTTAAGATCAGGAGCAGCTATACGTGGCAGGTGGGGAGGAGAAAAGGAAGGAAGGAGAATGCTTGAAAAAGCAGGGACTGGAGGATAATAGATGGCAGACGGACCAAGTTGAAAAAACACACCAAGCAGGAAATAGGAAAGCGGCAAAACTACACATACAGCCTACAAGCAGGAGTGGATGTGTATAACTAGCAAGCAAGGAAGGTTTGAGGACTGAGCCAAAGCTCCAACGGTGCATAAGGTTTTTACGTTTTGAGTCCAACATGCAATTTCTACCAATTGTACAGTTTCTACTCTCCCTCTATCCTTGTGATATGGCAACTCAGAGTAGGCAGTGAGGACCAACAGCCCTGGTTGGTAATGGTGGGGGCCTGGGTTTTACAAATGGATTGGAAACAACTATCCAGTTCTCTTTTACTACAAAATTCCCAGTCCAGGTTATTTTGCACCACCACAACAGAGTGTTGGCAAGCTCTGCCACACCAGAAATAGCATTAAGGGAAAATCACAGCACAAAAACAAAAACATCTGTCTGGGCTCTTGGTTCTTTAGAATCTCCACATCCCAGGACTTCTCACCAGTTCTCTGTTTACCCTTGTGTGATGTCTTCAGGCCAGCCATAATGGCAACCTTCCTTTCTCTCACAGAAACTGGACTGCAAACCGTTAAAACAACTGAACATTCCATGCTCCCACTCCAGCTTGGCCACTGCTGGAGGCTTCACTCCCTCAAGCACAAAATATCTAAATATGACTATGCTCTGGGAGTTGCTCATCCATCATATTATCTGCGGTGGACATTCACCCTGGCCCAGAGGATTTGGCAGGGTGCATTAAGGAGGATGCAGATTAGCTACATACAATTACACTTAACCACCTAGTTTACAAGACAGTAGTCCATTTGCAATTGTTCAGGCCACATTTCTGCCCCAAGTAGTCCCCTCCTCTACTCACCTCTTAGGGTTCTGCTCATTGCCCTTGTCGTGTCCATGCTTGATCATACGGTAGCGGCCGTACTGAGTAGATGGGCGAGAGATAACCATCCCACTCAGCGCTACCCTGCAGAGAAGGTGAATGAGAATGCAGCATTAGCAGGAGTGCACATGGGGTTTCAGCAGGGGCACAAGTGCTACAATTACACATCCAAGCAATGCAGTGCTTCAGTGCCTTCAAATCTGCACCATGCCACTCATGGCTCCTCTCCTTTGCCCCACCCCTGGGCAACAGCAAGAACAGAATAAAACAATCCTGGATTCCTACCCGAGCTTGCTCAATCCCTCCTTGCCAATATTTCCTATGCTCTGATACAAACCCTAGGGCAATACATGGGGGAAAGTTTGAGAGCCAGGACTCCTAGGGTCCCATCCTCAGCCATGCCACCTTAAACCTTTGTGAATAGAGTTGCCTAATCCCCCTAAAGCCGCTGGGCTTTATGCTGAAGGGATGGAACTGGAGCCGCCTCCTTTTCTAGCACCAAGGACCATCTTTACCTGACTGCAATGTCGTCATCTTCACCGCCCCAGCCCCAATAGTTGTTGGGAAAGCCATTCATCTTCATGTATTGCTCTGGACTGAGTGCAGAAACCCCTCCAAAGTAGGACTTGTATGGAAGCCTGCAAGAATTTAAGAGGACATTTATTTACATGTAGCCCACCTGCTACTACCATGCATATAGGAATCTCTAGAGGAAACACATAGGACCTCAGCTGGCACAGAGATATGGGCATCTAATATTACTATGCGAATATTACGTTCACAAGCACAGGTTCTGCCCACAGGCTTACAGACCAATAGATATAACATGAAAGGAAAAAGGAATGTGGGAGGAAAAGGAAAAGCAATAAATTCAGGTACCAATTCACATGGAATGACCTGAGGGAGAGTTCTGGAAGAGGAATCAAATGGCAGCTAATAGAGAGGACCTCGCTCTCTTCACTGCATGAAGCATGCATGTCATTTTAGGGTTTTTAAGGGCAGCAGTACACTGCATTTCAGGAGGACCATTTCTAGAGCAGGGTCCCGTCCACTGATCAAAATTAGACATGTTCTAGGTGCATTTCGCACCTGGCTATCGTCCACTTGTGACCAAGTGAAGGTGCCTGGGCACCAGGATGGCGCCTGACACCTCCAGCATCTGGAGGTGCATGACTGGGGATCATTGAATCTTGACTGCTTTCACACCCTAATACCATTATCCTATACAATTCTATCAGTTAATATTTTATCTGCATAGTCAGAATGAATGTCGGGAACCAAAATGCTTTTTCTGTGTAACCTGAGCAGGAGCGGTGAAAAAACGTTATAGTTACGTAATTGTTGTCACTTGTCTTCACTTACCCCACCCCACTGCCCTGCTCACAGTTGTGAAGAATATTCTTAAGTTATGAACGGTCCATGTCACCATTAAGATAAAGAGGTAGGAGTAAGCCAGTATTTATGTAGACTGTCCCTGGATAAAATGACTTGTCTTCTTTAAGTCCTCAAAGTTCTTAACCTAGCTCAAGGTTGTCATCTGAACAAGCCAGATGTTAAACTGATGATCACAGTCAACCCATCATTTGAAAAATAAGACTTCAGAGCCGTCTTGCCCCAAAATGGCAACTAGACATTCCATTTTAGCTTATAGATCTGAGCTTCTAACACTGGTCTGCCTAGGCTTCCAGCTCTTTAGCACCAACCTTCCCCTACAGCTGAGCTGCTGTATGCAGAAAGCTTTTCTCTATCAACTCCCACCTGTAATGCAGCTGCACTCAAGAAGGCTGCCCTTCCGACAAGCTCAAAACAGCATCATTTGACTCTTCCCCTGCTTTATCCTCACATCAATCTTGCAAAGTAGACTGAGGGAGGATGACTGCTTCAAGGTCCCGTCAGTAAGCCTTATGGCTGAGTGAATATTTGAATCCAGGTTTCTCTGGTTCTAGTCTGACATTCTAACTCTTCCAGCACACTTCCCAGTCCTCCCCATATCTGTATCTAGAAAACAGCCTAGAAACACACGAGAAAGCAGTTGTTTTCAGTGTGATTTTGTTTTCAGAAGGGAGACTGGGCATCTCTATTTTAAGAAGGAAAGGGTGTTGGGAGGGGTATAGAAGCATTCCTATGGAAACAGACCCAAATCCAAGAAGCTTACTTGTAGCCAAACTTGTCCATGGCAACAGCCACGTGCTTGGGGAAACGGTCGCAGGTGTACACATTGCGGTCATCTTCAGGGATGAGGTCCACATCATGGAAGAACATACAGTCCCAGTCCTCGTCTTTCATAGCTTCCTTGAAGCCCACATTCAAGAGTTTGGCCCGGTTAAAAGTGTAGTTCTCAGCCTGAGAAAGAGATGGGTGGCATTTACACCAGAGCGCTCTCTCTCTCTCTCTCTCTCTCTCTCTCTCTCTCTCTGTGTGTGTGCGTAAAAACTAGCTCCCCTAAAGTGCTAAACTCTCACATCCAGGACAGTCACCACTAGCGCTACATTAAAATAGTATCCTTCCTCCACGCTGACTTCTGGCATTCTCACATTTGACAGCTCCTCCAGAACCACCTACTCCATTTCTATCTTGGCTTGGGCATGCTCCAGGGGGGACTCATTCATCTACACCCGAGGTTCCTTACCTTATCTCTTCCCCCTCCAAGGAATTCGGTGAGCTCAAACCGCTGGGTGCTGGTTAGTCCCTGCCCGCTCCCCATACCCAGTCTCAGCTCCACCCCACCCCGTAGTACTCTTGCTAGGGTTCCTTTCCCTGTGCCTGACTCTTCCCCACCTCTCCAGAGATCAGACTCAGCACAGCAGAAATCATGATTCACTGCACTTTTTGGAAGGAACTACAGCTTTCCCTCTCTGCAGCAATCAGAGCGCAACCCACTGCCCCCTACTGAGGCCTAGTGCTGAAAAAAGCTTTGCCTGCCCACCTGCCTTCACTGGGCACTCCTCCATTAACAATAAAGAGAGCTATTGCCTCTATTCCCTCCTAAGGAGAGAGAGAGGCCACACATTAATGCAGGGACAGGCAGCAGCCATGGAGACTCTTCTGCTGGGAGCCGCCCAGAGTGGCTGGGGAAACCCAGCGAGATGGGTGGTGTATAAATAATAAAATTATTAATTATAATTATTATTATTGAAACCTCCTGCCCTGCCCAGCTCACACACGGCTGTGGCAACGCACCTGATGGATGATGTAGATGCCATAGGTGAGCTGCTGCCGCTGCAGGAAAGGGTGCAGGTAGTAGAGCAGGTACTTGAGGTGTTGCTCTCGGTTGCGGTGGGGGATGATGACAGCTGTTTTGTGGACTGCATCGCAGTCGGGCGGACGGTAGCGCCCCCCTTTGGTCACAAGGGGATTCTTCCGCACAATATCATCCAGAGACAGCCCTGCGGGGAAAGTCACCCGAATAGGGCCTCCTGCAGGCGAGCAGAGACAGGGGTAAGGCAAACAATCTCCACCACCTAGCTAGGTAGTCAGCAGACTGCAGGCTAAGAGCCAACGTGACCCAGAGTCCTCAAGAGGAGAACACCTCGAAACATTTTCATTTTAGATTAAAATGAGCATTAGCCTCCTAGTCAGTTCCAGGGTTCTTTTCTCTTTCCACCTGCTCCATCCCTGGTCATCCCTGCAAACTTTAAAGAATCATAGAATTGTAGAGTTGGAAGGGACCATGTGAGTCATCTAGTCCAGCCACCTGCAATGCAGGATTTTTTTTTGCCCAAGATGGGGCTCGAACCCACGACTCTGAGATTGAGTCTCATGCTCTATGAACTGAGTTATCACTATGCTTTCACTAGTCACACTGGACAAGAAAGGGTGCATGGGTCGAAGAGAGAGAACCACTTCTCTCATTTCACAGAGCACTTCATGGCTTAATGGAAGATCACTTCTACGATGGGCCTACAATCCTCAAGCCTCTTTTTGCGGGGGTCTCTCATCACTAGGCATCTCTGTTTAAAAATCACTATTGCCGTACTCTACTTCCATAATTTGTGTCTTCTTTCCCAGGGCCAAAGAGCGGTGTAAACATGAAGCAAGCTTTTGAATTACACTGAACTCTTTAGTCTCAGAACTAGTATGCTACACACAAAGAGAGAAAATTGACCCGGAAGCTTGCTCAGAATTTATTTCACTGTTTCATGCTCATTTTTGCCTTTCACGTGCCACCCAAAACCTTTCCAGATGGCTAGCTGGTTCAATGAAACAATACATTAGAGCTTCTGTGTCTCTTAATTTCAGAACAACCACTCCAGCCCAACACCATTCAAACCTTAGGGCTGACTCCAAATCCCCAGTTCCTAACCAGAATCAGGATCAATAACAGAGAAGCCCTTACCAAGAAAAGGAGATGCCTCTGGACAGTAAGGAAGTTCCTCTGGGGGCAGAGGGGGCCGGGCAATTAGGCTGAGGTTGGCGTAGACGTCCCCTGGCAGCGAAACATTGTGTAGGCTGGACAATATAGTCAATGTGCCCCCCTTGTAGAAGATGCCCAGGAAATAGGCAACACGCTTGCGGTAGCCATCGTGGTACAGCAGAGCCATCACCACCAGCTGCACCCCTAGGAAGAGCAGCAGGTAGCGGCCACGCAACTGCAGCATGGCTGAGGCAGGGCCAGGATCATCTATCCATGGTGCAGCTGGGCTGAAGGGTGGCGGCGGCAGCAGCAGCAAGGGAAACAGAAGACAGTGACCTGTTGGAAGCAGCAGAAGGTAGAATGAGTACAGGCAATGCTCATTCGTCAGGTTAACATTTTTTTTTTAAGCACAAACATTTTGATGGGCCAAAAAAGGTGCCCCAGTTAAAGTACCAGCAGGTTCTTTGGGGGTGGGGAAGAAACTAATTTTAATGCAAGTACAAACTGTAGCAGAGAAGCACCATTTTGAGAGGCATTCCGTGTCTTTGGGGAGAGAATAGCCATTTACAACCCATGCATGCATCGCCTAAAAGCAAGCATCATCTTCGCTCGAAAACCATTTAATGCCGATTTGATTATCTGATCAGCCTCCTGACGTTCACAACGTTCAGCTTTCGCTTGGATGCTTACAAGAAAATGCATTTCCTGCCCCCACCTCGCCCCCAAACGTTTCATGTCTACATATGCAGGGGTAAGGTTCTGAAAGCGGGGGGAAGTTCACATCCAGAGCCCAGCCCAGCCATTTGTTACACACAAGGCGATCTGCTCTCAGCAAGCACAAGTATGGACAGACGTGGCACCGCGAGACAAAGCAACTAACAGTAATAGCATCTTCCTGTCTCTGCAGCTGCATGAGAAGTCTCAGTGCAGCAAAAAGCAAACCGCACACCTGCCAAATGAGAGGTGTCCACAGGAAAGGAGAACGTGGGAGTGGGTGGTAGGCATAGCAACATATGCACCAGGGAGGCAAAAGAAGTTAGGACAAGTGGCAGACAGAAAGAAATAGGATAGCAGAATTATTTTTTGCTTACACTCCCTCCCTCCCCCCAAAAACCAAGGAAACACAGAAGGATTAAGCTTGGCAGCTTTCAAGTAAAAAAATGAAAAAAAATGTTAAGCTCAGTTGCAGATCAATCCCCAGAATCTGCAGGAAGGGCTGGGAATGCCCCCTGACAAAAATGCTAGAGAACTGCTTCCAGTCCAAGGTGACAATTCTGAGCAAGGTCTTGACTAGGCATAAGGCAGTTTCCTACATTCCTGGGAAACTTAAAACAGTCTGCATGCCTCTCCTCCCATGGAACTCCATAGTTGAATGGTGACTTGAATCTGGGTTCTCCCAGATACTATCATGCTCTGACCACAACACAGTTATTCTTAAAATTATGTTGCCAGAGCCTCCTTTCTCCATACCCCAGAGCTGCTTCATTTAAAGTGTCAAAAGCCATGTTTTGCATGTACATATAACCTTAGTCCACAGCTGTTGCTATCTGCAACACTTGAGGGAGGAGGGAGGGATGGGAACAGGCGCGAGTCCCCTTGCCGCAGCCCTTTCCATGCACCTTGTCCACTCTTTGTTTTCCAATATTAGGCCCTTGGGCCTCCAGCTGCCAGCCACTTCACATATCTCAGCGTTTGGGTTGTATAGATCCTCTTCACCCTGGCTTTTGAAACTTGCAAGGTATGCTATGCTTTTAGCACCCACCTTATTTCCGTGACTGCAAGTTGTTTAAACTGTTTTTAACGTGTGTTAATTGTTGCAAGCTGCCCCGAAACCCAAGGGTGAAGGCTAATAAATTATTATACTGTAATAATCTACCCGATTGCAGAATCTTGGTTAACGCGGCAGGAAAGGGCTTGGGGGAGTGCAACATGGAGCAGCACATTCCATACCTATAAGTGAGAGAAGTAGCCTGCTTTGGTTACCTATTCTGCTACCTGCCCACACCCTGTGCAGCACAACAGGTGTCTCGGAGCAGTGCCAACTGGCAACAGCTAAGAAGGAACAAGGAAATGGCCCAAGAGATTCCTGTAAGAGATGCTCCAGGGTGATATAAGAAAGAAGGAAATGAATCACACATAAAGGTAAAGGACCCCTGACGCTTAACTCTGGGGTTGCGGTGCTCATCTGGCTTTACTGGCAAAGGGAGCCGATGTTTGTCTGCAGGCAGTTTTTCTGGGTCATGTGGCTAGCATGACTAAGCTGCTTCTGGCGAAACCAGAGCAGCACACAGAAACGCCGTTTACCTTCCTGCCGGAGCGGTACCTATTTATCTACTTGCACTTTGACATGCTCTGGAGCTGCTAGGTTGGCAAGAGCTAGGACCGAGCAATGGGAGTTCACCCTGTCGTGGGGATCTGAACTGCCGACCTTCCGATCGGCAAGCCCTAGGCTCAGTGGTTTAGACCACAGAGCCACCCACGCCCCACATAGATGTCACATATAGGCAACCCTAATTAAAACCTTCAGGGAAGAGCTGACCCTTCCAGATTCACTGAGCTGTTCCACTGCCCAAAGCAAGAGGCTCAGTCAAGGGCATCTTGCTTCATTTGGGAAGAAAGAGGAGCGTTCTTACATCACTTAGTCAAACCCAACAGATTAGGAAATGGGATTAGGTGTGTAGCTGGTTTTGCCTTCATGTGTGCATGTTCATTCCCAACACACTTTGACATGAAAAACTTCACAGAAAAGGCAAACAAGCTCCGTCGTGATGTAGCCTGCAACCAAGTTGGAAAACTTCCTTCTTTGTTGCCGTGATATTGTTCTATACCATTTTTTAAAAGATATAGACCAGCATTTTGATAGGAAGGTTTGGGTATGAGAAAACTTAAACTGTAGCTCTCCTTTCTAACCCAACTATTAATATGTGAAGGTAGGAGGTACTGCATAACTGGTAGAAAAGTATCCAAGTGGCTCAAAGCCAGTGTGCAAACACAGATAAGTAGTGCGCTTGCTGGTAACAAAAGGCATATATTTTACATAATGGCTTTTATGGGAGCAGCTGCCATGATTTCCAATCAGCAAATAATAGCTTTTAGCAAAACCACCAACTCCATTTCTTGGCATCCGTCTGTCTCGGGAGATAAAGGAAGAGTGCACCTTCAGGGGTAACGTCAAACCATTGGAGAGTTACAGCACCCGCTGTGGCTGCAGAGACCAATGTGGGAGAGACATGTTTTGTTGCAGTTGCGGCAGACAAAGGCATCTGGTTTTGCTGCTACAGGTGTGCCATGGCAGTTCTGACTCCTTACAGACTTTGGATCACCGTTAGGATGCCTACGTCAGGTCATTCAATGTGAATGAAGCAGTTTGTCGTTGCAAAACAAATGCAGCAGAGATGAATTCACTGGGGCCTTTCCTAGGCAGCTTTCTTGGGACCTGAACATTCTACTATCTAAAGCAGTGCAGTGAATTGGAGCCGTTTCAGCAGCCTAGGTGGAGGCAAACAGAGTAGTACAAGAACACTGCAATCTGGAGATGCTTCACAAGCCTGACACCAACACGGAGGATTCATCCTACCCTGCAGCCCCCGCAAATAAAAGAAAAAGCGGAAGGCTGGTGTGACAATGTAGCAATGGAGCCAAAGTTTTAAAAGCTGTCTGATCAGCTCTACAGCCCCCTTTCCCGATGCACGTTATTGTATTCTGGAAATACGGTTTAACACGAATAAGTAGATTGCTGGAGGATGTTATTCAAAAGTTCCTGCAGTGCTCCTTTCCCCACGGCTGCCAACAAGCTAGAGTCTCTGCCTTGCCATGCCATGTGACCTGGGCTCCAAACCACAAATGGTAAGCAAGGTTAAGGTCATGCCTTGATTCAAAGTAAGGCTGCCGCTGGCTAGCAAGTGGTGGGCCGCACAGCAGTTGAGGTAAGGGGCTGGACAACAGGGAGGAACCAGTGGGAGTAGCTGCAGCTACCTAACCTGCTACACAACCCTGGCTTGTGAAATTGCTAGTTAGAGCAGGATAGTGAAGGCAATGAAGAGTAACTGATCCAGAATCAAATATTATCCATGGGCTTATCCACACTTACCTTTCCTCTGTGCTTTCCAGGCATGGTCCATACTTTAAAGCTCTGTGCCTTTGTCTTTTTGCCCCAGAGATTTCCCTGTGAAAACCCACTCTTTAAAGCTGAATCGGAGCAAGCAGCAATCCGCAGAAAACCTGAATTGCCATTTGTTGTGCTTCAGCTTTAAAAAGCAGGTTTTCATGGGGAAAGCTCCAGGGAGAGAAAAAGAGTGCTTATATGTATATATATTATTTATTGAATATGTACCTGCAGTTATTTATTGATCTATATCTCAGGGCAGTTCACGGGATAAAATCAGAATGGAAATTTCTGACATGGACATTGAACTTTAGAACGCAGGGCTGTGCCTATAAAGAGGTGGCCAAAAAGCCCTTTATCTCATCAGGATCCTGATCCAGCTACCAGTGTCAGTTCTTGGGGGTGGGGGAGAGAGGTTTAGGACTCAGAGACCAAGACATAGGAGAAGCTCCAGGTCCTGGGAAATGCATTTCTACTGAGTCTTCCTTCAGAGAGCTTTAAACAAAACAAGAGGTCATTGATTTGAAGGTAATGATAATGAGCTAGGCTTCTACATCAAGTGCAGAAGGACACTTCAACTTCAGTCTAAATAAACTACCCTCAAAGGGCCTCTCCCCACACAATCAGGCCACCTCTTCACCAGGAACTATTTCCTCCTGGAATTTGTAGCCAACCCATGTTAGACTGAAGTTCTAGGAACCAGAAGTCACATTATAGAAGCAACCAACCTGACGAACAAGTTATGGGCTGCTCATTAACCAGTACATTAATAATGAAAGAGCCATTAAAATAGAGCCACGGCTTGGTCAAACTGGAAAGCACTCTCAATAAATTGCTTTCTGCACCTTGGGAGTTTCACCTCTTTAAAATTCACACTGGTGCTACCCTCTTCCTTTTTTGACTTCAGTAGCTCCGGCATAAGATGAGCGAACTTTCCAGAGATGCTTACAAAGTTCTTTCCCATAACTTATCAGCTCCATTTCACACCATCCTTATGGCTCACCTTGTCCAACTACACTTCCCCCACCCCTTCCCTGTCAAACCCTCATTGGGATCTCTGCAGATTAGTCCAACCATCACAAGCAGCATACTCACAAGCCCATAGCTAGTACTGAGCAATGGATGCGCCTCTTTTCCTGTTGAACTTATTGGCCAAACCTGCCTAGGGAACCACGGGAAGAGAAAAACAAAGTCCTGCATGAGAAAAGAACTTTCTTTATCCTCCACACTCAGTCTGCATTTTTCACTCTCTCTCTCAACTGAAATGAAGGCAAGTTCAGAAACTGGATAGATTTCAGAAGGAAACTTCACGTTTAAGGGAAAAGATGAAGGGCAGCAACTGAAGTATGTGCTTTGGCCATCTTTTCAAAACCTGGCTGAATTTGGCAAAGAATGGGCCGAGACTAAAATAAGAACACATAGCCAATTTGCTTCAGTCATTAACTGGAAGAGGGGAGGGCCTGAAGCACCGAAACTGAAACAGCTCAGCACAGAGCTGCCTCTTTCAAAAGTCTGCGTATCAAACACATCCTCACTATGGAATGCACAGGACATTGCCAAATAAAGCAATTTTCCAGCTGGCAACTTGAAACTTGAGTACTGACCACCCCCCACTCCCAGGACTACTACTAAAGAAACAGGTTCTGACCTCGCAACTTCCATGGGGATCCTGTTCTATCAGGAATCACACTGCACATTTCTGACCAGGGTGTGAAAAGCTGGGCCACATGGGAGGTTTTTAATCCTCCACAGGAATGAGATCTTATCAGCTTTGTCAGTAAGGAAGGTATTTTTCTTCCACTAGGCAAGGCTTCCTCGAAGGGGAGGGTAGAAGTGAAACTATGCTGAGTATCTGCACCATCCACCTTTATGTTCTAAGCCAAGCCAGGCCTTCTAGAGATGACACAGAGAGATAAAAGCTTAAGAAGGAACTCTGGTGATTCCCATTTGGTTCAGCATCCTGTTCTCACAGGCCAGATGCTTATGGGAAGCCCACAAGCGAAACACGAGTGCCAAAAGCACTCAACCCACTCATGTCCACAAGATTCGGAGAACATTTATGTTCTTCCTGCCACCGAGTCTCTAACACTAGCAATCAGGCACATGTATAACTCTGTTTATTCACAAACTTGCTGCTAATTCCAGTCCTCTTCCTCCCCTCTCTTGCCCACCTTTGAACTGTACACAACCGGAGCAAGAGAATCTGGTTTACTGCAGCTCTGTAAAGCACCATGCATCCTCAGCAGCAATTCCATTATATGACACTTCATGCAATCTTACAAGGCTTCTTCCTTTCACTGAATCTGTGCAATTCCATTACACAGAAAGCACAAAAACCACAGAGTCATAATTTCTGGCACAGCCTGAAATTCTGCGGAGGGTGCAGATGCCAAAGCCTCCCTATTGAGTTCAGACCAAGATTAACCTTGCCTCAGGAGGTAAAGACGATGTCACCCCAAAGATTCAGTGTTTCCCTCCAAGGCAAACAGGATGCGGTCTTAAGTTGGCCCAACTTTATTTATATATAAATAAAACTAGTTATTTTAAATGCTGGACAGCATTACTTACTGCAGAGAACTCTTCCTCAGGCTGGAAATCTGAAGTGGGGGAAATATTAGCTGCTGCTGTGCCAGTTCATAATGTTTACCCAGGCATGTCTAAGAGCCTTTTCAATTCCTCAATGAGCTGGAACAGTTTAGATGCTAGGCTACTCACTTATTTCATCAAGAGCAGCACCTCTCAACTCTCCAAAGGTGTGAGATGCCTGTACTAAAGAGGCAACAGCTAAATCTCTGGTTTTCCTTATAAGCTTCCAGTCTAATTTGACCCAAGGCTGCATTGGTAGGTCAAAACCACCAGGCTTTCAGTGCTGGATAAATGTAATTGCACTTACCATCGCAAGGTTCACAATGATTATAATTCCTATGTTAAAATCCATTTTTAAAACTCCCCTCAGAGCATTTATGGGCCCCAATTCAAAGTACTGGTGCCGACCTTTTCAAGCCCTTAACAACTTGAGACCTGGTTATATGACCCTGGTCATTCACTAAAATCAGCTATGGAGGTCCTGGTCATATGCCCACCAGTATGAGCAATTAGGTTGCCAGGCACAAAAAATGGGGTCTTTTCAGTGGTGGCCCCATGGTTACGGAATTCCCTTCTGAGTGAGTTACACACACTGCCTTCAGTGCAGGCTTTCAAGTGGGACTTAACATCTCTTTTCCAGGCTGCCTTTTCTTAATGTGTTCTTCAGCTGTACTTTCAAGTTCTCTCTCTCTCTCTCTCTCTCTCTCTCTCTCTCTCCCCCCCCCCACACACACACACACAGGGAAAGAGAGTGAAATACTTAGGCTTCATTGGGCCTAGGTGCTGCTTCATAATAATTCATCTCATTTGTTGTGTTTCTTATTGTTTCTGTGCTTACCACTTTGTGAGGGCATGGCCTACGAGGCAGCCTATAAATTTGTCACATAAAATAAATTGATGACTCTTCCTGAATAAAATTCAGAAGGGTAAAGGCAGTCAGCACAGCTTATTATGAATGGAGTGCATATGGTGAAGAACAAAGATCATCTTTTCAAGAAGACATCTGCATATAGGACAAGAATAGGTGGCAATTTTTTCTGTTTAACAAACCTGCCCCACCTCTAATTAGCTATTTTGTCAATGATGTAATAATAATAATAATAATAATAATAATAATAATAATAATAATATTTATACCCTGCTCTCCCCAGCCAAGGCTGGGCTCAGGGCGGCTAACAACCAATAATGAAAACAAGTTGAATGAATACAACTTAAAAACAAGATTAAAATACAACATTAAAACATTAAAATGCAGCCTTATCACAGGAGGAGAAAGGAAAAAAGAAAGAGGGGGAGGGAATCAAATTGACTCCAAGTCAAAGGCCAAGTGGAACAAGAAGAATGAACACTATATATATATATATATGCGCACTAGAAGTTGCTTCTGGCTTACAGAGTACAACGAGTCAATGATATCTTGCAAAAATTATGGAGATAGAAAGTTGCAGCAGCCTTGCCTGGACACCACATACCTTTACTGAACGTGGACATTCCTATAATGTCCATACATATGCGAGCAGTTCACCTACTAAAGTACTTTCCTTGAACAATACGTTCAGAAGTATGTAAAGATTCAGCTCCAAACGCAAACACCTTTTATATACATCATGCATATAAGACATGTACAAATGTCACCAACAATAAAGCATGAGAAGGAAGCACATCTGTTCTAACTAAACAGTGCCAATCCTCCCACAGCATTGGCACTTAAAGGCCAGAAGACAGAAATTACTACATGCCTTGGGCTGTGTTACTGGACAATCCCAGCTTTAAAGTGCAGAGACTGACACCCGAGACAGCACTGTGTCAGCTGAAGAAACACAGGCAAACTGAGCCGGGGATGGATGAATGCTTCTGAATAATTATTTACAAGGCTGTGATGTTCCCTAGCGATTAGTGTTCAGTGCAAAACAACGTCTTGAATATCTGGGGAAGTGAGCTGCTTAGATATCTTAAGCAAGCTGGCATGATTGCTAGCATCACCACAAAAAGCTACAAGACTTGTAAGGGTATCACAGCACCTAGGTTGGCCCTGCTTCCCCTCCAGCTGAATGCATAAGGGCTCAAATCCCCAAACTCAGGTCTACACCTACACACAAGGACATCTGCATTCTCTGACATGGGCTTCCTGGCATATAGAAATGCTTCACATTACACTTCACATTAGAGGAGTTGACTGTTGGGAAAGACAACAGAAGCAAAGGGAGCTTGTAGCCTGCATCAGAAGAACTCCTGTCCTCCCTTGAGACCATAGCCATTCCCTTGTCCAGAGTTGGCTTCTGGGTTCTCCCCCAGTTCATCTGGGAGTGCCTCATAATGGGAGACCATGGGCAGTGCAGAGAAATGGTCACCTACAACTGCCATGCCCAAAGAAGGAGGGGATCTATAACTGTATGAACTGCAATTGGAAAGATATTGGAAAATGCAAGCAAATGTGAATTTAAGGATGCCCACCTGTGCAGTTCTGTTTCCTCAGCTAGATCAGAGAGGTCGTCCTTAGTTCGTGGAGTGCAGCACTTTTTTGGTCCCAATCTCCATGGAGTTTCTGCAATGAATCGGGGAGGGTGAAGAGAGAGGTCAACTTAGAACTAGCACATATGACAGGGCAGAAAGAAAAAGCATAGAGGCAGAACCTGGCATTTTCACACAGCAATGCAACATCGCCACATGAAACCCAACAGCACGCAGCCAATTTAAACAGGAAGTAGAGAGCTGCTAGTGCAGAGTAGGATGAGGAAACGGGGGGGGGGGGGGAGAGACAGAGAGAATGGGGTCAGGAATGTGCAACGTGTACAGAACGGGAATGGGAGTTAATCACTACCAGCAGTCAGTACTTCCAACAGGGAACAGAACAATTTTCCATACCGAATCATGCCATTTGACAATCATTCCAGATTTCTTTCTTCAAATTAATGCACTGCACAGAGACAAAACTGACCGAATAATTAAGAATAATTCAATTGCACCTATGGCACACAGCACATCCCGGAACAACAGAAATAGCACTAAAAGAACCCCCTTCCAGAACCAAATCACTACTCAGGGTCTTTTATACTTTCTATTCAAGAAGTCAATTCTTTGCTGCTTAGTTTATTCATTATCCCACAGGGGGAGGCATAGAAGTCTTGCTGTAGGTTAGGCAGTGGTATATTCCCTGTGATTCAGCTCCACACTTCCCTAGCGAACAGGAGACTTAGCGTTCTGTTGCTTAGACAACCCACGGGTTGCCAAGATGCAACTGTTAGTGCCTAATTTTTCTTAAAGGGCTAGAAATTCTGGAATAAGTGCTGACTGGGGAAAGGAAGCTCTGGCACTCGGGTTTCAACCCCCCTGCCTTTTGCATATGCAGCCTTCCCACCATATTAAAAAGAAATATGGTGCCCTACCTGTAGATTATGATCTAACACAACTGAACCAAGAATTGCTATAAGCTTCAAGGAGTGTCTGTCGCCGTAGTCTTAAAGTCAAAGAACAGGGTGCAGCCTCCAAAGTCACCTAGGCTAACCCCTCTTCAAATATTTACAAGGACATGTTGCACAACTTCTATGAACTTCACTGCCAACAATCACTTCTTAAACCACAATTCAGCAACAATCACATGGCAACAATGCACACATGCCACTCATACAGAAAGGCCGCTATTGTAAAGACAGCATCTTAACACCCTCATATAAGCCACTAAGTCAACAGTGACTGGCGACAATGTGCCTTTTTTATTGTAGTTTCCCATGCAGTCTTCAATGAGTTAAAATCATAGAATTGCAGAGTCCCCGTCCCCTTTCCCCCAAGGGGGCGGGACACTAATCTTTTTTTTAAAAGAATTTTATTAATTTGGCCTCTGATCCCTCAAGCCCTTTAATCTGTTAAGATGATGACACCCTTGATGATGTCCATGTGGCATGTTTTGTGTGTGTGCACACACGTCTGTGTGTTCAGAGTTCGCAGAACAGTGAACACTATAAAAATCTAATTGACTTACTACGTATAGTTAAACTATGAATTTGCTCATACAATATGTAGTAATGGCCGCCAACTTGGATGATTTAGAACTGGGCTCATTCACGGAGGACAAGGCTATCAATGGTTACTAGTCATGATGAGCATGCCCTACCTCCACTGCCAGAGCCATGCCTCTGTGAACCAGCTGCACGGAATAATCACATCTGGCCTGATTCAGCAGGGTTTTATCTGTATCTACACATGCACACACGGAGGCAATTGTGATGTCATCTCTCTGTCTCAGTTACACCAACCCAAGAGCTGCAAAATATGTGGGAAAGGGTACCCAAAATAATCAAAGGGTTGGGATACTGTTCCGACAAGAAAAGGCTAACAAATCTGAAGACATTTTTTTATAATGAGACAAGACGAAGAATATGCTTGAAGCTTACTGCGTTATGCATGGTAAGGAAAATGAGATACCGTATTTTTCGCCCTATAGGACGAACCTTTTCCCCTCCAAAAATGAAGGGGAAATGTGTGTGCGTCCTATGGGGCAAATGCAGGCTTTCGCTGAAGCCTGGAGAGCGAGAGGCATCGGTGCGCACCGACACCTCTCGCTCTCCAGGCTCCAGGAAGCTATCCGCAAGCCTTGCGCACCCGGGGGGAGTTCCCCCGGGCGCGCAAGGCTTGCAGACGGCAGACGGCAGCGCAGAGCACGGGGTGCCCTCCGGAGGATGCCCCGTGCTTCGCGCAGGTGTCCGCAAGCCTTGCGCACCCGGGGGAGCTCCCTCCGGGCGTGCAAGGCTTGCGGGCGGCAGCCTGCAGCGCGGAGCATGGGGCGCCCTTCAGAGGACGCCCCGTGCTTCGCGCAGGTGTCGGCAAGCCTTGCGCACCGGGGGGAACTCCCCCCAGGAGCGCAAGGCTTGCGGGTGGCAGCCTGCAGCGCGGAGCACGGGGCGCCCTCCGCCCCAAAAAAGTAGGTGCGTCCTATGGGACGAAAAATACGGTATATATTTTTTTCCCTCCCTCAAAATACACTCAGGATCATCCAGGCAATTTAGGATATACAAAAGAAAGTACAGTTCACACAGCCTAGCTTGTGCAATTTGCTTCTACCAGGCAGGACAATGGCAACTGGTTCAAGATGGCTTTAAAAGAGGATCAGACAAACTCAGGGAGAGGTTCTCTGCAGTTATTGGTCATTGTAGCTTAATGGAACCTCACGGTTCAGAGGCAGCATGCCACGGACTACCAGCAGAAAAGGATAGGAAGGGCCATTGCACCCATGCGTTGCCTCTGGGCTCCACAGAGGTATCTCTTTGGCCACTGTGGCAATCAGGATAATGGGGTAGAGGGGTATCTCAGCTGCTGCACAACCTCCAAGGCCAGGCAATTCATAGAAGAACACTCTATTTCCCCCCGTGTTGCCTCTCCCTGAAAGCTCCACAGTTCTCTGCTGAATTGGGCTGGAATTAAGAGCCTTGCTGGATCAGACCAAAGGTCCATTAAATCTATTCCGAACCATCTTGATTTATTTATCAAACATCTAAAATTAGTCACCGCGCAAAACAATTGAGAAAAATTCTCGGTGCACACAGGCTCACGATCTATATTTTGAAAAACCAAAAAAGAGAGAAAAAGATCAACCCATGTGGTTCCTATCATGTGGCAATATATGCCAAAAAAAGAAAGGAAAGGAAACAAAAGGGAAGTGTACGAATTCTTTCAGAAACAGTCAGCCATCTCAAGTCCTGACATTTCTAAGGGAGACAATTTTTCTCAGTGTGCCTGTTAGGTGGTTCCCCATTAACTCCCCACAAACAGACCGGGTACTCATCAGCATTAGCACAAGCACTCTGTGTGCAGAAGTCACTTCAGCGGGATGGATGAGTGCCAAGGGAACGCAGCTTTGAAATTATCCTTGGCTGCTGCTTGTAACCACGCTCTGTCTGGAGGCCGTTAAAGAGGCCAGACGCTAAAAGCTGCACCTCAAAAGAAATCTCTCTTTGAGGGTTGATAGGCCAGCCTTTCCCAACACACCCCGTCCTTCTACAGACACATACATAACCAAGGCCAAAAGTAAGTCTATTGAAAAATAAAGAAGAAGAAGAAAACAACCCCAAAACATGAAATTCCCACAGCACAAGGATTCAAAAGAAAATATGAGGGTTGGCAATAATCCCGTGGAATCCCCAAAAATGAAAACATAGCAGCAGTGGTTACAGAAGTAGTGATTACGTTCTCTGTGCTCCCCAGCCTTAGAAGACCTGGGTATTATCAGATCTGAGGTGGGAAACTCAGCCAGTTTGCAAAGCCATGAACTGGAGGGCACTTGCTCCAGCCAAGGGACAAAGTGTAGTGAGAAAATTATTTGTGAGAAAGACAAAACCCAAGGAAGATTCTGTCTACTATCAGAAGAGTAAAAGGCAAGGTAACATATTCATCCAGACAAACTTCTGGTAGTCTGTTGGGGGGGGGGGGAGCAGGTTTGCAAGTTACAAAAGTTCATCAGGAAAGAACATAGAGGTACAGATTGGAGACAAATAAATGCTTTCTTGTAACTGTTTCTGTTCTGTTCTGACAGAAAATACTGTGACTATCAGGGTGTTGTAGGTGATCCAAGAATATCAGCGGCAAACATATTACCAATTCCTAGCTAGTGTTAGAAACAGAGATACAAAAACTAGGAGCCAAATGCACTTTAAACCTAGGTTATGGTTGCCAGAACCAGTGTTAGAAACTCAGATATATAAGCTAGGTGCCAAATACCTCCTTAAACCAATGTTACAGTTGCCATTTTTGGGCAAGATGGCTCTAATGTTTGAAAAATAAGACTTTAGAGCCATCTTGCCCAAAAATGGCAACTAAACTTTCCGTTTTGGTGACTGTAACCTTGGTTTAAGGAACCATTTGGCACTTAGCTAATATATCTTAGTTCCCAATACTGTGTACAACAGCCAGGCATGTGAGATTTTCTTAAATCCCTGAACATGTCTCCAGTCCAACTTGCAGCCCTTTGTCTTACCCCAGCCATGCTGCTGTAGCACTTGACTGCATCCTTGAATACTGTTGGCTTGTAGAGTACACCTACACAATTGTGAAATGATATCTTATCAGGGCACCCCTACAACTCCCAATTGTGAACAAGTACCCTGTCAGCGCAGCCCCACAAAAGTTATATTCCCAAAGATATAGAACTAACTGCACCAGTGTAAACAGACGTGTGACCAAGGCAAAGCTATAAATCAATTGCAAATAAGCATTTTACATTAATGTGAAGTCCTTCCTTGAGGGAGGGAGGCTAACTGCATATCCATTAATTCCTCTAATTTAGACACCTGCCCTCAAGAACTTCCTTAAAATCAGAAAACTAGACAAGCTTCTTTCACATCATTATTGAATCGCATATCTAAACCTGTTACAATTCACCACCAGTAGGGATACCCAGACTATAGACAGCATGCATGAATCACCACTTTCTTGCCCATATGCTATCTTCTTCCCCTTACAGGAAGCATGGCAGGAACTAAAAATGAAAGTCACCATTATGGTGCAACAAATGGGTTGGGAACCTCTTCCTGCTGGTGGGCCAAATCTGATAGGTGAGCCAGGGTGACTACAGCACTACACTTCAAAATCCAGAGTGTTAGTTCAAACTGCAGTCCATTTGCAAGGAGCACCACACATCCATTTTAGCAGTGGATTCATTGGAAGCTGCTTCCTTTTTCCTGGAGGAAGGCATGCTTCCACTGGCCATCAACAGTGAAAATGTCCCTTGCTGCAGCAAAGGAACCAGGAGCTCGTTTTAAGCTCTGGGGGGTGGGGAGTGAAACAAAATATAAGCCAAAAGAATGATGGGATTCTAGAGCAGGGTTGCCCAACTTTTCATAACAAGTGGGCTGCAAGGGTACTTCGAAACAGAACCCACGGGCCACACACTGCCTTGTGCGCATGGCCTCGCTTACCTGACTTTGTGAAGGCAGTGCAAGGGCTGAGGGGGGCGTCAAATGTTGCTGAGGGACACCAAAAAAGGCCTCAAGGGCTGCACACTGGACCACCCTATTCTAGAGCAACATTTCCTTGAATTTAGCAAAATCAAGTTGTCTTCCTAAAAGAGGGGTTGTTAACCCTTTAGGGCCAATAAGCACATTTGAAAACAGAAAGTCTCTCTTTCTCTCTCTCTCTTCCCCATCTGTAACCGCCAACCTATCATCTCCATGCCACAATTAGGCATAAAAAAACTTTTACTACCTTCTTTCAAGCATAAATTCAGCAGGGGGAGGAGTAGAATAAATACTCCACAGATGCAAGGCAAGGTCTCTGTAGGCACTGGTGACCCATGTCCTAATATTACCCAATATTTGGTGCGCAAACACCCAGAAATCTAACTGGACGCACTAGCTTGCCCACTGCCCTGTGCTGCTCCTTTGTCACTTGGCTAGCTTTTCTACATCTCTCAACTGCTTTCCCCCAATACCTATCCATCCCATATTTTCACAGCACTTGATCTTAGGCAAGTGAACCCAAAGTGGACACAGAGTATGATGCTACTCTATGTATCTCAGAAGGATTATGATCCACACTTCTACCCATCTTTAGGCCTAGTGCCAACAACATGTGCAACACTTTGCATTGCCGCTCCCCTTGCTGAGGTCTTGCACAACTTGCCTTCAAGACAAACTAGTTTGGCTGTAGCCTGTGTCTGCATAGTCAACAACCTATTAAAATGAGAAGGGAGAAGACAGAAAGGCCCACAGTGAATTCCAGAATGACACTAATGTGGATTTGTCTCAAAGTTATTAAATTAGCAGAAGTTCAACCCAGAGACACCATAATAAAGGAATGGATGGAACGAGAGCAGCTGACCCCCTAGATTCCATGCTGTGCACTACATAAGCACAAAACACCAAGACCAAAAGGAAGGAAGGAAGTCTCCAGGCAGTGCTTCTATAGACACAAGCTAACATGACGCAATCCAATATCCTTTGTCCAATAAATTTAAATTGGTTTTAGTTGTAAGCAAGGTGCTAACTTTCCAGGTTCTGATCTTAGTCTAGACATAAAACTGACCATCACTTAGCCAAAAATACTTTTGCTGCAAAGAGAAACTGAGACTTCAAAATGTCATATTTTAATCTACTGTCAGACTCTAGGAAAAAGCTAGGAAAAGGTCTACTTACTTAAATACAGTAAGTCCTTTGGAGGTTCTGGATGACCAAAAACACTCTACAGCTACAAATAAAATCGCAGTGTTTCTAAAACATTTGCTGGGCAGATGAAAAACTCAAGAGACCAAGAAGATCTGCCACCACACCTGTAGATTCCAACAACACTGATCTGTCCCCAACCAAACACAAACCCATACAGTCACTGCTGTACCAGTATTGTTTCAGCACAACATCTAGAGCCCGTTTCAGGCTGCCACATATAAATAGGATCTTCAACTTGCCCCCCCCCCCAGCAACACGCATGAGCCATACCTGAGGAAGGGCCATATGCATTGGGGGAAGAGGGAATGGCCCACTGATCTCCTTGCATAGAGGAGGGAAATACTGTATACAGCTTCAGATGTCATGGTGTCAATTAAGCAATTGAATTTAGATACAAGCTTCAGCATGAACGGAACCCCCACCTCCCACGAGAGTCCAGGCACAGAGTATTTACAAAATTGCGAAAGGTTTCCAACCCACCCTGCATTTTCACAGCCTCTCTGTCATTACCAAGGAAACAGAAGTTTTGATGCCATACCACCCCTGTCTCCTGCACACAGGAAACGTGGGCCTCTTCATATCTCAATGCTATTAGAACTGAGACCTAACAAGAGACTACAGAGACCTAGCAGCAAAGTTCACCCGCGCCCCCTAACATCAGATCAAGGTATTCTGGTTTTAAAAGGAAAAACACTAAAACACAGCCCTCTCTCTCACACACAAACATACTTAAGCAGCCCACCACTGGCCCCCCAGCCTCAAAGCCAAGTTCATTTCCGACTTAAAGCAAACCCACATTCCTCCAGGAGAGGGGGGGAGCTTATCCTGGGATCCGAGTTTACTTTTGTTTCAAAGCCAACCTCCCCCCCGGTTTCCAAAGAAAGCCGACTTCCTGCAGAGTAGGGACCCTTCCCCACCAGAGTTTCTCAGGACGCAGAATCGAGGCTGGGTTCAAGAGGGTCTGAATTCTTTGGAGAGGGAGGGGAGGGTGTAAGGGGGGAGTGGGGAAGTGAAGAAACAAAGGCGAAGAAAAGAAACTCCTCTCATCCCTCCCCCCCCCCCAAAAAGTCCCAATGAAAAAACGACTTGCCTTCCCTCCTCAGCCCTGCACACCTCTTTTCTTTTGGAAAACCCTACCCACCGACCCACAAGCGGGAAACTCGGCTGCTATGCAAGAACCACCCCCGGGGCCAGGGGAGCCCCTCAGGCTGCCGAGAGGGGGAAGCCCCCCAGCCCAACCCCCGGTGGGCACAACGGGACTGGCTTCCGAGGAAACCTGCCCAGGCTTGTCTGCCAGTCAGTCGGTCACTCACCGTTCCTGGTCGGTCTGTTGGGCTGCCTGGCGACCTGCCTCCAGCCCCCGGGGTTGGGGTCGGGCTTCTGCTCTGGGCTGTGCAGGGTCGCCCGCCTCACGCGCCGAGGGGGAGAGACAGAGAGAGAAACACAGAGAGAGAGAGAAGTGGGTTGTTAGGGGGCGGGGAGGGAAGCGGGAGAGAAAGCGGGCGCGCGCGCGCGCGCGTCACGCAGCGGCGCTCCGAATTCCCCCAATTGAAAGCCGGGCCAATCGCGCGCCGGCTGGGAGGGAGGGCGAAAGACAGACACGCGCATTCGCGTTCCTCTCTTTTCCCCTCAGCATATACACAAAAGGAATGGGCAGGCGGCGCGCGCGACGCCAGCCAACCGGAGCCGGGGAGCTCGCAACGTCGCCGGGCGCTGATTGGCGGAGGGGTGAGGGGAGGGGAGGAAAGAGAACGGGGAGAAGAACAGAAGCCGAGGGGAGAAGAACATAATGAAGAGGGGAGGGGAGGGGGAGAGAAGGGAGCCTGCGAGTTCCATCCGCCCCCAACGCTCGTCAGTGTCCCTCGGAGCGCAGCCTTGGGAAGTGAATGAGCGCGGCCGCCTCGGGCAGGGGGATTACTCGGAGTTAAAAGAACTAGGCTCTCCGGTGCGAACCTGTTGCGCTCTTGGCCTCTGTCTGGACGCGACCAGGGCTGCGCTGAGAGAGAGGGAGGCAAGTCCAACCCCTTGGCAGCGGGAGATGAATCTTGCTTGTCCGCCTAATAGAAATATTTATATGCCGCTGCTGCCGCGGAGAGATTTATAGCCCTTGGGGGCCCTCAGATAATTTAAGGGGGGGCAACTGGATGTACATTTCCAAAATATAAGATAAAAAACACACAAAATAAAACCCACATACAGCAACAGTGGCAAATGGCTTTAGATACCTATTAGGTCCATAAATTACCATATAGCATATATTCAACACAAAAACAACGGCCATTTGTTGTTGATAAAGGACAGCTGGACATATAAAGGGCCTCATTACCTTCAGTAGCTTAGGTCCTAATCAAGCCTAAATCTGTCCCTGAGCCAGATACTGTAGTAAAATCGCAAGGAGTTAAAAAGCAGGTTAAAAGCAAATTGAGGTGAAAAACAATACACAAACAAAAGCGAAAGTTTCTCCCGGGAGTTTTAGTGGCCCCATCCTGTACTGTAACGTTTAGCAGTTGCTTTGTAGAAAATGGAAAGTCTTAAATTTTATATTGCTTCACAGAACATGAAGAGGAGCCCCATATGCAGATGGACTGAAGGAGGGCTATACATTGCAAGTGGACACACACAAATGTGAATTGTACTGACCTCAAAATCTTTAAGCTACTATATGTGTATTCACATTTCGGTTGTTTTTTTAGCTGGGGAAGGGATGATACTGACACAAGTTCCAGTGAGGATAGCTGTTGCTTAGAGCCTGGTACAGTACTGATAATGCCAAGGTTACAGGTTTGATCCCTATAAGGGGCCACCTGCATATTCCTGCATTGCAGGCGTTTGGACTAGATGACCCCCACGGTACCTTCCAACTTTAGAATTCTATTATTTTGTCCCTCGGTTCCTCAGAGTCTTAAAAATACCGTGAGGGAAACTGTCTCCCTGCATGGTGAGTAAAGGCTGCTGAGAGTCAGAGAAGGGCTGGAGAGGAGGTGCCAACAACATATTTAGGGGAAATATATAAAATATTAATATTTTTAAAGCAAGAAATTGGGAATATAAAGAAATGGCATAATAGTAGGAGGGAAATGAAAAAGGAGGGATGAAAGAAATTGGCAGTATGTGGGAGGGAGGGAGAAGATGGGAAAGGGGGAGATGAAATTACAAAAATTAATACAGTATGAGAGGCAGGGAGCAAATTCTTGCTAAAATGTGGAGCTGGGGCACAATACTTCCAGAGCTAATAGCTGTATAGGAAACTACCCTATCAAGCCATTTGCCACAAGGAAATTGCTGTGGCAATGTTTTTAGCAATTTGCAAAGTGGGGTTAGATATCATTAGAAGATTATTTTGGTATCTGCCAGTTGCACCAAGATTGCACTATCTTCCAACATTTGGTGATTGGCTCCAACCCACACCATTTTCTTTGTGACTGGTGAACCTTGGTAGTTTGCAAGCCCCTCAAGCAGTGCACACACACACACACACACACACACACACACACGATAGAAACTTTGAGAACCTTTGGTCTACAGGAAAAGGAAGGAAGTGTATGTTTTGTTTAGACAACCTTTCAGTGACAGCCTGGGAACGGAATGTAGATATATGTTCCTGTGTGTCCTTTTGACTGTGCGGTGATGGTAGGAAGTTGCTATAGGATTAGTCAGTGAGCAAACAGGTAGAACTGGCTGATTCAAATATATGGAATTGTGTAACTGTGTCAAGCAGCACCTTCTACATGCAAACTTTATCAGGAGTAGTGGTGGTGGAAAATTCAATTCAGTCTGCATGTAAAGGTGAACCTGCCTAATTCTCACTTTCCAAAATAAGACGCAAACCAAAACACTGTTAGCTTTCGAAATTCACACTTCTCTAGGCAAGTAATGTAATGTGCACAAAGGTGCATTGTATTAGGAGAAATTGCTTTGCAAAAATGTGTATATTAGGCAAAATTGCATATTAACATTTTCAAAAATGTTCTCAAAGGCATAGCTTTTACTGTATCCTAAAATTCAGTAGGCAAGTCTTCCTCTAACTTAGGGGGGAAACGTTGAGAAAACACTGCTACTTAGTTTCTTACTGATCCCATGAAGCAATCCTCTGTATCTTATTTTATGTTGTGAACTGCCCTGAGATGTATGGATGAAGGATGGTATACAAATGTAATATAATAATAATAATACTAAAAATTGGAAAAATCATCATTAAAATGCTGATGAATTTTCATAAGGACTATTTTTCAAAAGTCACAAAGTGATGTGAAATTAAAACTGAATTAAGAGTGGGAAAATGAGCAACAAACAAAAACTGACATCTTCACTCATTCCTACTTGAGAGTAAGCCCCACAGGAATAATAAAATATTCCAAATAAAATGTGCACTGGACTGGGCTGGATGCCCTTGACAGCCATGTAACTTTACACTAATTTGGTTGTTAAAGTACATAACCTCTGTAGGTGCACCCAGTTACGGAACTCCCTTCCCCCCGATGGATGGATAAAACGCTGATGGAATTTTGCCACAGGGTGAAGACGTTCTTGTTTTCCCAAGCTCTTGGAGGTCAACATATCTAGGTTATTTTCAGTCTTTGTCTCCCTTGATAATCTTGTGTTTATTATAATGGTATTGTGACTGATGTTTCAGTTGTATTTTACGATTCTGTCATAGAGTTTTGATTGATATGTGTAAAGTGCTTCGGGGTGACTTCTGACAGTAAGCAGTACTGTATACAAAAGCTTTAAATGTAAAAAAACCCCAACCTTTAATGCAGGGGTGTGGGACCTGTTCCCTTCCAGATGTTGTTGGACTACATTCCTGACTATTGGCTGTGCTGTGGATGATGGGTGGGGTAGTCCAACATCTGTTATTATTTATTTGTTAAGCCAAAACCATTACAAAAGATAAAACACATAACACAGAATAAAAACAGAATTAAAAAAGTTGCAGGGTCAAAATTCAAACTAGACATTTTTTAAGATAAAAGTTTGCTCCCCTTAAGAATTTAACTTAACATCCCCACAAACATTTCTCCTTAAAATTGTCACTCTAAAGGCAAAACAGGCCCTTTTTTCAGAGGTGTAAAGGTAAAGGGAGGGGCGCGGTTGGCAGTGTGGGTTAAACCACAGAGCCTAGGACTTGCTGATCAGAAGGTCGGCAGTTCGAATCCCTGCGACGGGGTGAGCTCCCGTTGCTCGGTCCCTGCTCCTGCCAACCTAGCAGTTTGAAAGCACGCCAAAGTGCAAGTAGATAAATAGGTATTGCTCCGGCAGGAAGGTAAATGGCGTTTCCGTGCGCTGCTCTGGTTCGCCAGAAGCGGCTTAGTCATGTTGGCCACATGACCCAGAAGCTGTACACCAGCTCCCTCGGCCAATAAAGTGAGATGAGCACCGCAACCCCAGAGTTGGCCACGACTGGACCTACCGGTAATGGTCAGGGGTCCCTTTACCTAAGATTGGGCAAACCAGGAAGTAGTCTCTCTTCATAGGGGATCCAGCGATAGCATTCTTCAACTATGGCAGAGCACATAATAAACTGGAGCCGCAGAGCTGTAAGGGTTTCTCTTCATTTGATATTTGTGATGCTGGTTACATAGTGAGGGCGAGGAATCTGAATCAGTAGTTTGGCATACAAAGGGGCACATTTGGACAGACAACTAGAAGTGCAACCAGCACAAAGATGTTTTAAAACATGAGATTACATGTGGTGAGATGCCATCTACAAGTCTAATGAACCCAGAATGTCCAAAGAAAGGCCATACTTATCAATGACTTGATTCCAAAATGAAGTCAGACTCAGCATCTCTTTGAAAGCTGAAAGTACTAAAATTGACCTTATCCTCCTTTTTAATGTTAGCCAATGCTTAAGGGCAAGGATATGCATTTAGGCCATCACTAAACAAAGAGCAGCTTCTAGAGAATGGAAGTGTCAGTTGCCTTGGGGAGCTCAAAAATAGCACAAAGGTATTTATTCTGGGGAAACACAGGCTTCCCACCCCTATTTTTGTGGTTATGGTTAAGGTTTATCAGCAGAGTGAAGGCTGTGCCACCTATTTCCCAGTCAAAATGATCAGGTATACAAGAAGAACCTACAGTATTTATCAGGGTGTAATTGAATACTACAACTACATGATCTTAGCCACAGGTACATTACTACTGCTGTGGTGGTTTCAGTGGGGGTTATATTGTTGGGGGATGGGCAAGACGGCCTCCTGGAGTACCTTACAACTTAGAGATGGTGTGACTCATGGCCAGAGCCTTGGACTTGGAAATAACCGTCAAAGTTGTCCACTCCTTTGTTAAAAACGGGTGAGGAGACTGTACCCCTTCAGATGTTTTGTGGGGGTTCAACTCTTATCATCCCTGCCCATTAAGCCATGCTAGCTGGGGCTGATGGGAACTGGAGACCAACAAACCACTAGTTTTCCCACCCCAGTTAAGGAAATTAGCCAACTCTAACAATGTCCAGTGACTGTTCTGTGAGGGAGCAGTTTTTTTCCTGTCTACTCCTAAGGAATGTGGTAATCAGTGTCTGTAGATTACTGTGGGTCAGCCTGAGAGCAAGGCAGAGCTTATTTGTTTTTGTTTAGTTCTGGTGGTGCTCCCCCAAAAATCTGATGGGGAGGGAGAAGTAAACTTTTGGGACATGCTAAACTGTGAGCTTCACCTAAGCATAAGCATGCATATTTGTAAACAAATACAAAATTACTCCTAAGCTTCCTGTGACCTCATTGGAAAAAACAAATGCAGAGTAAGCATTTTTCACCACTTGGATAATTAGTTTGTGTATAACGTTGGTACATTGTAATGTAACGCCATCCTTTCTGGGCAAAATGCCCATTCAATGCAGTTTACAATACCTTAAATTATAATAACAAGCTAACAAAACAAGAGGAAGTAAAAGCAATAAAAAGGAAGCAGGAAAGAGCAATGCAAGTATGTGTATGAATACATAAGCTATATACACATTTATTCATCCATAGTTGCATATCCATCCCAATCTCTTAAGTGGTGTGAGATTCCAGGGGTTTACCCAGGGTTCATGTTTCCTTTGGAAATGGAACACAGCAGAGACTGTGGTGTCTTTATGGTTTATTTACAAATATATTCAACCTGAGCCTACATTGGAGGGGTTCACAGCATTAACACCCCAATAGGGTCTTGCTTTTGCCATAGCCACAGCCACAGCCTGGGACTCAAGGCAGAAGATTCTAGGTGGGATCCCCAGCTTAGAATCAAGAGGAATGTGGACCCCGAGAGTAATTTAGTCCAACCCCTGCAATGCAGCAGTTCATTTAAGCTGGGAATGTTAAAAAAAAAAGTTTGATATTTTATTATGTTTGATATATATTGTAAACTGCCCAGAGTGGCTAGGGAAATCCAGCCAGTTGGGTGGGTTATAAATAATAAAATTATCATCAACTTATGAAACCCTGGAGAACAATTGCCCTTCAGCACAGGATCAGTGGTCAGAGATGATGGAAGTTCAAGTCCCAACAACAGCTGAGGACTTAAGTCTGAGAAACAAGGGAGAAAATATTAAGCTAGACAGACAAATGGTCTGATTCAGTAAGTGTCAGTGTAGATTATAACAAATTTGATAGACCAATCCAATGTTCTTGCAAAGTATAAGGCAGTATGCCATGTTCCCAAGTCCACTGAGCTTCACTATATGACCCCAGGGTCTGTTATTAAGAGGGAGAAAAACATATACTGATGTGCAAAGCATATGCTATACCCCTGATACATAGCCTGTTTGGAAACATCTAATGCACCCTGGATATAGCTCCTTAACATACAGAACTACCCTCTTAAACTTGTAACCAGCTCCGATGCTGGTTTACTCAGAACCAAGTCATATAGTGTTTTGTAGGCTGAACACTAAAGTGTGTCTTGGGCTGCAGTGGTTCAGTGCGGGCTTATCATCATAGGGAAAATATTCTAATTCATGGCTATTTATACACAACACTTTTGAAGCAAATTCAAAGCACCTTCTTTTTATCAAATAATTCTGGGTACTGTAGTTTGTGAAGGGTTGCTGGGAGTCGTTACTCTCTCGTGGATAAACTGCAGTACTCAGAATTATTGAGGGAAACAAAGTGCTCCAAATGTGCTTCAGAGTTGAAGTGTGTACACAGCCAATGTAACTCCCTATGTCCCAATACAGAGGCAGGTGTGGCAGCTTCTCTAGTCAATAAAAGTCTGGACACGTTTATTTGTTTTAAAACCACAGGTTTTATTCATTTACATTAGAGATGAGATTATTTGCACATTAAAACCCACTTCCTTTATTGATTCACTGCCCTGGCTTCAGCATTCGGAAAGTTAATATTTAAAAGGATCAGCATTTGAAGAAGTAGCTCAATAGCAGAGCATGTGCCTTGCATGTCCAAGGTCCTGGGTTTGATCCCTGGCAAATCTCAATATGCCAACGTGAAGGAAACTCAAATATAATAAATATATCTGTTCTGCAACATCTATTCTTTAAATGCCACTAGGACAGGGTGTGACAACTTGCTCAAACGAAGGTTACAAGTAAAAGGATTATTGGATCAACAATAATTAAGGCTGCAATTAAACTCTGTTTAATAGGCAGGAAACAGTGAGATGTCTGAGTAAACATGTTTATCTTTGGGGTGTAAAAAGTGGCAAGCTTCCACACCTTACAATGTTCTTCTGCAAGCAAAAGTGTAAATAAGAAATGCATGTGCCACGTTGCATTAACCTGTTCTCTCTTGGCTCTAAATTCAAATGGGTGGGGATTGGTTGTCCTATCTCAGTGATGAGACGACAAATGCTCATGGCCATTCCTTTAAAAAATATATTATCTCGATTGGCACTCTACAAGTGCAATACTAACACTGAGGAGGAGGAAACTGACAGCCGGGGCTACTCCCTCAACTGGCTCTAATTAAGAAGGTGGGTGGTGGAGATAGCAATCCATCACTTCCCCAGCTGTCTCCATCCTCCTGTGCTGGGGCTGTTAACATGGTGGCTGATGGACATGTGTATTGGGGGACCCTTTGTGAAATTGCCGCCTACGTGGTCTCAAAAATACACTGGCCCAAAAAGATCATTTAGCCTGTCCTGTGTGTGATCTGGACCCTTCCAGACAGGGGCGTAGCTGGGGTGGGGCATGTAATGTAATATGGACATTTTTCGTAAGACTTAGATTGGGACACACAAACAAGGGTCACTTATCCAAAAGGTTTATCTTGGAGATTTAACCTGTCAGGAGGAGTGGCTTCCTGGTGAGTTATGCTACCTTGCCTGCAGATCCTATTGTTCTATCTGGTATGCCTCTGCATTTCTATAGAATTTATGGCTGGTGCACAAGCTTGTTTCCATAGCTCCATGAAGGAACTTTTAGATGCAAATAATCTGCATTTGGCAACCTAGCTTCCTGGTGAGTCAATCAAGGAACCTTCCAGATACTCATGACCTCATTGGTAAGAAAGGAAAACATAGAGAAATCAAACTACAAGACTGTGCATATGGTCAAGGTGGGAAGGTCATTACCCACAGTCCTTTGCTTGAGCCAAAGCCATCTTTGGTTCACTGCTGAACATGAAATGGAGGCTAACAGGGAAAGCCTCATAACAGGGCCCTGATGCCAGCAAAGCTTACTTATCTCAGCTTGTTCTTTTCTTCCAAAGTGTCACAGACAGTGCAGATGGGAAAGGCCATCGGCTGGCTGACCAAGTAGAGACATCCAGCCCAGGCCACATGCTCCTACAGCTTTCGTGCATTGCAGATACCAATTGGGATCACAATCTCCATTTGGAAGGTTTATCAAAAGAGGAAAGTCTTCAACAAGTGCCTAAAAGTCGATAGAGATGGCATTTATCTAATATATAATTGGAGGGCATTCCAAAGTGTAGGTCTCACCACACTCAAGGTCTGATTCTGACAATTCTATGATACATTTTTCTTAATAAAGGAGATGCATGTTGCTGGGGGAATGCTGACTTTTTACTAGCAAATAATAAAATATTGCTGTATGAGTACTAGGACAATTCATTTCTCTGCAACAAATGTACTGTTAGTGGTCGAGGGGTGTTTAGATCCTATGTAACAATTGTACATTTATTACACAATAAAATGGTTATCTAGAAAAGCCCAGCCTCTTATTCATTCCCCGTTTCTCACATTTCTGCTAGTGCATTGATTAGTGGAGTGCTCTTTGCACTCTAGTTTCTACCTGTTCTGGGCCTTGATTCCCTTTTCCGGGCATTATTGCGTATCAAAGCCTTTCCATGGCCCTGTTTGCATCTGCAGCTTCCAGTGGTTGCAGGAAATTAGGTTCCAGCTGGAGGCAAAAGATGAAGAATGAATAACAGGAAACAGGTTTTGGACCTGTGGGCTTCCTGTTCTACTACGTCATAATGCATTAATGAGGGCTGTGAAAGGCATGACCATAGTTGGGCAAGTCAGTCCTTTAAATGCAAAGTGGAGCCTTGGATTACAACAGATCCACCCAATTCCAGCCACATGAAAGTCCATCACTCAGCTTCACTTAGGGGCATAAAGGCCATATAATGGTCAATTGAAGGTGTGAAGTCTCCTAACATCTCAGCTTTATACTGTAGATCATGTTGCAGAAGTGGCTATAGGGTGAGGCTGCCCCCTAGTGACAGAATCACCATCCTTATTTCACATATACACTCACTGAGCCTGAACTGGCAGGAAATGACCAGGAATGAGACCTTGGAGTTCCAGTGGATAGCTCAATGAAGGTGTTGACCCAGGATGTGGCAGCTGTGAAAAAATGCAAATTCCCATCTAGAGATCACTAGGAAAGCAACTGAAGCTGAATTTTGGAAGATTTAGGATTGGGGGTGAGCGGAGTACTTATTCACACAGTGCATAGTTCAACTATGAAACTCACTCCTATAGGAAGCACTGATGGCCACTTTGGATGGCTTTAAGATAGGAAACATCACGGAGGCTGTATTAGAGTGAGTGGGTGGGGCTGCAATTAACAATGGGCAGGCCCCAATCCAAAAGACAGTGGGGCCAGAGCTAACAGTGGGCTAGCCATATACTTCTTATCCCTTTTTTCTTTCTCCCCATCTCTTCCACACATTTTTTTCCTCAGGGAGCACAAACATAGAATTGTAGAGTTGGAAGGAATCCTGAGGATTATCATCTAGTCCAACCCCCCTGCAATGCAGGAAAATGCAGCTGCCCCAAAGGGGGATTGAACCTGCCACCTTGGCATTATCAGCACCATGCTCTAACCAACTGAGCTAACCAGGTTGACAGCTTAGATCAGGGAAACACCTGCCTCCATTATCAGCCTTGTGTCATACATTAAGAGCTCTGAGGAGCCTCCTCTGGAAGTCCCCACCAGATTAAATGTAACAGAACAAGAGGGCCTTATTGGTGGTAGTGCCCCAGCTGTGGAGTTCTTGCTCACTTTGCTATCTTTTGCTACATCTGCACCATACATTTAAAGCAGCATTTTACCACTTTAAGCAGAAATGACTTTCCACAAAATATCCTGGGAACCATAGATTGTTAAGGGTGCTGAGAATTCTTACGAGATCACTGTTCCCCACACTGAGTGGTATAATGGTGCTTAAAATTTATGGTGCGGATGTGGCCTTTTTGACATCAAGCAAAATGCCTATTATTTTTTGCAAACCCTTTAACAGTTTCACTCCCTTGGAAGTTTTTATGCTGCATATATTGTGGAGTTTTAATATTGTTGTGTTTTCCTCATCAATCATGATTAAATATTTAAGTTACTTATTTATTTACCTCCCTTTATCCAAGATCTCAGGGTGGTTGACAGCATAAAAATACAAAATAAAAATAAAAATAAGAACAAGACAAACCCATGACCCCACCTCCCACAAAAACATTTAAGAGGACATAGAATGTTAATCAGCTGAAGGCCTGATTGAATAGGAACATTTTCACCTGACACTTAAAGATGTATAACGAAGGTGCTAGGCGATCCTCCCTGGGGAGAGCATTCCACAAATGGGGAGTTACTGCAATAGAGGCCTGTTCTCCCGTTGCCATCCTCCTGACCTCTCATTGAGGAGGCACACAAAGGGCCTCCAATGAGGATTACAGGTTCTGGGTTGGGTCACATGGGGATACATAGTCTTTGAGGTATTGCAGTCATGAACAGTTTAAGACTTTATAGGACAAGACCAGCACTTTGAACTGGGCCAGGAAACCATTTGGAAGCCAGTGCAGTTAGGCCAGGATCAGTGTAATATGTTCAAACTGTCATGCCCTGGTGAGCAACCTAGAAGAGGAATTATACACTAGCTGAATTTTCTGAACCATCATCAGAAGCTGCTACATGTATAATGCATTGCTAGAAGTTACCACAGCATAGATGATAGAAGCTGGGCTATCCCTGTCCAGTTAGGGGCACAGTTCGGCCACCAGCTGAAACTGATGGAAGGCATTTCGCGCAACTGAGGTGACCTAAGCCTCAAGCAACAGCAAAGCATCTAGAAGTACCCCCAAGTGATGTACCTGCTCCTTCAGAGGGAGTGTAACCCCATAAGAGCAGGTCACCTCCCATCCATCTGGTCTAGGAAACCACCCACTAACAGTGCCTCAGTCTTCTCTTGATTGAGCTTCCGTTGTTGGCTCCCATCCAGTCTTTTACTGGGGAAAGACAATGGTCCAGCACATCCACTGCTGCACCTGCAAGTATAAAGAAGAAGCAGAGCTATGTGTCATCAGTATATTGCTAACAGCGTGCTCCAAAATTCCAGATAATCCCACTCAGCTGTTTCATGTTGGTGTTAAATAGCATAGGGGATTAAATAAAACCCTGAGGAACCCCACATTGAAGGGCCAAAGAGCCGGCCCCAACCATCACCCTTTGGAAACGATCATCCAAGTAGGACCTGAACCAATGCAAAGCGGTGCCACCCACCTCTAACTCAGACATTTGCTCCAGAAGGATACCATGGTCGATGGTATAAAAAGCCACTGATAGGTGAAGAATTAACAAGGACAAATTTTCTCTGTCTCCCAACAGAGGTCATCAACATACAGGGCAACCAAGAGCCGTCCGAAAACACACAGGATCCATTAGCATCTGAGGACAGACCATCTTAACAGGTCCCCCTATCTCTGCATAGGAGGAAAGGTGCTGAAAGCCTAAATTTCAACAGGAAGCGATTGGACCATGATAAGGAGCTAGTGTCAACATTCCAAACTTTCAGATCAATTTCTTCCTGTGCAGTTGAGAAAACAAGATCCAAAGTGTGGCCTGCCACATGTGTTGAGCCAGCAATATGCTATGACAGCCCTATGGTCGTCACGGCAATCTTGGAGTTTTGAGCCACCCCAGACACATGACATGTGAACCACCTCAACATTCTGTCTAAATTATTTTCTAAATTTCACTAAGAACTCATGGCCTAAACCAGGACTGTGAAAACTTCCGTTCATAGGCCTAATTAAATATGCTCTATATATAATAATATCTGCGGCATCACCTGATACCCATGACATGATATAAAGTCGTTCTCAGGTCAAACGGGGATCTGTAGGCACTTTGAGGACCCAACCACCAGCTGATCAGTCTGTGCTTGCACTATGGGATTAGCTGCACTGGGAACTCCCTAGTGCAGCAGAGCGAACTGGAGGAAGTGGCTGGAATGCATGTTGCTGGAGGAAGTTCTTTGCAGAAACTTCAAAGCAGTGGTTATATGTGATGTGACATTTTCATGTTTGCATACACACTACATTCAACAACGCTTGGTTGAAACTTTCAACCCAATATGATATATAACACAGAAAAACTATGGCAATATCAGATGGAGAAAGAATAAAAAATTCATTTTCAAATAAAGTCATACCACTGAGACTATTTATTCAGAAAACAGGCCATTTCTGTTGCAGCCACCCAATTAATTGCTGGAAGCTCCTGAAGAAGGGCCAAAACACACATTTAGGCAGCCTCATCCAATATACTATGCATAATATCCCAACACAAGAAGAGATGGTGAATTTATTATTAGAAACAGAATGGAAACAAATAACTTGAAGATATCCAGTAGATGCAAAGTACATTACGCACAAAAATCTTAATTATGTAAGATTGGGGGCGAAAGAGCTATGTAAACAACTAGCGGTAAGAAGCTGGACAGGTAGCCAAAGCAGGACTAGATCACACCAGATTGTTGTAAGGATTTTAAGTAAACTGGGGGAGGGAGATGAAGAGGCGGGAGAACTGGACAACTGATAACACCCTCAACTACAGCTGTTAGAAAGCTACGGCCAAAGGGGACATAATGTGGGTGAAAACTGAGGCGAGGAAAAGAGAAAAGAGTCCGCGGAAGGAGGGAGGGGTGTCATGGATTTCGGTAAACGAAGCCCCCCCCCCCCCCCGCTTAACCGACTGCTCCTCTTCCTCCTTCAATTCCGGCGCTGCCACAAAAAGAGGCGAGAGCGCGCCGAAAACACCAGCATCCGGAAGCGGGAGCAGAGAAAGCCCGAGCGCGCTGGGCTGGGCGGAGAAGGGAGGGAGCCCCCCGAGAAGAGCGACGGCCATCGGGTCCCGAACCCGAACCTCCCGCGAAGCCAGAAGAAACGGGAAGCGGCGTCGGCGGAGCCTCCCAACAGGGACGGTCCCTCGGCCCCGCCTCCCCAGCGCCAGGCAACGGCTCACCGCCGCCGCGGCCCCTTGCGCCTCAGCCGCCTCCTCCTCCGCGGGGCCCCGGCACCCCAAACCTCCTCCAGCGGCCGAGCCTGGCCCTCCCCCCCTCCGCCGCCACCAACCGTCCCGCGCGCGCGCCCTCCTCCGCCCCCCCCCCCCAAATAACCGCCCTCGCGCCAGGCCCGCCCCGCTCACCTGCCCCAAGGCCCGGCAAAAGGCGCCCCACGAGCCCTCGCCCACCCCTGCTCGCTGAGCTCCGCCTGCAGCTGCCGGAGCCGAGAGCTGAGGCCGGCGGCCAGCCGGGGCATCTCTGGCTGCAGGGCCGCGTCAGCCTCGGCGTCCGCCATCTGCACCCGGCCCCACCGCGCGTAGGCAACGAATCACGTGACCCCGCAGCCGCTGACCACATCGGCGGGGGACGGGCCCACGTGACCCGACGGCCCCGCCCACTCCCGGCTCCTGCGCATGCTGCCGCCCTTCGGCGGGGCGGGAAGGAGGCCGCCAAAGACAGGTTCCCATTGGGCGCTCGGCCCTCTCGCGGGGCCATGACGCAAATGCATCGCGCTGCTGGAGCTGGGTTCTTCCCTCCCGCCCCATTTCCCAGCGCTGCCCAATGGGGAGGAGGGGCGGAGCTACTTCGGAGAGGCGGGGGAGGAAGGGAAGCTTCCGGTGTGGAGCTGCAGCAAGAAGGGCGAATGCGATCCGCAGATTTTACAGTACTCTGGAGAGACTTGTTTATTCGCTCGTTATAGGATTAATGTTGGTTTTCCTTCCTAGTTAGAGATATTTTTTAAAAAAAATATCTCTATTTGTCATAGAAAATTGGAAATGTTTTGCTTTTCAATTAAAAAGCAAGCTTTAAAATTTTGGTACATTACAGCATTCAGACCTTTCTACCTAGTTTTAACTATTTGGATTTTTTGTTTCATATTCTTTTCTAACCACTTCTATGTACCTTCATTATAAACATACATTAGGGGAAGGGCAGTTTAGAAATGGAGTGAATAAACAACAAATACCTTCACATCATCTTGTGTAGGCTCAGCAGAGACTCTGACCAGAGTCATTCTGAGCTTTGTGTTATTACTGCCCCTTTATATGCTAACCTAGCTGCCAACCTAGCAGGTTCTAGGAGAGTTCAGCATTTTGGGGGGAAACTGACACAAAAATTAAGAGTAGCAATGACACAGAAATTAAGAGTAGGAAGAGAGATGCCACAATTTGTACGCAGTCTTGTTGAAGCACATGATACATCAGCACCCAGTTTACAGCACACTTTGGCGTATATAAAGTATACGTTTCATTCCCTCCCTCCCCTTCCTATAAGTGCTAATTGTTGTTCATACAAAATACCTTGTACTTTGATCACCAATCCAAGCAATAGACAGGAGGGTGGGAAACGTACATCCTTTGTCCTTCTCACCTCATTTATCATGGAGTGAGTTCAAGGCATGGTGCTATTTCTGAACTTGGCAGGTAAGAGAGCTGTGGCTTACACATGTGCCGATAATGTGTGCTTATGGGCAGTGAGCTAACCATTCATATGTCATTCTGAAGGAGAGGAGAGGACAGGTTAGGATACCCTAAAACCTGTGTAGTCACCCCCCAATCAGGCCTCAAGCCTCAAGACTTTTCAAAATTACTTTCTCAGTAGCTAAAAGCATAAGCTAAGCTTTTGCTCTGCTGTAACAAAGGTAGCCGAGAAGAACAATGCGTTGTGCTTCCCAGGCTTTAGTTGACCTTGCCAGCAGCACATCCAACTTGCAACTTTCTCCGGGAACAGCACCAGTAGAACGAGAGAGAGAAACAATTCTATGCACGCTCAGGAGATTGGGAGGGAAGGGGGACTTGAAAGAATGGATAAAAAACTGCATGTAAAAATGTTTTCAGTTTGTGCTCACTTGTGAGTTTTATCACACTTGCTCCTTCTGCTACCTGGCAGGTAGAATAAATAGCTCTTTCTCTGGTTTAACCCTTCGGTGTCTGTTGACTCCTTCTTCCCTTCCCCGGACGCAATGCTCTTTCCACCCGTGAAAAAGGCCTAAAAAGGCTACAATTCATATATAGGTGAAGCATAAGGTGTTTTATTTTTGTGTTGCATTAAACACCTAATGACCCATTGCAATACAACGTTAATTTAACTCAGCAGAGCACAATGACTCCCCAAAGAATTACTTGCTTTTATTTGAATGGGTTCCCATCCTTTGCAAGGTGCTGTAAGATCTTTTTCGGCCACGTAAAATACGAGCACAACTTTCAGATGTTTCAGTGCCCTACCATAACAAAGATGATTTTGAGCAGGTGATCTGTGTGCCTGTTCAGTCTGCTGTCCAGAGATTGTGGTGGTGCAATTTCAAGACACATATTCTTGTAACCACATTTAGATACACAGCTCTTCATACAGAGCAGGATGGTGAACCTGCATGTTGCTGGATGGTATCACAGCAAGGGAAGATGGGAGTTGTGGTTTAGGGTGTCAGAGAATCCAGCGAGAAATGAAAATAGGAGAAGTTGCTGTATTTCACAGAATTGTCAGAGACCTGGAACAAAAACCATGCAAGCAAATTGGAGTCATATTTGTTATCTTTATTTTAGTCTGCAAACATCACAGAAAAAACTGCATTATTTCCTGACATTTTCCTTCCACTGAAATGTACTGAAATCGATCAGAACCTGGAGATCCAAGGAAATGCATTCTAATAGCAGCCAATACCTTGGGATCTGTCTCAGAACAGCCCTGAAAAGGTCTGTTTATGTTAGACCATGATACAGAAAGACACTGCCAGAATAATGTATTTATATGCTTACCACTTTACGATTACGCATCATGAAGTGGCACTGAGGCAATCAAAAGCTTTTGCCAGAATAAATTGGTTAAGTCTTTAAGACGTTGCGTTCCAAATATATTTATCTCAATGTGATGTACAAAGTATAATAAAAACAACTAAAAACAGTTTTAAAAAGCACAGAAATAACCAGAGATGAATTTTAAAATTCTATGTTGGACAATAAAACACTATGTTAGACTAAAATAACTATATAGCTGCTTAACCCAGATCAAAACATTTTAACGGGAGTTTAAGAGAAAGGAGTTGCCTGGCCAAACCTACTGCTTCAGCCAATGGCACCAACTGCATCTCACTGGCTAGGGGGTCCAATATTGCTTCTTAAACTGTCATTACTTTAACATCTACCTCTCCATCAAACATAGCTTCTTGTTTAACTTGCAGGATTCCCTCTGAGTTTGTAGATTCTTGCTTAACCTGCTGGATTGCCTCTGAATTTGTAGATCCTGAAGGCAAATTAAGACTCTCATGTAGGCAGGCGGGGTCTTTTTGTTCAAACACTTCCAAATCTGAAAGGCAGGTAAGACTGTCCCCAGAAACATTTTCCTCCTGCTTAATCTGTACCTTCTTAATTTGACCATTTGTAATATGCATTGACATGTGATCCGTAAACTCCGTTTCAAAATAGTAGAATTTTTTACAGCCACTAAAGTTGCATGCGTAGGAAGCATCCCTAAAATGCTGGGCTTCGTGGTGGTAGAGCTGCCCCAAGTCACTGAAAACAATGTTACAGCCACTGAGCTCACATTTATAACGCAGATCGTCGTGCTGTTGCTTGTGATGGAGCAGCTCATTCACTGATCCAAACCTAGCATAGCAGCCCACCGACACACACATGTACGGCTGAGGGCCACTGTGGACTTGTTCATGCTCCTGTAGATGGAAAGCCGAAACAAAATGCCGCCTGCAGTATGAACACCTCTCTCTCCTGTTTTTCATGTCCATGTAGTGCATTGCATTTTGATCATTTTCGTGTTCTGCTTTCAAGTGAACACTTAAGTACTTGAACTGCTTATACACCTTGGAGCAATCCGTGCCTGGGCATGGGTACAGGTCCCTGTCCTGCAAGTGGCAGTTTTCTAGCTTACTAAACGTGATGTAATCCTGCGTGTCAGTTCTGGGTTGTTCTCCAAGAGCCACAGAAGCAATTCTGGCTAGACTGCTCATCGCCAGCCTCTCTTTCTTCAACAGCAACTTCTTCTTACCACGGTATTTTCTACTAGGAGGCATTTTTACATGTTCCATCACATGCTTCACAAAGACATCCTTCCTCTTGAACTTTTTTATACACACTGGGCATGTATAAATGCCCTCTTCCATATGCATCTTAGAATGGTGAAGTATTCTGGCCTCTATACATTCCCTTTTGCAAATAGCACAGAAAAATTTGTACTGAAGCCACCTCTGGTACCTTTCCGAGGACCCAATGGGCTTTTTAACTCTCACTTTAGGCTGATTTATTGTATCTTGACCTTCAGAATTATTATCTTCACTATCACTTAGGAAAACATCTAGCATAGCAGTTTCATTGAAAGACATCTTCCTGCAACTCAGATCATCCTCTGACTCAGAAACTTCTTTTCCTAACAACTTAAGACAGTGTCGCTTCAGAGTTTTCCAGTCCCAAAATTCTGGATCAAATGGCCAATACGCCTTTAAAGCCAACAGCAGCTCAAAACACAGGGAGTTTTTTCCATTCAATTTTTTATCTTGTTGCAGGTAGAGCTCTTCTAGTAGACTGTATCTTTCCTCACTTGGCTCAAGTAAGTATTCAGTGAGCTGGCATGCTCTTCTTACTTCGAGGTCTTCCGGCAGAAGGCATGCAATTGTTTTGCATACAGAGGTCTTCATGTCATCATTTTCATTTGATCGGAGCTGCAGGGCTCTCACACATAACAAAACAGACACAATAAGGCCTGCTTCTTCTGCCTATAGGAAAGAAGAGAGCGCAAGTCAGATCTTAATTTAGCCCCCAGAGATCTATCTTAAAGACAAAAGGGAGAAAAATGAAAAAACTGGACAGGATATCTGGGTAAGATGCTCTTTCTTCAGATTTCTAGACATTTCATAGAATTGTAGAGTTGGAAGGGACCATGAGGGTCATCTAGTCCAACCCCCTGCAATGCAGGAATCTTTTGCCCAATGTGAGGCTTGAACCCACAACCCTAAGAGTCTCATGCTCTACCGACAGAGCTATTCCTCTCAATCCAGAAGTGATTGCAGCAGATTTGGGGAACCCGTGGCCCTTCAAATGTTGCTGGACTCCCAGTTCCTATTAACCCCAGCAAGCATGGCCTATGGCCAGGGATGGTGAGAGTTGTAATTCAGAAACATCAGAATGGCCACATGTTCCCCACGCCTGGATTAGAGGGTTATATATAGATACATACTCTGGCATTTCTTATTTCAATCTTATTTCAATTTCTGCACCATCCACTTAATGTTCTAAGCCAAGCCAGGTCTTCTAGAGATAAAATGGAGAGATAAAAGCATAATCTGCTGAGTCAGATCCAAGGCTTATCTAGTTCAGTATCCTGTTTTCACTGATTTCTGTTTAACAAACCCACTCCACCTCTCTTTAATTGTTTTCTCAATGATGAACACATGATTAACATTCATTTTACAGAATGAATAACCCTAGAAGGAAAACCCTGATCCTAAACCTCTGCTGCTTTGAGGAATATCTTTGGACGAAGAAAAGGCTAAGGAGTAAACCCTACACAAATCCGGAGTGGAGTCCCTAAGACAGTTGGATGGAGCCATCCAAGCTGGTGCCACTTATTGCTCTGCTTTCCTTTGGAGCACATCAGCAAGGCAGAGAAGGGGGTGTTGCTAATGCAATGGTTTGATTTCACCCCTGGAAGCACACTGCACTGACTCTGGAGATAGATGGGTGCCAACAACAACCTACAGATCGCTTCTAGCATATGGAGTAGTCAGTCAATGACACTTTGCAAAAAAAAAATCTTATAGACAAATTTTATACCTTCTCTTGTATCTTCTATTCAAAAAGGTGACTCTTTGCTCCTTAGTTTATTCATTAACCCACAGGGAGAGGCACAGATGTCTTGCTATATGTCATGCAGTGGTAGATTCCCTGTGATTCAGCTCTACGCTTCCCTAGCGAACCAGAGACTAAGAAGTGTTCTGTTGCTTAGACAACCCATAGGTTGCTAAGTTGCAACTGTTAGTACCTATTTTTTCTTAAAGGGCTAGATGTTCTGAATAAGTGCTCACTGGGGAAAGCAAGCTCTGGCACTCAGGTTCCAATCCCCTGCCTTTTGCATACACAACCTTCCCATGATTTTAAAAAGAAAGATGATACCCTACCTGTAGATTATGATATAATGCACTAACACAGCTGAACCATGAATTGCTGTAAGCTTCAAGGAGTGTCTCTCACTGTTGTATTAAAATCTAAGAACAGGATGCGGCCTCTAAAGTCACCTAGGCTAACCATGTAGCACAACTTCTATGGACTGGAGCACTTCCAACCATCACTTCTATTTTATAATAATTTCTGTTAAATTTTCGAATTTTACATTTCAAAACAAACATTTTACAAACTTTAAAATATCCAATGACTTCCCTTCTTCTGCTTCATTTTACATATCATGCATTCCCACATATTTTCCATGCAAATCAGTTTTCCACTTTTACATCCATCAAAAATTATTTACTCTGTTGTATTTATCTTAGTGCTGCCAGTGTTTTCAGCTTTATAGTTATTTTCCATATATTCAACAAATGTTTTCCACTCTTCTTTAAATATATGTTCTTCTTGCTCTCTTATTCTATTTGTTAAATCTACCACTCCTCTTTAGCTGGGACCTCGTTCACTTTCCATTTTGGGGCTAACAAAACATGGGCGCAGTTGTTGCATAAGTAAATAATTTTTTCTGACACCTAGGAATTTCTGTTTGGGTTATTCCCAAACCTCCAACAATCACTTCTTAAACCACAGCAATTGAGCAACAACCTCACAGCAACAATGCACACACATCATTCATTTTGAAGAGAAAGGCTGCTATTTTAAGTACAGCAGCTTAACACCATCATATGTCACTAAGTAAACTGTGACTAATTGTCATGTGTCTAAGATGCTCTTTTACAGCAATTTCCTGTGCATGTGTTAAATCAAAGAATCATAGTAGAGTTGGAAGGGACCATGAGGGTCATCTAGTCCAACCCCTTGCAATGCAGGAATCTTTTGCCCAATGTAAGGCTTGAACCCACAACCATGAAATTAAGTGTCTACCTGTAGCCTTTTCAGGCCTTGCCCATGGATTGGAAGAGCACTGCGCCCGGGAGAGGGAAGTAGGAGTCAAGCAGACACTCAAGGGTTGATTCCGAGAAAGAGCTTTATTGCTACCATCCGGGCTGGTAGAAGGAGCAAGCGTGATAACTCACAAGTTTTAGCACAATTTTTACACTCATTTGCACAGAGTATATATTCCCTCCAGTTCCCTCCCCCTTCTCCCCCTCCTCAGGAGTCTTGCCTCATGAGTTTCCCTGAGCATGAACAGAAAGCTCCTGTCTGGAGACTCTTGGCGCCCTTCCCAGGAAAAAGGGGGCTGAGAAGCCAAGGGGGTTGAGAAGCCTTGCATTTCAGCATGTCCAAGATTTGTTGCAACTGGGTAAGAAAAGACTCAGTTCCCAGGCCTGCTTATGCTTGGCACTGACAGAGCCTATTCATTAGCTTTTTGAAGCTTTCTTGTACTGATAAAAATAACGTTTTGTTTATGCAGCAGCATCTTGTGAGAAAGCAGAGAAAAGCTGAAGCTGTGGATTTTTAGAAGAAAGGGGAAATTTGGTTTTGAGGCCTGGGGTGAAGTCTTGAGGCCTGGGGTGACTTTGGGGTGACTTCACAGACAGGATTTGGGTATCCTGTCCCTTCATACCGACTAAGTCATGTTAGTATACGTTTTTCAGTGTTCTCCTCCTATTTTCCCTATTTCTATTAGTCACAGGTGCCCTGTACACTTTGCCTAGGGGCAGGACTTGCAGAATTGAACTGTAGAATTTGATCATTACAGCCTTTCCCCCAGCTTTGCTCCCACTCATCCCCAACCAGAACGACCAACAGTCAAGTGTGGTGGGATTTGTAGTCCAAAAAATCAGGACAGCACAAGTCTGGGAAGGCAGATTTTAAAAGTCACATAACAAATGCTCAACAAGTACAGCACTGTTGCTTTAAAGTTTGGGATCACAAGCCCAGCTAGTTCACATAGCTAGCCAAGGATAAGCCATTAACAAAGGTACTGATTGCTGGTCATTAGCACAACAAAGAGAGAGACTCCTGGATCTGTGCAAAGCAGGGGTTGCCAAGGTGACCGGGTAGGGGAGTGATGTCACAGTAAAAGATGTGCAGGTTTGAGGAAGGGGGGCAGAGGATAGAAGGGTTTAGAGAGGTGTGTTGGAAGAAGGGTGGGCAACAAAGGCCAGACCTCCATGAGCTGCTGGGCAGAGCAAATGGCCAACTGCTGCTTTAGGCTTAAGCTATGGCAAGAGCCATGAGAGATAGATACTCTTGGGATATAATGCTCTGCACCTCCTTCACTGCAGACTTCCAGGTGTAAATATGTTAAATAAACCTTTAAAGGCACTAGTCTCTGTTGTACCTCGATCTTCCCAACAACCGTTGGTGAGCACCTAGAACCCCACATTTTAGCAGAGATTGTGGGGTATGGTGCAACCTTCCTAACTGTATTTACAAAACGGCAAAAGGTTTCCAACCCATCCTGCATATTCTCAGCCATAGAAGTTTTGATGCAACACCCCTGTCCCCTGCACACAGGAAACATGGGCCTTTTCATATCTTGATGCTATTAGAACAGAGACCCAACAAAAGGCTACAGGGACCTACCAAAGTTCCCCCATGCCCCCTAACATCCGATCCAGGCATATTGGTTTAAAAAGGAAAAACACTAAGAAAGATTAATTCCTCCGAAACCAAGCATGAACTGACTCACTCATACACTCAACCAGCCCACCCGTGGACCCCAGTCTCCAAGAAAGTTCACTTCCGATTTAAAGGAAGCCCACATTCCTCGTGATGGGAGAGACGCGCGCCCCACAAGCTCGCAAGGGTCCTTATCTTGGGATCAGAGTTTACTTTTGTTATAAAGCGACACTCCTTCCTGTTTTAAAAGAAAGCCGACTTCCTTCAGGGTAGGGACCCTTCCCCACCAGCGGCCCCGGTTTCTCACGAGGCTGGGTTCAAGAGGGTCTGTCTGGGAGGGAGGACGTAAGTGGGAAAAGGAAGAAACGGAAGGTACTCTCCCACCTCCCAAAAAAGTCCCAATGAAAAGGAGAGCTGCCTTCCCTCCTCAGTCCTGCACACCTCTTTTCTTTTGGAAAACCCTACCCACCGACCCACAAGCGGGAAACTCGGCTGCTATGCAAGAACCACCCCCGGGGCCAGGGGAGCCCCTCAGGCTGCCGAGAGGGGGAAGCCCCCCAGCCCAACCCCCGGTGGGCACAACGGGACTGGCTTCCGAGGAAACCTGCCCAGGCTTGTCTGCCAGTCAGTCGGTCACTCACCGTTCCTGGTCGGTCTGTTGGGCTGCCTGCCGAGGGAGAGAGAGGCGGAGGCGGAATGGGAAGGGAGGAGGGGGGAGAAAAAGCAGAGCTCCGAGTCCCCCCATTGAAAGCTGAGACAATCGCGCGCCGCCCGGGGGCGGGTCGGCTTTAAAAAAAACAAACCGAATATGCGCGTGCGTATTTGCGTTCTCCCGCCACAACCCATACATAAAAAGGAATAGGAAGGATACCAGCCAACCGGAGCTGGGGCTCTCGTGACGGCCGTGGGGAAAAAGGGGAGCGGGGCTAGGACAGAAGCCGAGGGGCGGGGGGAATAGTTTTTTCAGCCTAGTTCTATTCTGGGCCTGTGAATAAACAAGAGCTGTTTGAAGGATCGCCGTGTCGTCTGATATGTTCACCCACAACAAGATTGCTGCCCGCCATGCGTTCTACCACCAGAACCAGCTGCCAAACGCTCCGCCCAGGAGATCCGCAAGGCCAGTAGGCCGCTTCTTGCTAGGAAGCCAGTTCCAGTGCATCATGAAGAGGCTAGCAGTGACGAGGCATCCTCCAGTGAAGACGATGACGTGCACCAAACAAAGCGGGAGCGCGGGAAGTTCAAACAGAAGTCCAAGGGCCAATCGGAATGTGCTGGCTGTGGAGGCAACCATTCCCGTGCCAAGTGTCAATTCAGAGACGCCATCTGTCGGAAATGTTCCAAAAGGGGCCACATCGCTAAGGTCTGCCGATCGGCTCTGTCCGACACCCCCCCTTCACTGACTCACAAGTCCAATCTTCACTCCAGTCCGCCAAGGAAAGCTCGTCCGCCAAGGAAAGCTGTTTCGCTCTCACCAACTGCCACTGCCCGTCCGGAACCACGATTGGCCAAACAGACTCACCTACGCAACGCAAGCTGAATGTCAACTGTGCTCATTGAAGGAGCTCCGTGTGACATGGAGATCCACACCGGGTCTGCCCTGTCCATCGTGTATTAGAGCACCATCAAAAGACTCGTACCCAGAGTGTCCAAAAGGCAACTTGACTCTCACTGAGAGACTACCAGGGAAACAACATTCCCGTGGTAGGCGTTGGGCGGTTCTGGGTCGCCTTCAAGGATTTTTCGGGCCTGCTCCGACTGGTGGTGGTCGAAGGTCAGCGGCCAAGCCTCCTAGGGCTAGATTGGTTTGATGCCCTCGGCCTGGAAGTCACCGGCATCAACTCCATCTCTAACACAGAGACTGAGGGTCTGATCAAAGACTTTGCTGAGGTTTTTGATGGCACTTTGGGTCAATATACAGGTACGCCCATCTCCTTTAGCTTTGATCCACAAGTCGGAGCTAAAGCCACGCCGGGTTCCGTTTGCTCTCAAGGCTAAGGTGGACGAACAACTGGACAAGCTGATTGCCCAAGGAGTTTTGGAGCTGGTTGACCACGCCAAGTGGGAAACCCCCATCGTCACACCTGTCAAGCCAGACGGGTCGGTGAGAATCTGTGCCGACTACAAGTGCATGATCAACAAAGCACTTCAGCAGCACGCTTACCCGGTTCCTGTTGTCCACCACCTGCTGCATTCCCTGGGTAAGGGTAAGGTCTTCGCTAAGCTGGACCTTGCCCAAGCCTATCAACAACTGTCCATCAACAATGCCACCGCTGAAGCCCAGGCAATCGTCACCCATCGAGGGGCATTCCATTGCCGCCGTTTGCAGTTCAGGGTGAGTGTGGCTCCTGGCATCTTCCAAAGCCTTATGGAGCGTCTCCTGCAAGAGCTTCCGGGCGTGGTGCCGTATTTCAACGACATCTTGGTGTCCGCAGACTCGCAGCAGCAGCTGTTCGAGCGCCTCCGCACCGTGCTGACCAGGTTTCAGGAGGCTGGGCTCAAGGTAAAGAAGGAGAAGTGCCAGATCGCTGTTCCACAGGTGGAGCTCCTGGGCTATCTTATCAACGCCTCCGGCCTTCACCCGGCAACATCCAAGATCCACACTATCCAGCAGGCCCCCATCCCAAAGAACAAGATGGAGTTGCAGGCGTTACTGGGACTGCTGAACTTTTATAGCATGTTCCTGCCCCACAAAGCGATGGTAGCCGAGCCTCTTCACCGACTCCTCAGCACGAGGACACCTTGGTCCTGGGGTCATCGGGAGATGGCGGCCTTCAACGTCGTCAAGGCTCTCCTTTCATCGGACAGTGTGCTGGTACAGTACAGTGAAGCCAGGCCGCTGGTCCTTGCCTGCGACGCCTCACCTTTTGGCATCGGCGCTGTCCTCAGTCACCGTTTTCCAGACAGAAGAGAAGCACCGCTCACTTATTTTTCCAGGACGCTATCTCCAACCAAACGGAATTACAGCCAGCTCAACAAGGAGGCACTGGCACTTGTGGCTGGAGTGAAGAGGTTCCATGAATACCTCTATGGCAGGACTTTTGACCTCATCACTGACCACAAGCTGCTCGTGGGCCTCCTCGCTGGTGATTGACCAACTCCATCGGTCCTCTTGCCGCGCATGCTGCAATGGACTGTTTTCCTGGCTGCCTACCACTACCGGCTCGTCCATCGCACGGGGAAATCGATGGGCCATGCCGACGCCCTCAGCCGTTGCCCTCTTCCAGTGTTTGTGGAAGACCCAGCTCAAGCTTCAGTTTCCTTCAGTCAGAGGGGGATTCAAACGTAGCCCTGCATTGTTACTGATGTTAATGCTTAGTAGAAAATAAAAAGTCTTATAAAGTTTATATTTCTTGGTGGAAGGTGAAGAGGAGCCCCATATGCAGATGGGCTGAAGTGGACACATATGAATGTGAATTGTTGTACTGACCTTAAACTCTTGAGATATAAGTGGGGTATTTTTTTAAGCATTATATGTGTATTTACTTTTATTTATTTATTTAGTTGGCAAGGGATGACATTGCCAGGAGATCCTGTGACCAATTTGCTCCTGGGCTCCTCATAGTGTTAAAAATACCATTTTCCTGAATGGTGAGTAAAGGCTACTGACAGTCAGGGGAGAACTCCATCTGGCCTGAACAGGCCAGAGGAGGTGACAAGGAAAATTAGAAAGATAAAGGTTAATATATTTAAAATAATAAACTAGGAATACAGTAGTACCTCAGGTTAAGTACTTAATTTGTTCCGGAGGTCCATTCTTAACCTGAAACTGTTCTTAACCTGAAGCACCACTTTAGCTAATGGGGCCTCCTGCTGATGCCGTGCCGCCAGAGCACGATTTCTGTTCTCATCCTGAAGCAAAGTTCTTAACCTGAAACACTATTTCTGGGTTAGCGGAGTCTGTAACCTGAAGTGTATGTAACCCGAGGTACCACTGTACTGTATAAAGAAATGGGATAATAGGAGGTAAAAGAAGAAGTAGGGATAAAATAAGTTGGCAGTTTGTGTGGAGGATAAGATAGAAGTATGAAAAATGGGGAGAACTGGGAGCTCAATACCATTTGCATCTGGCACAGATTTCTTAATGGCTCACCACCTTCCTTTGTTCAATTAACAACGCATACTTACTTGCCATTATCAGGTTGAAAAGGCTACTGGATTGAGGATTCAGGGGGCTTGATTAAATTCTAACCCTATACTGATTCCAGGAATTTAGGACAGCCCCCCCCCCCAACAACAAACGCTATAAAAATACAAAACTCCATCAACCATACTTCATAAGGCTTGGTGATGCCCAAAGTGATTTTACATCTTTATTAGTAAAACAGGATCACAGGCATAGGCTAAGTCGTCCAGAGGCAAGTTTAAAAGTTCCTGGAGTTTGCAGAAAGATTGCTTGGAGGGGCAGAGAATAGAGACTACCTTCAGAGAGTCATGTAGGGGGAGCTCAAGGAGAGATGAACAATGCTAAAACCTTAAATAGGTTTGCAGGAGTTCCAAAAGTGTGTCTAGACAAGTTGACATGCTGGCCAATGAGAAGGGGTCAAAATGAGAGAATGAAATCTAGGTAGCTGTGCTTAGGCATAGTTTCTAGAGAGAAGACCACAGTAATGTAAAAACAGATGTTTCTGATAAGAAGTCTGTTGGGCCACACAAACAAACAAGGATCACTCATCCTGAAGGATGGTCCTCCTGAATAGCTTTATCAAATCAGAAGGAGTGACTTCCTGATTCTATGGTTCTATCTGGTCTACATTTCTATAGAATTTCTGGTTGGATTTCTTTTGAAGCCTACCTCCATAGCTCCATGAAGGGACTTTTAGATGCAAAAATCCTGCATATGGTGACCTTTTGTTTACCCTTCATTTTACCTTTTTACCAACCTAGCTTCCTGTTGAGTAAATCAAGGAAATTTCTGGTTCCTCATGACCTCACTGTTAAGAAGGTAAAGCATAGAGAAATCAAACTATAAGACTGTGCATATTGTCAAGGTGGGATGGTCATTTCTCATGGTTCTTTGCTTGAGCCAAACCCATCAAGATATAGATAGATAGATGATAGATAGAGATAGATGAGATATAAATGCCATATAGAAAGGTTAGCCTAATAAAAGTATTGCCCAGCTAGGGTTGCCACCTTTGTTCTGGCAAAATACAGGGCAGGGAAGGGCAGTTGGCGGCAATTTTTCCATCTCGTGCTAAAGTGACTTCTTTTTTCCACATACTTTTAATTGATTTTCATACAATTTAACAAATTCGATTCAGGTTCAGTGACTTCAAAGCAATCCATTGCAATCTACTGCAGCCTAACAGGATGCCCCCTTTGGAATTTGTCTCACACTCACACACACACGAATTTGTGTATTTTTCTGTGCTTGGCTACCCAGAGCTTAAATACATGACCTTTCACACTCCTTTTCAAACACCCGCATTTGGAGAGGATCCCTAATTTGACAGAGAGAGCGAGCGCTGAAATACCGTACAAGCCAAAACTGTTATCAATACAGGACATAGCATTTTGCATTGAACCGCTGGACAATCCTGTATTATACGGGACAGATGGCAACCCTATGCCCAACTGTGGGTTTTGGATGTATGTATTTATGTATGGTGGGATAACTTGGGCTCATTTAACGGGTTGCAATTGAACCTCCCCCGTCCAGGAGCGGCCACTGCGCGCCATCCGGCTGCGCCAAGCGGGATGCTTCTAGCTGGCAAGCGCTAGCAAGGACTGCTCTTAGGCTCTGAACAGCGCACTTACAGGCGAGCGCCACCAGCCCCGCAATCGCAAGCACCCTGGGGGCACCGTAGAGGAAGGCAGGGCCCAGATCCCGACAGCCGGTCTGTGGCGGTGCATGCTGGGAGTTGTAGTTTCAGACGCACGCGACCGGAGGGGTTTGCAAGGCAGCTTCCGAGCAGCTGGAAGTGGACGAGGCCCTCCTCGCTGGCCCGGGATGCCGGCGCCCGTGCTCTGCGCGAGTTGCGGGTCCCGGCGCGCCGCGCTCCGCCGCCCCAAGACGGGCCAGGCGCTGTGCCGGGAGTGCTTCGTGGCGGCCTTCGAGGCGGAGGTGCACGGTACCGTGACGTCGGCGCGGCTCTTCCAGCCGGGCGAGACGGTGGCCATCGGGGCGTCGGGGGGCAAGGACTCCACGGTGCTGGCGCACGTGCTGCGGCTGCTCAACGAGCGCCACGGCTACGGGCTACGCCTGCTGCTGCTCTCCGTGGACGAGGGCATCGCCGGCTACCGGGACGACTCGCTGGCCGCCGTGCGCCGCAACCAGGGCCGCCTAGGGCTGCCGCTGCACGTGGTCTCCTACCAGGAGCTCTACGGCTGGAGCATGGACCGCATCGTCCGCCACGTCGGCCTCAAGAACAACTGCACCTTCTGCGGGGTCTTCCGGCGGCAGGCGCTGGACCGAGGCGCCGCCTTGCTCGGGGCTGACAAGATCGCCACAGGTGCGGGGACGGGGGTGAAGGGGGCGGCCGGGTTGGGGCGCTCCGGGTGCGGTGGGGCTCCCGACGTCCATCAGCGCCGGCCGGTGTGCTCAGCCGCCTGGGGTGATGGGGTCTGTCGCCCAACAGCACCCGGAGGGCCACGGCTTACCCATCTCCGTCTAAAGAGCCTCTGAGCAACTGCAGAGGGCACGGCAACAAGGACGCTCTTGTGGGGCCACAACCTTAACTCAAGAATACATAACTATTTATTGGGAGCACTTTTACTTCCCTGTTTCAAGTTAGAGACTTTTAAAGTCATAGAATTGTAGAGTTGGAAGGGACTTCCGGGGTCATCTGGTCCAGCCCCCTGAAAATGCAGGAATCCCCACTAAAAGCATCCATGACAGATGGCTGTTCAACCTCTGCTTAAAAACCTCCAAGGAAGGAAAGTTCACCACCTTCCAGCAGAGTCCATTCCATTGTCAGGACAGCTCTTACCATCAGACAGTTCTACCTGATGTCAAAATCTCCTTTCTTGTAACTTGAATTCATTGGTACGCGTTCTTCCGTCCAGGGCATGAGAAAACAAGCTTGCCCCATCCTCCTTGTGAGAAGCCCTTTAGATATTTGAGAAAAAGGGTCCCAGAACCAGTTGCAAATATTATTAGTATTATAATAATAATACATTCTTGCCCCCCTTTCTAATATTTTATTTTCTGTTCTTCCATTTTACAATATTCAACAATAAATATAAATCCACACAAATCCAATGATATTTTCTGCAACTTCCCTATCTCCCTTTCTTGCGGTTTCTTATTTTTCTATCAAATTCTTACTACATATCTTAATTTATCCTTTTTGCCATTTTATCCTTTTTAATTCCCTTAGATTTCTTACTGCTCATGCTTATATCAGTCCTAACGTTTTTAATTGTTTGCAATTTATTTTCATATATTCAATAAATTTCCCCCATTCTATTATAAATCTTGATCTCTTAATCTTCTGGTAAGTTTTGCCATCTCTGCATATTCCATCAGGCCATTGGTTATACTGGCAGACCCTGATGGGTGTTGGAGTTTGGAGGGTCACATGTTCCCCACAATTGCCCTATTTAGAGATTGCTGCTGCTGCGACTGTTCCCTGGTGCAATAAATGTACACATAAACACACGTTAAATATATAATATATCAAATATTATCTATAAGCAACACAGCTACCCACGTGCTTTTCATTTCTCCCTTGAGTAAGGCCAAACTGCTTTGTCTTCCTTACTCTCTTTGCATAGTGAGACCATGCAACCCTCCCCACCCCCACTTCTAAGCCCAATGTGATTTTTGGGGTGAGGAAGGACTTTGCTTTGCATGCTGCTCCGTATGACCAATAGCCCTACTAGATCAGACCAAAGGCCCATCTAGTCCGGCGTCCTGTTCTCGCACTGACCAACCAAGTGCTTGCTGGAAACCCACAGCCAGCACAAAGCAAAAGGGGTGCTTGGCCACAATTCGTGGCCTTTGGTTAGGGGCCCAATTGATGGGCATGCTGGGAAAGAAATTGGGACAGTCAAGGCGGCTGAAGGAAACCTCCAGGGAGCAAAAAACGACCAAAGTTAGCCTCAATGAGGCAGAAGGCTGATGACCAGCTTCTTCCTGCTTGCTTTTCAGGAGCTGTAACTGCCCTTCCGAGTTAGGTCTTATTCCAGACTCAGCAGGCATTGCTGAAGGCACGGCCCCTTGTCTGCCTTATGTAGTTGACTCTGGATCTATAGGCAAACTTCAGGGTGGCAGGATCTACTTAGTGCATTTTAATTTACTCAAATCCTGAGGTCCACCAGCCAGTGCCTGATGCAGAAAAGAGTAGCTCGGGGCACAGACATATGCAGGTGGTGTTAGAGGGTGGCCTCTTGTGCTGGGCCCTAGATCGCTGACCCTTCCCTCCCTGATTCTTTTTCATTGAAATTTTGCTTGCAGGGAGGCTGGGCTCATTGCAAAGCACAGTACAACCCACCAGCTTAATTTGCCCAAAGGCCACCTTTACAGGGAGATGGGGCGGCATTTGCCTGGTTTCCTGGCGCCCTTGTTGCTGCAGGTTACTGGAAGCAGAAACAGTGAGGTGATGGAGCGTTCAAAACTGTGGAGATGCACCAGGTTGGCTCTGCGGGTGCATCAGCACAATGCTTACCTGCCAAGCGCTTCATGCTTCTCCCTCTCTGTAAACTATAGTGATGCTTGTGCCAGGAGGCCAGATAAGCGCATACACACAATGGATCTGTACATGTAAAGTAGCATATCCAAACACTATGCCCATTTCCACTGCAGGCCTGCACCCCAACTCCTTTTAAATACCTAGCAACAACCCTGCATCCACTTAGAATTAAGGATCTGGGGGCTCCTGGGTGCATTTAATTAAGAGGGGAAAAATTCACTCGATTATGTTAACAAGAAAGGCAACCACAGAGAACCACCAACGCAGTATGCCTCCATCTGGAATTCCTAATTGGTGCTTATAAATATTAAGGATAGATTGTAACTTATAATTATTTGTATATTGTTGAATGGTTATTGTTGTTGGCTTATTGAGATGGTTTAAAAGAAAAGAAAAATAAAGAAGGGGGGAATTCACTCCTGGTTTTTCCCTAAGCTCTCTACATCTGCCTACTTTTTTGAGCAGGGGAGGAATATAACAGAGCTAGTGCAATATAGTGCTTGCAGTGCTACAGTAGAACCTGGGAAACAAGGGTTCAAATCCTCGCCAACCCAAGATGCTTCTCATCCTATCCTACCTTGCCAGGTTGTTGTGGGAAATAAATGAGCGGGGAGAACCATGTCCGGCACTTTGAACTCCTTGGATAAAAAGGTGGGATCTAAGTGCAATAAAGAAGAAGAAAAGTTTTTAGCTATTGCTATAGTTAAATAATTGGAAATCCATATCCCTTGTGAATCTGCTGGTAATTGTACTTAGAAATCTACCTGCAGTTCTTGATCTTCATTCCGCCTATATCAAGGATAGCCAGGAAGGTGCGTGTCCTGTTGACTCGTCCTATTGCTGTCTGATTCATTCTTTAGGTCATAACGCAGATGACATCGCTGAGACGGTGCTGATGAACTTCCTGCGGGGGGACGTTGGGCGCCTCCGGCGCTGTGCGGACATACTGACAGGAAGCGAGGGGCAGCTGCCGCGCTGCAAGCCGCTGAAGCACGCCTACGAGAAGGAGATTGTGCTGTACGCTTACTTCCAAGGCTTGGACTACTTCAGCACCGAGTGTGTGTACTCCCCCAACGCCTACCGCGGGCACACCCGCGCCCTGCTCAAAGACCTCGAAGCCACGCGGCCCAGCACGGTGGCTGACCTGGTGCACTCGGGCGAGCGGCTGGCGGTGCGCGAGGATGTCCGCATGCCCACCCAGGGCACCTGCCAGCGGTGCGGCTACCTCTCCAGCCAGCCCCTCTGCAAAGCTTGCTTGCTGCTGGAAGGGCTCAATCGTGGCCTCCCTCGGCTGGGCATCGGCAAGCCCAGCCGGCTGCAGAAAGCTTTGCTGGGCAGTGAGAAGCCAGAGACCAGCTTACAGGAAGAAGAAGGCCCTCGGCAGGCAAAGCGAGGCCCGAGGGCCATAGACTTCTGAGCCTGTCCCTACCCATGGTTCCCATCATCCCTGACAGTTAGCCATTCTGGCTGCAGCAGTTGTCTCAACAACCACTGGAGGGTTTTATTTAAAATCAAATTATATTCAATATCAGGGGAATTCAACTCCCAAGAGACTGCGATCTGCTCACAGAATAAAAAACTGGCAGTGATCTACCCCATTTTTTGTGGTTGTTGAGCTTTTTTTAGGGAGGAAAATGTCAAAATTAAGTAAAGGGGAAAAGTCGCTCACCAAAAGATCGCTGAGAAAACAATCTGTCAAGAAGCGAAAACTCCGTCTTCCATTCCAACAATCATGCAAAAATGGAGGACGGGGTGAAGAGGAAGGGTCAGATGCTCTGATGCCAATGAAAAGGAGCCCATGACCGACAGCAATCTACTGGTCTAAGAGCAGGGGTGACATTATTATTATTATTATTATTATTATTATTATTATTATATTTTTGGCTGAAAGCCAGGGTATAAACAAATAAACAAAATTTACAAAAAAAAATTGTGTGTGCTCATGTTTCTTTAACTGTTAACAGAGTAACCGATCTCTGTAATGATTCTGTCTGTATACTCTGGCTTTCCTGATTAAGACCAAGATGCACCTGTTTTGTAATTCTTGGTGAAAAGGTGGCAATAATGAGCAGCTACTTGTGGACCCAATAGAAACAGGCCAATGGTTTGCCAGGGTCTGCCTTCTGGCCACAACTTTTCCCTTTGTAAAATGGGTGGGTGGCCTGGAAATTCGAGACACTGTTGGACTCTTGACATCCCATCACTCCTGATTTATCCTCCCTGGGGCTCATGGGAGTCGGAGTCCAATGATGTCTGGAGGACCAGATTCCCTTTCCCTGCAGTACTGCTTAGGCCAGCAACGTGCCAAGCTGTAGTCCTGGTTGGTTCACCACACTAGACAGCTGTGCATAGGGCTGTTGAGTTCTTGGTTGTAGCCCCAACAGCTCCTGACCAGTAGAGAGATAGGAAGGGATAAATCGTGCAGAAAACTGAATATACCCACACCCAAGCAAGTATTCTGAGTCACAGAACTGAAGTGGGCCATGTAGCCCATCCTTCTGCTCCAGGCAGAAAATCCAGAGTGATACCATTCCAACAGATGGTTATCCAAGCAGGACCAATCAGAGAGAGGAACACGAGGGCCATTTGGTCTGGGATCTTAAGCTCAAAGGGGTCCTCCAATTTAGACACTTGTTAGTTTTTTGTCATTTGATAAGTTTTGCAGCCTTTTTTATGCACATTGGATCAAAATGTATTTAAGCAGAAATGGACACACTCCACTTTAAGAGCTTCAAATTTAATCAAATAAGAGGTGTTCTGGTAAAATACCTTTTTTTGTTTTGTTAGCTCATAATAGATGATGCCATATTAAAGAGTTACAAATGTTATTAAGAATTAATGTTAATAACAACCGGGGGAAAGGAAGACATAACATCTTACAAGGACAGGAAGAAGCATCACGAACAGGATACAACGGTACCTCGGGTTAAGAACTTAATTTGTTCTGGAGGTCCGTTCTTAACCTGAAACTGTTCTTAACCTGAGGTACCACTTTAGCTAATGGGGCCTCCCACTGCTGCCGCGCCACCGTACGATTTCTGTTCTCATCCTGAAGCAAAGTTCTTAACCCGAGGTACTGTTTCTGGGTTAGCGAAGTCTGCAACCTGAAACATCTGTAACCCAAGGTACCACTGTAATTGACACAGAACAAGGAAGAACAAGGAGATAGTTTGAGTTGCTCACTTGTAGTTTTATAAATCAATTAATGTGTCAACACAAATAGAAGTTATTAATATTACAGTTGTATAAGGGATTATTATTATGACCGGAATGTCATGGAAATTAAAAAGATATTGGAATGCAGAAATAATCAAGCCATCAATTCTAGCACATGGGGGGGCACCTTTTCTAAATTATATAATTCGGTATTTGAAATATTGGTACAGTCATGCGCAGAAGCGGCGAATCATGACCCGCAGATGTGGGTTGCGATCTGCTCAGGATGCGAACAGGGCTCCGGATTGTATTATAAATTGGTATTGTTATAATGAGGCTATTATTGGATTGCAATTGAAAACTAATAAAAATTATATTAAAAATAAGAATTAATGTTAGTAAGAATTACGTTTTGCAAGATTAGGCCACAATGAACGTGTCTTCTCAGATCAGCTGATTATATTAACAAACCTCTTGGGCATCATCGGCAATGCACATTTAAATAACTACCATTCCACTGGAAAAAATCATGGCTTTCCCCCAAAGCATCCTGGAGACTGAAGTTTGTTAAGGTTGCTGGGATTTGTTAAGAAACCCCTATTCCCCTAGAGCTGCAACTGTTAAAGAGTTCCCTGGGAAGAGGGGTTAATTGTTAAACCACTCTGGGAATTGTAATCTGATAGACTTTGGCTGGTCCAAAGGAGATCTTGTGAAATCCTTGCTTGTTGCCGAACAAGCTAAACCGCCTGCAGCTTATTCAATAAGTGGTCGTCGTGCACACGGAAGGTTTACAGACAGCCTTGCCATGTCACCTACGTTCCAAATCCACAGTGGGAAGCAGTGTTCCAGCCACTGGAAATCGCAAGTGGGGAGACTTGTGCTGTTGCGATCAGGTTCTGCATTGGGCTTCCCACAGGCTTCTGGTCGGCTAGTGTGAGAACAGAATGCAGCACTAGATGAGCCAACTGGCCTGACCTAGCAGGCTCTTTGTACGTTATTGCTGATCGGCAACTGCTATAAACTTTTCGTATAACTGTGAAGTTGGAAGGGACCGCATGGGTTATCTAGACCAACCCTTACAATGCATGAATTTTTTTGACTCTCTGATTAAGAGTCTCGCGCTCTACTAACTGAGTTATCCCAGAGGAGAGCTGGGGTATAGGTTGCAACTGTTGGAAATGCTCCCATTTCTGCGCTCTGCATAAGAAAAATGGTACTGAGAAACAGAGGCAATAATGCATTTGCGCCAGGCTTTTTATTGAGGGATATCAGCCCTGGGCTGGTGCTTTTGTGTCATTTTCAGCCATGGTTTCCTCGATCCACTTCCGAAATTTGCAGATCTCCATGAAAACAGCAGGGTTTTTCTTGGACGCACACTTCACAGCTCCCGATGACACCAAACCGTGAAGGACCCCATTGCAAATCAAGGGGCTCCCAGAATCTCCCTGTAAATTCAACAAGAGGAAAGGGGTCAGAGAGCAGGAGAACTCTTTGGTGTGGTGAGACTTCTCTAGTTCAGGGGCTGGGATCTGTGGTCCTCCGGAGATTCTCCAACTTTCATCAGCCCCAGGCAGCATGGCCAGTGGTCGGGGATGATGAGAGCTTTCGTCTAGCAAAATCTGGAGGGCTATAGATTCCACATCCCTGCTCAAGCTGAACATTGAATCTAAAAGGTACAGAAATAGAGGGTTTCATATTGAAGCAGGTATGGCTTTCTTTAGGTTTATGGCTCTTCTTGCTTAATACTTGCTTCCTTGGGTAGTTTGGTGTCTCTCCCCCCACCCCCCATGCCCCACCAATATCTTAATGCCCTTCTGTTTCTGCTCACTTCCTTTCTTCTTTTTTCCTTTTAATTAGGAAGATTTAGACAAGGAGTAGGCAGAAGTTAGACTGGGCTGTGCTGGTAGATTTCTGGATGATCTGAAGTAGATTGGCAAGGATTTCTTACTCCCAACAATGGTGGCAACAAAACAACCCTAAAAAATGTACTGCTGAAAGGGAAGAAAGGGATATGCAGAAATATATTACTGTATGGAAGAACTATGAGCTCAGTCTAGTTTTGGTACTTTATAAACAAATTCCTGGGCTCAAAATTCTTTTATTGTAAATACTTGTTTCCCTTCTACAGATGGATCTCAAGTAATAAGAAGGAAAAATAAAATAAAAATAGAAGTCTGCTTGCTACTGACATTGGAGAAATCCTAACCATGTCTACTCATAAGTAAGGATATGTGACTCTGTCAGTTTTGGTTTCTCATTTCCCAGTCTGCAAGTTCAGTTTTCTACTTTTCCACATCAGTTTGGGGTGTTTGTTTTTTTTAACTCATGAAAATTCATCAGCCTTTTAATGCAAACTTCTATTATACACATTTTTATATGTGATTTTGCTTAGTATTTTTGCAAAGCAATTTCCCTAACATAATGCATTTGTGCATGTTCTTTTATCATTACACACACTTTATCCTAGTATATGCATTTTTGTACATATTCCATAGCTGGAGAACTGCACTGCAAAACTCTGAGAAGCGCAAATATCAGAGGAATTGTGTGTTTCAAATCAAATATTGTTTCAGAACATACATATTAGGCAGGTTTATATTTAGAAGTGAACTGAATCAAATGATTCTGATTCTATTCCATCCCTACTTAGAAGTTCCACTGACCAAAATTGGACTTGGACTACAATCCTAACCCCATTTACCTGGAAATATATATGCTGCACTAAATTAAATAGGGCCGACTTCTGAGTAGACATGAATGACGTTTTACTGGATTCTTGCATCCTGATACTATGCGCTGACTTTTTGCTTGTGCCTTTATTGTTGCAATTTGTGTGACTTGCTTATTTATTTATTTTTTGGTTATTTTATGTGGTGTATAAGTTATATATGAATGGCGTAGTTCAGATTGCAGGCTAAGTCACAGGAAAGTTGGATTGTGATACAATGCACTCTGCCTCTGACCCATAGTCACCAAGTGTTTGTTGCTCACCTGGCACGAGTCTTTGCCTCCTTCCATTTTTCCTGAGCAAATCTTGTTGTCTGCAAAGTAGCTTCCGTACCTAGACTTGCATATGTATTTTGACAGGATCTCTGTGTCCAAACATTGCAGGACATTGGCATAATTTACTGCAAAATGAAAGCTTGGGTCAGTGTGCGACACTGGCTGTTTGGGAGTTGCTGCTTAACTATTTTAGCTTCAGGTTCCTCCCTCACAAATGCCAGAAGCTGTGGTGGTTGGTGTCCATTGCAACCATAAGGTGGAAGGCAGGAAGACCAACTTTGCCCCCATATTCCTCTCTATTGAGTTCTGCAAGGGGCAACACTGAGACTCAGAGGAGGAAGCCAACAGCCAGGGCCACCCCCAGGATTCGTCGTAAGTAATAATAATTTATTTATAATAATAATTATTATTATTTATACCCCGCCCATCTGGCTGGGCTTCCCCAGCCACTCTGGGCAGCTTCCAAAAAAAATATTAAAGTACTGTAATACATCAAACATTAAAAGCTTCCCTAAACAGGGCTGCCTTCAGATATCTGGTAGTTGTTGTTCTCTTTGACATCTGGTGGGAGGGCGTTCCACAGGGAGGGCGCCACTACCAAGAAGGCCCTCTGCCTGGTTCCCTGCAACTTAGCTTCTCACAGTGAGGGAACTGCCAGAAGGCCCTCGGCGCTGGACCTCAGCGTCCGGGTAGAACGATAGGGGTGGAGACGCTCCTTCAGTAAGGCGAGAGGTAGGTGAGGGCTTGCTTGGAGCAGAATGAGATGTCCCACTCATAGGATCATAGAACTGTAGAGTTGGAAGGGACCCTGCGGGCCATCTTCTCCAACTCCTTGCAATGTAAGAATCTCAGCTAAAGCATCCATGACAGATGGCCATCCAAACTCTGCTTAAAGGACTACTGGCTAGTAGATGCAATTCCCCATCCCACAACTGGAAACACAGTATGGACAGAGGCAGCTGCCCTTATACTTAGGCCCATAAATCACCTAATCTAGTGGTTCCTAAAGTAGGCAGTACTGGGGGGCGGTGGGATTACCTTGCTAAGAGGCAAGGAGGCATTGGAGTGTAAAGGGCTATCAGACTTCAAAATGCTGAATCAAGTTCATCCATTTTGTTGAGTTAGTTAAACTGGATCGTTTTAACTGGATTTTGAATAGCGGTGCAGTTAATTGTTACAGTGGTACCTCGGGCTACATACGCTTCAGGTTACATACGCTTCAGGTTACAGACTCCGCTAACCCAGAAATATTACCTCGGGTTAAGAACTTTGCTTCAGGATGAGAACAGAAATCATGCTCCAGTGGCGCGGCAGCAGTGGGAGGCCCCATTAGCTAAAGTGGTGCTTCAGGTTAAGAACAGTTTCAGGTTAAGAACAGACCTCCGGAACGAATTAAGTACTTAACTTGAGGTACCACTGTACTGTCTTTTTGTTTCTCAAGCTTACGCCCCGCCCCCCATTTTTTTTAGTAGTTTGCTCAGGGTTGTGAAACTGCAGGTGCTCAGGATTTAGGTGTTTTTGGTTTCGGTTAAGGTAGTCTGCAAAAGCTTACATCATTTACATCACCTTATTTCATGCTTTCCTTTGTAGGAACTGCACCAGGCCCCTCAAGTACTTGAATCTAGCCTTAGTTTGCAGGAGGTCTTGTGAAACCCTTGCCTGTTGATGGACGTTGCAAGCTAAACTTCTTGCAGCTTATCCCAAAAGTGGTCATTGCACGTGGAACCTTGACCCTCTGGCCTTTCCTCTTACCTTCGGGGAAAGTAGTAGTGCCCCAGCCAGACACCACACACTTTGTCCCAGTGGGTGCGCATTCCTTAGCAAAAGGGATGGTCTTAATGGTATCTCCCAGGACTGCAGGGGGGGATAGCTTCAGAAGCATGACATCGTTTTTCATTGTTCGGAGTTCAAACTTAGGGTGGCGGATGGCTCTGATTGCTTTGGAAGACTGTTCCCCAACATCTTGCTTATACAAATCATGCTCCCCAAGATGAACCATGAGATTTCTGCAAGGGAGACAATAGCGAAGACACAGAGGTGTTCAGAACTATTGTATGGCACAGCCCTTTTTATACCAAACCATTTCCATGCTATTCTTGGCCTTGGTTCTTTGCTTGACTAGGACAGGGTTTGTGGCCCAGATTTGATATGATTTAATAGTTCTTATATCCCGCTTTTCCAGCAACAATGCTGAGCTCAAAGCAAGTCTCAATAATAGCTATGGTACTGAAAATGAGTAGAACATTTCAGTCGGTATAATCACATCCAAAACATATAACGAAGGCAAAAACAAATTCAACAAATGATTAATACAATTCAGTAAAGGTAAAGGGACCCCTGACCATGAGGTCCAGTCGTGGCCGACTCTGGGGTTGCGGCGCTCATCTCATTTTACTGGCCGAGGGAGCTGGCGTACAGCTTCCGGGTCATGTGGCCAGCATGACTAAGCCGCTTCTGGCAAACCAGAGCAGCACACGGAAATGCCGTTTACCTTCCCGCCGGAGCGGTACCTAATTATCTACTTGCACTTTGACTTGGTTTCAAACTGCTAGGTGGGCAGGAGCAGGGACCGAGCAACGGGAGCTCACCCTGTCACAGGGATTCGAACTGCCAACCTTCTGATCAGCAAGTCCTAGGCTCTGTGGTTTAACCCACAGCACCACCTGCATATAAACTCGTAAAGAATTCAAAATGTAAGAAATGGCTGCTGAACTTCCGGGGTGGCGCCATCGGCAATGGCGGACTCCCTCTGATCTGGAGGGACTAGCTCCGCACGAAACGGGTCTTTTCCGCTACGGCGAAGCGGGGACCCTTTCAAAAATCACAGGCGGATGAAGCCTGTGACCATGGGACTCGGCGGGCACCCTTAGCGCCCCCCCAACCCGCAAAGGAACCCACTAATGGGCTCCGAAGCGAAGAGGGGGAAGTGGCATGGTGCTGAGAGTCAACTGCTTTTTCCGTGGAGCGAAGCCGCATAGCCGTTGCCGGAGAGCGCTGCCTTTTTCCTGGGACAATTTGGCTTCTAAAATAATCACCCGTGAGTACTTAAATTTTGGACAATTGGACTTTAAATAAGGACTTGCGAGCAGAAAGGAATTGGACTTAAAAATTTACTTCAATTTGGCACTGAAACGGGAAGGTCTAAACAGGAAGTCAGCCTTCCGTTTCTTTGTAGACAGAATAAAGCAAAGACAAGGTAAACTAGAGCTCAGAAAATCGCTTCTAAAAGATTAACTTTCATCATTTAAAATTGTTGAACCCCCCTTCGGAAGCAGGAGAAGAAGGGGGATCTTTCTCGGACTGTTTAAACCTGCAGAAGTGAGTTTAAAGTAAAGTAACTTTCCACCGTCCTGATCCTGGAGCGGGGTGTCAGGACTGACGTTTGAAGCTCATTGACCAGAGACAAACGTTTTTGACAGATAGCTAAAGGAAGAGAAACATAGTGATTCCACTGTTCCCTTTCGCATTTTAAAGGAACAAATATTGACAAAATATCTGAAAAAGGAAACTTTGTTGCTAGATTTGTCCTTAAAAGAAAGAACAAATAGAAGTTTTCCCCCTAGAGGGAGACTGTGAAACTGTAACCAATTCCAGGAGCTTGCAGCTGTTACAGATTACAATCGTGGGAATAGACTTTTGACCTTGTAGGACAATGTATTCAGAAGCTCTGTTGTGTGCTCTCTGTAAAACAAATGCCCTACTGGAACAGTTAAATGAGAAGACGGATTTGATGACTAATGCGGTCAGAATTTTTGAACAGGCAGTGGGAAACTATATGGAGCCCACCCAGGAATTAAAACAGGAGTGTGCCCTGACAGAACAGATGAGAGAAGAGGATGTTGCTGAATCTTGGGCGCCAGAGATGGAGGGAGCTGTGGCCCTGCAGGAACATGAGCTTTTGGATTTGACAAATGAACTTGGAAAAAGCCAGATTTGGAAAGATAATGTTTGGACTGGTTTGGAAATGGGGGGTTGGATAGACCCCCCTATGCAGGGATGTTTGGACTTTCCAAGTCTGGCAATGGGCCGTGAGATGTTTGGGGCTGTGGGGGCTCTTAATTTTGGAGGGATTCTGAAACATGTTTTTAAATACCACATGGAGTTTAATCTGGACTATGGAAAAGGGGCTGATTTGTTGAAAAGGGTCAAAAACATTACCAAGCTGGAGTTCCCACGAGTGAAAGGAGAATATGAAGAAGAGCTGCGGAAGGGACATGGAAGAGACTTAAGGGCCTCGGATATAAGGTTACCAGGTTAATGCGCTAGATCAATGGGATAAAAAGGACTGACAAAACCCGGGACCAGGAGGAAGGGACGCTGGATGAAGATTGGACTGTTTTTATTTCTCTTTTATTACTAGGATTGTTTTATAAAATTGATGAATGTTAGAAAAATGTTGGAACGAAATTACTTGGCTCTAGTAAAAATGTTTAAAGAATTAGGTAAGAATATTATGGTTATGAGAAGTTGGTAAAAATAAGATTTAAGCTTTAAGTTTTAAGGTTTTCTATAAGATAAGATGAAAATAGATTAAGGTATGTAATGACAGAATATTATGAAATATGGAAAGGATTTGCTGCAATAATTAATAACCAGGATACAAAAAAAGGGAGGAGGAGGAGGTCAAAGAAAGAAGGTAATGAAAGTTGAGGATTTGAGTATGATGGTTTTGTTTTTGTCTGTTTGTGGTGTATTTTTTTTTTTTTGAATTTGTATTGTTTGATGTGGTGTGTTTTTTCATTGTTTTCTCTTTTTTCTTTTTCTGCTTTGTTTTTTTTTTGTAATTCTAAAAAATTTTCAATAAATATCATTTAAAAAAAAAAGAAATGGCTGCTGAGGACCAGCTCTCTGCTGGCTGACTGCCTCTGGGCAGGGACTTCTTCACCCAGTGCAGCAGCAGAATCTCAGGCAATTAAAAAAGCGATCCATTCTAGATTGTTTTGTAAATGTCTGGAGAGATTAAAGGTTAAAAAAAGGGTAAAGGTAAAGGACCCCTGGACGGTTAAGTCCAGTCAAAGGCGACTATGGGGTTGCAGTGCTCATCTCACTTTTCAGGCCGAGGGAACCGGCATTTGTTCATGGACAGCTTTCCAAGTCATGTGGCCAGCATGACTAAACTGCTTCTGGTGCAACGGGACACCGTGACGGAAACCAGAGCACACGGAAATGCCATTTACCTTCCCACCACAATGGTACCTATTTATCTACTTGCACTGGTGTGCTTTTGAACTGCTAGGTTGGCAGGAGATGGGACAGAGCAATGGGAGCTCACCACCGTTGCATGGATTTGAACCAGCGACTTTCCGATTGGCAAGCCCAAGAGGCTCAGTGGTTTAGACCACAGCACCACCCACTCCCCTACTCTGGAGACATTACCCTTCCTCTCACCCACCGCTTCCTCCCTATGACCCCACAAACTTGCCTTCGCAGACAGTGTCCAGCTGTAAGCACCCAGTGCTCATCGATCAAGGCTCCACCACATCGAGTGAGTTGACTGTCGAAGACAAATACTTGCCAGGGCTGAGAGTGCGGCCAACATTCGGATCCTCCGATAATACGCTCGCCGGTCTGTGCTGACACTGTGACACAAATACCATCATATATTACACATTTGCTGACACGGGAGGCTTCCAATAAGAGTGTGCTTCATTAGATGGGAAGCTGTTTCCCAGAAATGCAGGTAAAGTACCCACCCCCGTGCTGATGGGATCCTGCAGATAATAATGATTACTGGAATAAGATGAAGGCTTGAGTGTGGGTGTGAATGTCCTGTACTTTTATGGTTCCTCAGCATGGTGTGCTTTCACTCAGGCTACAACATCTACATGAATGTGCTGTGTGCAAGGTACATTAAAGGCTCTTGCATTTGCCAGGCTTGACTGAAACTAAAAGTAGAACCCTACGTGTATCCTTCTGTTCAGAGAGCGATTTTTCAGTCCTACTGGCTTGCTCATTTCTTCCTCCCTCTTAAAGTCCCTTGTAAAATGTTTTGATCAGGGTCAAACAGATACGTAGTTATTTTAGTCTAACATAACTGTTTTATTGTCCAATATAGGATTTTAAAATCCATATCCTGGTTGGTTTGTTTTTGAAATTAATTTTTATTTGTGTTTTCGCATACAGTTCAAAAAGAATAAGTAGAAAATAAATGAATAAAAATTGAAAACAAAACCACAACAAACCAAAGACACCACACAAAACACCTAAGGACTTCTCTTCCTCTCCTTCTCTGGTATCCATTATTTTCCTTCTCTTCCATGTATTCTAAGTTACCAAGTTCTACCATAGCTGTCAACTTTTCCCTTTTCTTGCGAGGAATCCTATTTGGAATAAGGGAATTTCCCTTAAAAAAAGGGAAACGTTGGCAGCTATGAGTTTCTACTCTTCTTACTAATTATGTTCTACTTCCTCTTATACTGCTGAATTTATTCAAGTCCTGCTAATCTGTTCACGAGTTTATATAGATTTTTTAAATTACAAAAATTTTCCAGTCCTTTTTGTATCCTTTACCTTCTTGTTCTCTTTTTTTTTTTTTTTAAATCATATTTATTAAAGTTTCCAAAAATATAAAAATACAAAGAAAAAAAGAAAAAGAAAAAAAAGATATTTAAAAACCTTACTTTCATTGCCTACTTTCTGGGACTCCCCCCCCCCCGACTGTATTCCCTTTCCTTAATTTAGTTCTACAAGCTCTCACTCCCAATTTGAAGCTTAATTTGTTTAACCCACTATCCAAATTGAATTGTACAAATCTTACCACCGTCCCACATCATTAACAAGAAAACAGATTTTCCCCAAGATCCACCCCAGTTCCTTCCACGAATTCCCTTTTTTAAACACGTCCAATCAAAATAAAATGACATGCGTAAGTTATGTAAAAATAAAAATAAAAGATATAGAAAAATTCAAACCATGGTTACACAGCCTTTGGATTTCAAGGGTCCCCCCCCCTTCCCCGGGTTGGCTTCCCCATATCCATCAGTCTGTGCATTATCAGCTTGGATGGCTCAGTTCCTGACCAAATTTCTCCCGATTCCATCTTGCCGGTTTTCTTTTAATTTATTAATAATATGTAACTTCAAGTGTCCAATCTAACAAAGGCCTTTAATTTCCTTGATCTTTACCACTCCTCCCATTGTTCTTTCCGTGTCGTAATCAGTCCTTTGTTCTTCTTTTCCTCACTTTCTCAGGTTTCTTGTCCTGTTCAGCTGCTAAAACTTTCTAATTCAGAAATCTGATATCTCTGCAGAGGTTTGTTATTCAGGAACAAACTTACGTCCAGTCCCTTCCTTTCTTCAATAGAAAATTCTATTGTCTCCTTTAATGTAAATACCTCTGTAGACAAAATACTATTTCAGTTTTGCAGCTTTCCCAAAAGATAACAAGTCCTGTGCGAATCCCAGAGTATTTTTCCACTTACGACCGTTCTTGTAATATCCCGAAACCCCTAGAGGGGATTGTAATAACTTTGTATCCTCTAATCCAAAAGTCAAATTGTTGCTTATTTTCCAACAGTTTATATCCATATTGTAGCAAATTGTAGCAAAATTAACCGGCAAAGTCCTCATAACAAAGTCCTCTTTATATTCTCCAACTTTGACAGCCACTTTGACAGCTGTCAAAGTCTCCGTCTCTCTTCACCAAGCTCCACGAATCGCCCCGGTTCCCGGGGGGGGGGGGTTGCATTTTTCTTCTCACCCTCCACTCTTCTCCTCCAGCACAGTTCTTATAATTTCCCATCGTGAAATTAATGGTTTTTATCAAGAATATACTTCCCTTTGGACCTTGGTTACCCAGTCCTTGTTTTGGAATGCTTACAGTAGGGGGATTGACTTCCTTTTAAATCGCCCCGCTCGTGCCAAATCCGAAATTTTGAACCCGGTTTCCCAATTACTCACGGGTTGTTGTTAATAGTCCAAATTTTCAATGGAAGAAGTCAGCGCTCTCCGTCGAATGGCATGCGGCTGCGCTCGGCAGGAAAGCAGAAGACTCAAAGCACCACGCCGCTCCCCGGCACCCGATCCGAAGCCTTTAAAAGGCTCCTTCACGAGTCGGGAGGGCGCTAATGGTGCAAGCCGAGTCACCCATGTCCACGGACTCCGTGCCCGTGGTTTTTAAGGGTCCCCGCGTCGCCGGCGCGGTAGGACCCAGCCCCTGCCGAGCAGACTCCCTCCGGAGCTCGAAGGGAGTCCGCCATTCGGCGATGGCGCCAACCCGGAAGTCTACCTTCTTGTTCTCTTATTGATCAGACCTGCCAGCTCCGCATATTCCAACAACTTAAAGTGTCATTCCTCCTTGATTGGTACTCATCTTGTTACTTTTGTGTTTTCTTTACATTTTGTTGTTGTTTTTATAATATTTTGTACATTGCATTGAGATATATATTTGAAACACAAGAATTATTATTATTATTATTAGGCTCTATTACCTATCCAGTGTAGCAAAAACAATAGTCTTGTGACTCACAAACCTAAAGATTCACAAATTTATCTTGGCAAAAGCTTTTATTTGCTTTAATCCACTTCATGAAGTATAATAATAAAGCGGTAAGCATGTAATACATGATTCCGGCAGTGACTTTTTGTACCATAGTCTAACATAAACAGACCTTTTCAGGACTGTTCTGAGATGGATCCCAAGGCGTTGGCTGCTATTCCCTTGGATCTCCAGCTTCTGAACTGGCTTCTTATTTCAAGTTTATTTAACACATGTTTAGTTCACTCTTCCTCCAAGGTGCTCAGGGCAGCACATGTGCTGGGGTTTACCCCAGTTCATCTTCACAACAGGTGAGTTAGAATGAGTGGCTTGGGACCATCTGGTGAGCTTCATGGTAAGCAGAGATTTGAGCCCAGGTCTCCCTGGTCCTAGAGCTCCACTCCAAGCAGTAGATCCCAATGGCTTACTTTCTTCCTGCCAGCTTCCATCATTTCCTGATCCCTAACTTGGTAACTGAAAGTCTGCATCCTTGCAAGGATTTGTAGAGAGGCAATCTCCAGTTCTGGAACATCTTCCCTTTGGAGGCTCACCAAAGAAGGAGCTTGAATCCATCTGAGCAAGTTTGCAAATGCATCTCGTCCCCTGGTGACTGTAGCACCAAGGGATGACCTGCCCACATGAAACAGACATCACTGTCATTCAGCCTTCACAGGCAGACCTTATAAAACAGTGCTTTCCAGTGGAGACAAGTTTATGCCTTCACGGGCTTCCTTTGTTCCTGAGAATCAGCATTGTTTCCATTCTGCTGTACAGTGGTACATTGGTTATAAAACTTAATCCATTCTGGAAGTCCGTTCCAAAACCAAAGCGTTCCAAAACCAAGGTGCGCTTTCCCATAGAAAGTAATGCAAAACGGATTAATCTGTTCCAGACTTTTAAAAACAACCCCTAAAACAGCAATTCAACATGGATTTCACAATCTAACGAGACCATTGATCCCTAAAATGAAAGCAATAATCAATGTACTGTACTATGAAATAAATAAGACAGTATCGTAGACTATAAAAATTAAAATTATTTTTTCCCTTTATCTGCAGTGATGATAGTCATTGTTTGGATGGGGGGCTTTTATCAATTTCTGCAGTCACACAATCAATCAATCAGTCAGTCAGTCAGTAGCTGAACTGGGTTCCACACAGTCACAAAAACAAATCAACTGAAAAAGCCTCAAAAACAAAAATGCAAAATAAATAGGAAAAACAAAAGCGCCGTTCCGAAAGTCCATTTTACTTCTGAAATGTTTGAAAACCAAGGTGCAGCTTCTGATTGGTGCAGGTGCCCTAGAAACAGTAGCCGACAGCAGCATCGGACATTCAGCTTCTGAAAAACGTTTGAAAACCGGAACACTTATTTCTGGGTTTTCGGCGTTTGGGAACTAAGACGTTTGAGTACCAAGGTACTACTGTAGTTTGGCTTCCTCTGAAACTGTTAATCTGTCTACTATAGTTGAGGCTAACATAGTTGTATCATTAATTATGTAATCAATTTCAATACATTTCAATGGAAGGAAAATGACAAAAACAATGCAGGAAATAATGTAGTTGCTTCTGTAACATTTTGCAGACTAATATAAAGATAGCAAATACCACCCCTATTTGCATGGTTTCTGTTCCAGATCTCTGGCAACTATGTGAAATGCAGCAGCTTTTCTATTTTCATTTCTGATGGAATTCTCTGACTCCCTAAACTACAACTCACATCTTCTCTTGCTGATAGTTGTGAAACCATCCAGCAACATGCAGAGGTTCACAGTTTGCTCTTCATCTAAGTGTGGTTTCAATATAAAGAACCCCATACTTGTTCCTTTGTCCTTATTTGCTCCAACATTTATCAGTGTAAAAAAAAAAATCCTGCTATTTTTATATGTTGTTGTTGTTGTTGTTGTTGTTGTTGTTGTTGTTGTTGTTTTATCCTGGTCGGTGACCGTAATAAAGTTCATTCATCATCAACCCCAGCAAGGGAGGATACTTTGAAGTTGCTCAACCTCAGCATCTGGACAACAGACTCAGCAGGCATACAGATCACCTGCTCAAAATCTTCTCCACTACATTTGCACACATACACACACACATTTATATGCAAGGGAGAAATGTGTTTAGAGGAAGGCTTGGCAAATCCACACCGTGATCAACTCCCGCCCGGAAACCAATGTCCCCACTGTGGAAAGACGTGTGATTCCAGAATTGGTCTCCACAGTCACTTACAGACTCATTGTTAAAACCATGTTTATGGAAGACAATCTTATTCGGCTACGAGTGATTGCCAAAGACTCTATCTGTCTATCTATCTATCTATCTATGCACATGCACATTTTATACAGATTTGTGACTTTTTTTATGCCAATACAAGAGATGTATTGAAAGCTGTGCATATTTTTTTTAAGATCATACATCACTTTGGAAAGGATGGGAACCCATTCAAATAAAAGAAAGTAATTTTGTTAGGAAGTCATGATGCCCTGCCAAATTAAATTAACATTGTATGGCAATCAGTCAAGCAGCACTTCTTGCAACATAAAAACAAAACACCTTAAGCTTCACCCATATAGGAATGACATATGAATGGTTAGCTCACTGCCCATAAGCACAGGTACCTGCACCTGTGCCAGCAACAACTCTCTTACCTATAGAAGCCAGAAGCAGGACTGTGCCTAGAACTCGCTCCATGATAATGAGGTAGTAAGGACAGGGGATGTACAATTTTATTCCTCCTACCACAACTTTAGTAAATAATTGACAGAGAAATGAACTGGACCCTCTGTTCACAGCTCTAAGACTTCATCTTTCTCTTTGGACTTACACAACGCGTTCTCTCCCTAGCACATGTGGTGCCGCTAGTTTTGAAGAATGGAGTAGGCACTTTGCTGGAGGTGAGAAATGGCAGTTCCAGAACGTTGCTGTTTTGCAGGTGGGATTCAACCACGTAAGAACATAAGAAGAACCTGCTGAATCAGGGCCAATAGCACTTTCTTTACTTGTGAATCTCGACAACTGGTATTCACACTGCCTCTGACTGATGAGCCAGAACATATCCATTGTAGCTAGCAGCCACTCATAGCCTAATTCTTTTTTAAGCAATCTATGTTGGTGGCCATCACTATTTCTTGTGGTTGTGAATTCCATAGTTAAATCACCTTGCACAGTTATAACATAATCCCATCTAGTCCAGCCCTGTTTTCACAGGTTTCCGTATATAGGTTTCAATGGGAAACTCACAAGCAGAAACTGAGCACGTTAGCAATCTTCCCGCCTGCAATTCCCAGTTAAATTTAATTTGGTGCTGTCATGCAAACCTGATTCCTGCCAAATATGGCCTTTTTGTTTTTGTTTTGTAATGTAGTTTTTATTCATTTTCATCTTTAAACTGTTTAACAAGGTTGCATTGCGACGTTATCGAGAGGCTGGAGGGTAGCAACACGAGAACGGGCCTTCTGTGCAGTAGCTCCCTGTCTGTGCACTGCTCTCCCCAGGGAAGTTCACCTGGCGCCTTCATTATACACCTTTAGGCGCTAGGCAAAAAGGTTCCTTTTTAACCAGGCCTTTGGTTGACCTGATCAACATCCCATACCCTTTTAAAATGTGGCTCTTTTTGGGGGGTATTATTCGGTTATTGCTTTTATTTTATATACTGTGATCTTTTTATGTGAACCTTTTTATGTGATCTTTTTATGTGACCTCCAGGTATAGGGCGGTATATAAATTCAATTATTATTATTAATAATAATAATAGAAGAGCAATAATTACATAAAATTAAAAATAAAACAAACACTCAGATAAACATTTCTGTCTTTCTTTTTATTAAAGATTTTATTGATTTACAAAAGTGTGTGCAGTCTCTCTCGTATTTTTCCCCCATGTAACATTTTTACAAATCAGTTTCGTTTGTTGAGACATTAGGAAGTCAGATAAACATTTCTGAACATATCAACATAGTTTGTCAAAGTGTATATACCAAAGTTATTACAGCTATGAAATGATGTATTCTAATGTCTATTGCATAGATTGATGATCAAAGTAAAAAGTATTTTGTATCAGCAACAGTTAGAATTGATAGGAATTTATAGGAAGTGGGGAAGGGGGGAGTAAATATGTACTTAATACATGCCAGACTGTGCTGTAAACTATAGGTATTTTTACCATATACTTCCATTATTTGTGTAACCAATAATCACACCGGACTCTAAATTTTGTGTGTGTGTTATGTACGGTATTTAAAGGCGCCTCCTTAACAGTTGCCCTTAAAAGGCTTGAACTGAGCCCTAATATAATTCCTTTTTACATATAAAAAGACAGCAATAACATGAAATTCAGAATGACTCTGGTCAAATCATTGTCTCAGCCGATTCTCACAAGATCTTGTGAAGATATTGGTTGTTTATTTGCTCCATTTCTAAACTGCCCATCAACTAAGTCCTCAAATATTATGAGATGATGTATGTCTATAGTGAAGAGTAAATAGAAGCTGTTAGAAAACAATTAACGAATAGTTGAAAGTAGGTAGAAAAAGAGAAAGGTCTGAATGCTGTGATGTACCAAAATTTAAAAGGTTGCTTTTTAATTGAAAAGCAAAACATTTCCAATTTTCTATGACAAATAAAAACTTTTTTTTAAAAAAATATCTCTAACTAGGAAGGAAAACCAACATTAATCCTATAACGAGCGAATAAACAACTCTCTACGGAGAACTGTAAAATCTGCGGATCGCATTCGCCCTTCTTGCTGCAGCTCCACACCGGAAGCTTCCCTTCCTCCCCCGCCTCTCCGAAGTAGCTCCGCCCCTCCTCCCCATTGGGCAGCGCTGGGAAATGGGACGGGAGGGAAGAACCCAGCTCCAGCAGCGCGATGCATTTGCGTCATGGCCCCGCGAGAGGGCCGAGCGCCCAATGGGAACCTGTCTTTGGCGGCCTCCTTCCCGCCCCGCCGAAGGGCGGCAGCATGCGCAGGAGCCGGGAGTGGGCGGGGCCGTCGGGTCACGTGGGCCCGTCCCCCGCCGATGTGGTCAGCGGCTGCGGGGTCACGTGATTCGTTGCCTACGCGCGGTGGGGCCGGGTGCAGATGGCGGACGCCGAGGCTGACGCGGCCCTGCAGCCAGAGATGCCCCGGCTGGCCGCCGGCCTCAGCTCTCGGCTCCGGCAGCTGCAGGCGGAGCTCAGCGAGCAGGGGGTGGGCGAGGGCTCGTCGGGCGCCTATTGCCGGGACTTCTGTCAGGTGAGCGGGGCGGGCCTGGCGCGAGGGCGGTTATTTGGGGGGGGGCGGAGGAGGGCGCGCGCGCGGGACGGTTGGTGGCGGCGGAGGGGGGGAGGGCCAGGCTCGGCCGCTGGAGGAGGTTTGGGGCGCCGGGGGCCCGCGGAGGAGGAGGCGGCTGAGGCGCAAGGGGCCGCGGCGGCGGCGAGCCGTTGCCTGGCGCTGGGGAGGCGGGGCCGAGGGACCGTCCCTGTTGGGAGTCTCCGCCGACGCCGCTTCCCGTTTCTTCTGGCTTCGCGGGAGGTTCGGGTTCCGGGACCCGATGGCCGTCGCTCTTCTCGGGGGGGGGGGCTCCCTCCCTTCTCCGCCCAGCCCAGCGCGCTCGGGCTTTCTCTGCTCCCGCTTCCGGATGCTGGTGTTTTCGGCGCGCTCTCCCCGCCCCGCCGCCTCTTTTTGTGGCAGCGCCGGAATTGAAGGAGGAAGAGGAGCAGTCGGTTAAGCGGGGGGGGGGGGGGCTTCGTTTAACGAAATCCATGGCACCCCTCCCTGCTTCCGCGGACTCTTTCGCTTTTCCTCGCCGCTCTTTGCATCCACACCATGTCCTCTTTCGCTGCAGCTTTCTAACAGTCGTAGTTGAGGGGGTTATCTCCTTACATGTTGAGGACCTTTGTTTATTTGTTCCTCTTCCTTGTCAATAAAAATGTTTATCTGGATCTCTGCTTCTGATGGGGCTATGTTCAGTGTCTTGTATGAGTCTGCCTAAAGATGAGGCCTTGCTTCAGGAGCTCCTAAAGATTAGATGTGTGCCAGAGACAGGGCCCTTTCTGTGGTGGCTTCCTACTTCTGAAATCTCCCAACATATTTGCCTGGCTCCTATTTTTGTGGTTTGCTAAAGCCTTTTAATAGTAAACCAAAACTTATTTTCTCTGGGTTACCTATTGTTCCGAGAGTGTGGATAGAGTATAATATGGCTTTATTCTTATTTTTCTGTTTGCTTTTAGTTTTTGTAAGCAACTGTGAATGCCAGTTCACCTTTGCAATAAAAAACCTGTATTGACAACTTGGATGTCAGTCACTTTGTATGGTGTTTTGAATCGAATAGTCCTAATGGTATGACTTTATTTGAAAATGGAGTTCCAATTCTTTTTCCAACTCATATTGCAATAGACTTTGTATGTTAGATATAGTTTTGGGTTGAAAGTATCAACAAAATGTTTATACAAACATGAACATGCCACATTACCTATAATGGCCACATGGTTTCCATTACAAGCTTGCAACAGGTTAGTTAATATTTTCAGGTAGCTTTGTTGGATGTCAGTGTAGAAAGAAAGATTTGATGCTTGGAAATGATCAAAGGGTTGAGAAAGATTTGTGAATCAGTGAGTATGGGTTACCATTGAAGTCAAGTGGGTAGCTTCTAGAGTCAACATATTGGTGGTCCCCAAATTGAGAAGCTCTTCCTTAGACATGTTTTCCTGCTAAAGCTCTGTTACATTTTACTGTCAGATGAAGGCCATCCAGTTCTCCTTTGGGTTTGATGACTTTATACAATGGTTGGGTATGGATCATACAAAATGGTAACTTAATATTTTGGATAAAGGTTTTCACCCATTTATTGTATAAATGGATTGAGATAATGTCCAATGTTGTTACGATTAAGAAGAACCATCTAAGAGTACTTTGGAAGAACACCTCCACCCCTGCTGACATGAACTGCTCATAGCACTAGCACAGGGAGGCAAACCACAGTGGAGGGAGCCCTTTAATATTGATTTAGATGGTGCCTTCTATGCATGTGGTGCTTTAGAAAAAATAAGAGTACAGTTTTGCCATGCAAAAATAGGAGGGAAATGGAGGCATGTAAAAACAGGGCCAAGAAGATGCAGTTATTTCAGTTATGCATTTATTTAGGCTAAAGTTTCATTGAGCAGGCTTTTGGGACTAGGGCAGCCATGGCTAACCAGTGAGCTGGAGCACAATTCTGAGTCTTGCCTTTGCTGATTGGGACTGGTGGAAGTTTTAAATCTCAATAGCATCTGGAGAATGGCAGGTTAGCCACCACTGGGCTATATGGTTCTAAAGGCTTCAGCTGACACCATGAGTGCTTGGAATAGCTGCTTTTAGTGTCCACCAGGTCCTGCAATACTAAAACATCCTGGTCACTTTGTGTTGCTCTGAACCATTGACATATAGAAGGACTGGAGCACAGAAAAATGTGAATGCCACATGACCTCCAGAAATGGGTGATGGTTTATATTGTCAGCTTGGTTCATCAAGTAGACACATGGGTTTTAAAGAGTTGTAAGCTAATAATTGTGGGACGCGGGTGGCGCTGTGGGTAAAACCTCAGCGCCTAGGACTTGCCGATCGCATGGTCGGCGGTTCGAATCCCCGCGGCGGGGTGAGCTCCCGTCGTTCGGTCCCAGCTCCTGCCCACCTAGCAGTTCGAAAGCACCCTTAAGTGCAAGTAGATAAATAGGTACCACTTTATAGCGGGAAGGTAAACAGCGTTCCGTGTGCTGCTCTGGTGCCAGTTTGCCAGAGCAGCTTCGTCACGCTGGCCACGTGACCCGGAAGTGTCTGCGGACAGCGCTGGCTCCCGGCCTCTAGAGTGAGATGAGCGCACAAGACTGGCCCGTACGGGCAGGGGGTACCTTTAAGCTAATAATTATTCTTCTAGGCTGCCTTGACTTGTATGGAAACAGGTGACATTTGAAATTTAGTTCAAAGCTCAGAAAATGTAATTGTGTTGGATTAGCCTAAAGAGAAGTGATTGTGTTGATGTCCCAGTGAAAATGAGATCTTTACTGCCTAGACAATTCAGCTTAATGATAACCTTTTATTTTCCATGTTTGCATCTTACTTTTTTTTTTGTAATGTCCTACAACTTTTGTTAAAACATAATTTTAGGTATTCAGTACTAGACTTAACAGAATGGTTGAGTTGTTAGATTTCTAGATGAGATGCTGCTGCACCTTAGGACAATGAATCACTTTCAAGTCTTCCTGCTTTCAATACATGAACCTACTAGCTTTTGATGGGATATCACATCCATGTTTATATGTCTCTGCTATTGTGTGCTGTGGTGTTTGATATAACAGCAACGGGGCTGTTATAAATCCATGTAGGAATACAAAAATGATAAATGGCTGCATTCAGTTAAGTTTACTCTGTCATTAATAGATTAATTAAAGTCATTATTTTCAGATCTACTCCAAGGGAGACTAAAATTGGTACAACCTAGAGCAGGCACCCCCAAACTCGGCCCTCCAGGTGCTTTGGGACTACAACTCCCATCATCCCTAGCTAACAGGACCAGTGGTCAGGGATGATGGGAATTGTAGTCCCCAAACATCTGGGTGGCCGAGTTTGGGGATGCCTAACCTAGAGGGTTTTGCAGCAACTTGAATATAAACAAATTTAGTCTAGACTCAAGATCATGCAGGTGTATGGAATGTCTTTGCTATGTGAAATTTCAAAAGTACAATATGTGACAATTCACTCAAGTGATCGTTAACAACATTGACCTGCAGATAAAATTGCAGTGCAGTGCCACCAACCTAAAGATTTGTGAAGGAGTTGTATTTTGAGGTCAATAGCATGACCATGGGTACTCTCCTGTCCCAACAATATGCGAACATACTCTTCAATTCCTGTCCTAAAATATCTTGTTTCTGCTGTACCAGCCTAACACAGCTATCCTTCTGTATTTCCACCTTGAGATACAAGTAGCTCTCTATTGCAGTGTTTCCCAAAATTCTGCTTGCTGAAGCACACCTTTTCTGATTTCAGCTGGAGAAATGTTTTACTCATAAATCCCAAAATGTTCTCCTTTTTACATTTTGTAAGGGTAATAGCTACCCTTCCCATATCATAGAGTTGGAAGGCATCCTGAGGATCATTTAGTCCATCCCCTGCAATACAGGAACCTTCACTAAAACATCCATGACAGATGACCATCCAATCTACTTAAAAACCTCCAAGGAAGAGGGAGTCCACCATCTTCCAAGGGCGTCTGTTCTACTGACAAACAGCTCTTACTGTCAGAAGGTTCTTCCTGCTGATGTCGGAATCTCCACTTGAATCCATTGGTTTGTGTCCTACCCTCTGGAGCAGGAGAAAGCAAGCTTGCTCCATCTTCCATGTGAAAGTCCTTTAGATATTTGAAGATGGCTATCCTCTTCTCTCCATCTCTTTTCCAGGCTAAACATACCCAGCTCCCTCAACCGTTCCCCATAAGGCTTGGTTTCCAGAGCCTTGACCATCTTTGTTTCACACCTTCCATATTGTCAATATCCTTCTTACATTGTGACATTCAGAACTGGACACAGTACTTCAGGTGTGGTCTGACCAAGGCAGAATAGAGTGGGACTGTACCTTCCCTTAATAAGAGACTAGACTCATGTTGATGCAGCCTTGCCTAGCATTCATTCTTTCTTCTTCTTCTTTTTGCTGCTGCTGCATCAAACTCCTGTCTCATGTTGTCTACTAAAACCCCTAGATTCTTTTAACATGTACTACTGGCGAGCCAAATGCTCCCCAGTTGGTTATTCCTGCCTAAGTGTAGAACCTTGTATGTTTCTGCGTAAGTTGCTGATCTGATCATGCCTCTTCATTGGAGGGTGGCAAACCAAGGACAAAGACACACCTGACATCCTTCTCAAAGGAAGACAATTCTTTTAAATTTCTGCATCTAAATATATTTAAAGAACTCAGTTGCATCCCCATCCTGTGAGTATCGACTCACAGTATGAGGGTGTCCTTTGCAAAGTCTCTGCTGGTGGACCCCCTCCGACGCTTGTGCAATCAGCAGCACACATAGTGCTCCAATGAGCAGCATTCAAAATTCACCAAGCACCAACCCCATTTTGCACCTGGCTATCGGTCAATTGCAACCAAGTGAAGATGCCAGGGTGCCAGAATGGTGCCTGATGTCTCCACCATCTGGAGGTGCATGCCTGGGGGTCCTTGGATCTTGCCTGTTTTTGCACACTATCAATACATCCTAAAGAATTTTCTGTCCATTGTATTTCATCTGCACAATCAGAATGAATTTCAGGAACCAAAAAGTTGTCTTGGAAAACACAACTTTTGAGCTGTCTGGCCCCAAAATGGCAACAGCATTCTGTTCTGGTGACTGTAACTCTGGTTTAAGCTGCTATTCTGTGCTTAGCTTAAATATCTTGAGTTTTTAACACTGCCAATGAGTACTTGGTAGCTACTCATTATGTCAGTGGCTGGGACCTCAGCAGCTTTCCAACTTTGCTGTGAGCTTAGTTGAATCTGGATACAACTGATTTATTCAGGCAGAACAGAGGCTGATTGGAGGACAAGGCCATAACAAGTGACTATGGGGAGACACTTGGCAGCCATTCTGTGGGAGAGTGCTATAGTGCTCATGTCCTGCTTGTGGACTTCGTATAGACATCTTTTTGGCCACTGTGAGGACAGAATTCTGGACTAGATAAGCCCCTGAGAACTGCTCTTAAGTTCATTGAGATTGTATTTGGGGCTCATGGACTCTTCTGTTTGGTTTTCTGTGGCATGCTGTGTGAGAGTCTCCACTCTTACTTAGTCTTCCTTACCTGTTGATAGCGTTGCACAGTTTGTGGGAATGGCTTAGTTTTATCTTTACAGGAATTGGGGATGCAACCATGTAAAGTATGAATTGAGCAGATGAGAAGTCAACAAGCAGTAGGATATCAGGTGGAGGAGCTGGGGTGCAGGTGATGGTTGCTTTAAAATCCTACCCATTCATGAGAAAGGATTGACTTGGTTCTTGATGTATCCTCAGGGAAAATGCTTGATTGTACATAAACCCAACAAATAAAATTACCAAACACGAGTAAAAGCACCAACCAAAGAGAACATGAAAGATGGAAGGAACTTGAGAAAGCTTTCATGAAGTGGGAGAACTGATGATCCTGGAAAAAACTAGTAGCAGAAAATAATGTCACATTTCTTTTTAAAGGGCAGATTTTTACAAATTGAGAAAATCGCAAACTGTGTCATGAACAAAAAGGATGCAAAAGGGTGTGTGTGTTGGTAAAGGTAAAGGGACCCCTGACCATTAGGTCCAGTTGTGACCGACTCTGGGGTTGCGGCGCTCATATCGCTTTATTGGCAGAGGGAGCTGGCGCACAGCTTCCGGGTCATGTGGCCAGCATGACTAAGCTGCTTCTGGCGAACCAGAGCAGCACATGGAAACGCCATTTACCTTCCCGCTGGAGCGGTGCCTATTTATCTACTTGCACTTTTACCTGCTTTCAAACTGCTAGGTTGGCAGGAGCAGGGACTGAGCAACGGGAGCTCACCCCGTCGCGGGGATTTGAACCGCTGACCTTCTGATCGGCAAGCCCTAGGCTCTGTGGTTTAACCCACAGCTCCACCTGTTGTGTTGTGTGTTGGTGGGGTACCATTAAATAGGAAAAGGGATACACTGTTAAATGTGAAAGTGAGTTCTGTTGTTCTAGTCATCTGACTGTAGAAATGGGCAAACTCTACAAAACTGTAAGTTATACAGTTAAATGATGCATCACTTATACTTTATCAGTGCCAGAACTAATTCCAACTAGTGGGAGATGTTTGAACTGACATAATTACATGGAAATTCACTTTTGCTTGTTTCAGTACAGAGCCAGGTGTGTGTTCTGTGTTTCAGTACAGAGCCAGGTGTGTGTTCTTTTGTAAGAGCCAGGTGTGTGTTCTGTACCAGTTAGTTCCTCCATTCGAACGTATTCCTAGAACATTGTATTTCACCTCTTTATAATTTTGTAAGGTGTCTTCTGTTGAGACACAGCGTCAAGGCATATGTATGGAATGTCAAAAGTAATAGTTCATGCCATTCCAGCATGCTTAAGTCTTCTAGAATCACAAATACAGATTTGGGCAAAATGATTTTCTAGTTAATGTACTCAACAAATCTTTGTGGAAATAAGTATTGCTGGGGATAGCAAGATCTGTGGAGCATATGCCACTCTTCCTTGCTGCAACCCTAAGATTTTCCAGAATCCAACTTCTGATGATCACATTGACACATTTGTTTCATTGACACACAGAAATGGGGCACTGGGTGTTAGTAGCTGAGTGTAGCACTTTGCATAAAGCTGTGATTATTGCTGTGAGGTGCTGGATGTGACAGGGAAGTTCTGTGATGCTGCAGACATGTACACACTTACAGAATAAATGTGTTTAAGAAGTATAATCAGAAAGCCTTCTAATTATGAACCTCCTAATTATGAAGTATTGAGTTGACCCTAGCTGTTGACGGGCAGCAAGAACTATATTCCTATATTCAAGAAAGCTCACCTGCTGTAGATCTTGGCTTTTTATTTATTACTTGACTCACTAGGATGATCTGAGATAGTGTGCAAGCAGTTGACTACTCTGTGTGTGCGAGTGCGCACGTGTGTGGTTTGGGTATTTTTTTGCACCTTTACTCCATAAACTTATGACTGGATAAAAAGCCTTTCTGTTTGCTTTTGCTCATATAAAGAAGAAAGCTAAAATAATATTCCACCATTTTTTAAAAATAATCATGGGAAAGGTTGGTGTTCAGACTAATGAAAGAACATGGCCAAATACTTGAATAGTCTGGTTAAACAAGACAGTGAGCTTAAGTACATTTATAGCTATACAAATGTAAGAATATTTAGCTATGATATTTGATAATTCATTGAGAACTGCTTGTGGTCACAAGAGGCTGGAAAAAGAGTAAAATACAAGCGTTTAAATTTAACTTCCACTATTCAAGCTGCTAGCAGTTGGTAGACACAATCTTGCAGCTTTTCTTTTTGCGCTGGGGGTGAAAAGCACTATATTGGGGCTACTGTAGTTCTCTAGAAGTAATAATAATAATAGTAGTAGTTGTTATTATATATATATATATATATATATATATATATATATATATATATATATATCCCCCACCCATCTGGCTGGGCTTCTCCAGGATTGAAACAGCTTAAAACATCCTGAAATTTTGCCCACCTGGCTTCTTCAGAGAGCTTGGATGAATGTAATTAGGCCCACAGAGTGAAGTGGATTGAAACAATTGAGTAGTCAGGTACCAAGTTTAGGTGAGCCCAAGGGCTTGAGTTTGCCTACAGGGTTTTTGATTTAGAACAGCAGATCCCCATGTGGAATTGCAAATTGCGCTGGAAAGCACTTACTGGTTTGCCATGTGACTGCAGTGGCTTATAGCTGAAAAAACAGAAGCCCAAAGTCCCCTTAGACATGCAGAACTCACACAAAAAACCTGCCTGCAACTTCCCAGGGCAGTGTTGTCAAGCAGTAAGCAAATGCCATCGAGGATATGTTCACAGGAAAAGGAAAACAAAGACAGCAAGAGACTTGGAAAGTTAATGATTCATCTCTGCCAAGTTCTAATAGGCCCATTTGGATTATCAGGTTAAAATTGATGTAACAAGAGAAATTGAAAGGATTAGTGAGTATGTAAGTAAAGCACATGGAACACTGAGGGTGTTATGCTTATCAATACTGTGCACAGTAGAAAGGTGTGTTTCTCAAGCAGTGTTCAGAATTCAGATCCATGATCAGATCTACCTGTCAGAGGTATTGATGAAAAATATGGTTTGATTTATTGTCACACTGGCAGCTTTCTAGCTAGTTATTTTTTGTTTTATTTACCTTTGTCACCTAAATTAACTTAGTGCAAAGGATTAAAAAAGGGGTTTCCTATCAGCTCAATGAGGTCAAATGTCAATTTATAGTTCATTTGTATTTGTATTAAAAGTGCTCTTCCTATGGGGGGAGGGGTTGAAAGGAGGTAATAATAAACCTGATTTAGGAAAACTTTAGTTCAAAGTTAAAAATGTAAGCATTAAACTAGGCCAGGGTAGGTAATGATCCATATCTCCTCACCTCTCACAAACTGACTTGGAATCGGTCAGTAGGAACACATATCTGTCCGTCACCTGATGTCTTAATGATTTGAGGTGATTGAGCAATCTCAATTGAACTTTGGCAGGTGCTAGTCAATTGATGCTGGGGATGTACCTTCAAAGAGGTAGGCAGGGCTCGTATCTGTAACCATTCCTTTGACATTTCTGTAGAGAAAGAGGTTTGGATGCAAAGCACTTCTTCCAATAACATACATCCAAGCCACTTTCTCCAGTTCCATCTGCTGCAGTATGAAGTTCCCAGTGGGGACTCCCTAATGCTCCTAATCTCATAGTGCTCTCTTCTGATCAGCTGGTAGTTGGGGCCTCAAAGTGCCTGAAAATCCCTTTTTGGCCTGGAGAATGACTTTACCTCCTGCACACCTGAGCTTTTGGATATCAGATGATGTCACCAATATTATAATACGTAGGACAGGTGGACATGGCTTTGGCCTGTAATTAGGCCTGTGAACCAAAGTTTTCACACTCGGTTTAGGCCATGAGTTCTTAGTGAAACTTAGAAAATAATTTTGAAAGACTGTTGAGGTGGTTCACATGTCATAGCAAGCCATAGCTAGTTTTTAGCTATGGCTTGCTTTGGCATGCAGACTGGCCATTGTTAAAATGCTGTAGAGGCTCATGAATTTTGTTTAGTCATGAGAAATAATAGCATGTAAGACTGAGCTCCTGCATCAGCACTTCACCTGACTTGACTCTTGGTACATTATAGCAGCTGTGGTAAAATTCTAAAATATTATTGAAATTATTCCTTGTAGTGTTTTGATTTTTAAAAACTCCTCTTAAACTATATATTGTTTTCATGTTTAAACAAAAGTAAAGTAGATGTTAAGAACTTGGTCTAGTTATTTGTCAGTATAGTTCTTCTGCTGAGCCACAAGAGTTGGTGTATTTTTTTCGCTGTAAGATTAACACCTCTTGGTTTCCTAAATGCTGGGATGTGAAAACCTGGACCAAGACACCCCAACACTCTTTTGGTTAAAAGCAACTGTGAGGGATTTGGATGTTGAAGTTGCAGGGATGTGATTTCTTTCCTCTGCTTCCCCTGACAACACACTGATTGACTTAACTACTTCACAAGCTGTTACTAAGCACAGAAAGGGAGGAAGACAGAGATGCTATTGGTTCTGCAGCTGCTTTTAATGAAAGAAAAATATTTTGGGAAAACCTGATCATGGATTTTCCACATTCGCCTAGTTTGGCCCTTCTTTTTCAGGGTCTTCCTGAAAGGTGTATGCAATGCATAGCTCAGTCCTGCTGATAGCCGCACTATATTTGACAGAAACCCTGCATAGACTGCATCACTGGTTGTGAGCATAAACATGTATTATGCTCTTGTGAATGGGTTTGGCATGTGCCACTATATGCTTGGTGAACGTGATCCTCCCAAGAAAAAGAAAGAAAGAAAGTGATTACCTTGTAGGGAAATGTGATGGATGTTAAATCTTACCCACAAGATGTGAATACAAATTTTCATTGTGAGGGTATAGAAAGACTTTTGAGTGCAGGTGCTGTGTCTACAAAAGGCTGCAGATAAAACTTGCTAGTTCATGAGCTTATACTCTACTGCTATCATATAGCAGTTCTTTCAGGAGCTGCATTCTTGAAAGTCCATAAATAATAGTAATTAGTATTAGCAGTTTTGCTTTAGGAGGAAGGCAAAAAAAGAGTAGAGTGGCAGGTTGCCATTTCTTTGTTTTTGCTTTTGAGAAAAGTTGGAAAGTGTAATATCCTCAGCATAGAATTATAACATTGCCTTGAAATAGCTTAATCAGAGTTGAGAACAAATATTACCGCATTACATCTTTTCATTTATAGACGTTGCTACAATATGCTGACAATCCGGGTGCTTCGGAGCATGTTCTGCCTTTCTTGGAAGTGTATCAAGTCGCCATTCAGAGCTTTGCCAATGCCCGACCTTACTTGACTACCGAATGTGAAGAAGTTCTTCTGGTAATTGGCAGGCTAGTGTTGTAAGTACATTTGGGACATGACTTTTTAACAGAAAAGAGAATTTGATCAACAGCAGAGATTTTCAAGTTACTGTGCCCACCTGTCCGATATTGAAAATAGCATTCCCTGTATCAACAAAGCAGGGTGCCTGTTTGCATACATCCTTGGGTGGGGGAAGGTCATTACCAAAGGTGAAAACAACTATTCTGTATTTTCAAAAAGGCAGTGGAAGTTGGAATGCTCTCCTCACATCTCTGGCATGCAGACACCCCACTTCGTTGTAGGAATTTGTGGGGTCTGTATACTGACAGCAAAGCATGGGGCAGTAGTGTGAGGCTGCAGTCTTTCGGGCCGTGGAGTAGATAAAAATAAATGATTTTTTCAATTTTTTTTTAAAAGTCAGATTTTTAAAATTTAATTTTTTAATTTAAATTGGAATTTTTTATTTAAATCGGAATTTTTAAAATAAAATGCTTTTGGAGGAAAAATCTTTCTAAACATAGTTTTCTATTTAAGTTACATTATAGTCCAAAGGCTGTTCATCAGGAATTAAGGATTTGTTTTTAATTATGTAGCATGAGGCTTTATATGCAATGTTTAATTTTTTTGGATAAATGAATTTTATTAATCCATTCACAATGTCATGTTCTTCCAGAGGTTTCTGTAAGATTATTTGGGGCATTTTTTCTAACGAGAAGATATTATCACAGATACTTGTTTAACAGTTCTCAAAAGTGTGAATTTGTGTCTGCACAGATAACATGCCTTTTTTTCACGGAAAAAAGTTATAAAATACACATACAGAGTTGAGGAAAAAACCTTAATCCCATTGTTCCTTTGCAAATTTATATACACAGAATCAACCCCTTACCACTTAAATTCCAAGAGGTTCAATGAGTAGATTGTTTGGAGTGGAATAGATCTTCACAAGTAGCTAAGTGTGAAGCAGTAAAAATGAAAGTGCAGAATACTCCGCAAGTCTTGGGATCTTTGTGTAATAATTGTGCAAGTCAGTTGCATGTCTGTGCAACTCAGACTTGAGGCAAGTGCTGAAGGCGCTTCAGGCCTTGCAACCAATCCCACTGGGTTCCAACAACTGCACTAACACTTAACTGTACAGAATACAGCACCTGAATGTAGAAGCAAATCCAAAGGGGTGGTGGTGGAAATAGTAACTGGGATCTTCAAGTCCTTGGCGAGACCTTGAAGTGCTTGCCAGTCAACTAATCGGGGTTCACTGGTTCCAGGCCCTTCTTTCCAGGGCTCGCCTGACATTGTCCAAACAATAAAGTCTGTACCTGGAACTTCAGTCCTGCAGGAATCCCTGAAGTTCTCTGCTCCAGTCCTTGGTTCCTCTTTTCCAGCTTTCCACCAGCCTGTTTCTCCTCAACCTGTTCTTTCTGCAAGCCTGTTCCAGCCTAGGCCTACCAACTTTATCTCTCTCCCCCGCCCCCATTTCTCCTCTAGAAAAAGGAAGGCCAGCCTCTCCAAAGCCAGGCCTGCTGGGAGATATAGTCCCTCTGAGATCCCATTACATTTATATTTATAGTCTGAGATTTATCACAATATTCTCTCCCTGGAGGAGAAAACTCAGTCTTAAGGGGTTGTTTTTTTTTTGTACTAAAACTCAGTCTTAATTTTTTAAAAAATTGTTTAACCACATCAGTTAACAAACATGGATACATATGCTGTAATGTTACTGTTTTAGTTAAATAAATTGTTTAAATGGAAGGAAATGGTTATAAAGTGCAGCAGAAGAGTTGTCCAAATATAGTTAACATTAAACCTCACAATAATTTCATAATTATCTGTCTATGTATTTCTTAAGAGTATAAACAAATCAGTATTTTTTGATATAACTGTAAAAACTACTCTGAAAATTTATTATTCCAAAAATGAAGCCTTCATCTGGTTGTAAATATTAAGATTATACCAGCAAGAATAAGTCTTTCTGTAAAAAAGTGATTGAAATCAAGTCTTACTGACTAATGATTTAAATCAGACCCACCCTGTTGGGCATGGAGTTTGGCATGGAGACCAGTTGCTTCTCTTTAACTTGAGACCCAAAGGATGGGGGGGGGGGGAGTTGGCTGGGAGGATGTACACCCTAGGATGTGTATCCTCCAGGGCCAATGCCACCTCACTTTCAGGATCCATTCTGTGGCAAAGGTTACTCCCTTCCCTTTTAGCTTAAGTGATCAGGAGGTGGGAGGAACTCTGCTGAGAGCATGCATAACTGCTAGGATTTTACCAATCTGTTTCCTAAATTTAGGACAATGGGAAGCACCAGAGACTGTGCGGTGTAGTGGATAGAGAGCTGCACTTGAATCAGGGAGACTTAATCCGTTTCATGGGAGTGTTGTGATTGGGGGAGGAGAATGTATAACCCTGTATACACTGACCTGGAGAACGGTGGAATGCAAGTTTAAATTATGTGTAGAGAAATAGGCATTATTGTGAACTTGTAAATGGTATGGATCATGCCATCTTCTCCCCACGCTGCATCTTAGTGAATCTTGAGCCTATCTACTTTAGTTCCCGGGCTACATATATTATAAATGGTACTTCTTTGGAACTCGGTACCTGAAAATTCAAAATGTGAATGAATCTGCAAGACCATTATTATGCATCACATTGGTTTTCTTAGGTCAAAGATTCTGTTAAGAATAAGCTGCCAATACAGCCTGAAAATCATTCAGTGCTATAATTCCAACTAAATACTGTTACAGTGCATCTATCTTGAGTTCTTCTCATGGGAAGCAGCATCACTGCTAGTAGCAATTGTTATGCTGCTTAACAGCTTCAGCTCTTTTCTACTATGTTTTCACATTCTTTTGACCTAGAGAGATTATAAACAGAGGTACAAAATGACCCAACGTGCTACTTCTTAAATGGTGGTCCTAACTAGCTTGGTTCTGTGATTTATTTATTTCAGGAGCTGTTTTGAACTACTGCTTTCTGTGCCTGAAAGTGAGGAGCAGTCTGAACCATTGTTAAGACTGTTTCAGTCTATACAGGCAAGTATTTTTCATCTCTATTCTACAGAGGGCCCTGTTTCAACAGTTTGCATCTAGAAATACATATTTTCAAATTATAACTAAGTAGGCTGTGGTATTTGTGGTAGTTCTTTAGTTGAATCCAGTATAAAATGGGAATAAATACATTATGATTAAGTATACCTTACCTGGATGTCTTATATGAATTTTAGTTCTTCATACAGCCTTTAATATATAGTGAGGTTGTAAGCATCCTTTTGTAACTTTTTATGTGATAGAAGAGTGCTCCAGTAGTGCAATATCCCCTGTCTCACATTGGGAGTAGAGGTTTGGGGAGACTTCTTTTAAAAGGAGGAATGTCTGCTAGAAGGGGACAATGCACAGCCTTCAGAGAATTAAATGGAGATAGTCAAATGTACCATTAAATAACACTATGGTGACATATAGGACAAAGCTTTAATGGCTAAAGTAATCTACTTTATCAGACTAGGAGAACAGCACAAGACAGCATATTTTCAGGCAAGAACGGACTAATTTCATTGATTATTGTAGGAGATATGGATGGTTACCCACTGCATGTTATGAATTCTCCATGTTTTGATGTAAGGAAGGCTATGTTACTCTGGGCTACTTGCTGTATAATTATATAGTGAAATTTCTATTACATAAACTTGTAGGCATGATCTCAACATGACTAACTGTAAGATACCTTCGTTTGTATCTACTCCTTTTTCCAAGCTATGTACCTCATACTAGAAATGGAATAAAAAAACCCTCCTCTAAATATGATGGTGGGGGACACATTAACAAAGCCAAAGATATTCAGTGGATCTGCTCTGAGTTCATTGGATATTACCCAGTGTAATTAAATGCAGGAAAAATGCCGTATTTCTGCAGCCTTTTCTTACAGCCTTGTGTAGTGATCCCAACTGAGATATTGGAAATGTAGGAATTTATATAACAGTAATAATAATAATTTATTACTTGTACCACGCCCATCAAACTGGGTTGTCCCAGCCACTCTGGGCGGCCTACAACAGAATATAAAGAACACACAATACACCAGACATTAAAAGCTTCCCAATAGATGTCTAAGGAAGGTTGTATAATTGTTTATCTCTTTCTCCAACATAGGATTCCCATAGTGCTTTACTTAAATTTGGAGACAATAGCCTCGAAACACTGGCTGACATTTCAAAGGAAGGTGTATGGAAGAATCCAGTTCTCTTAAATATTATATCACAGCAGCCTGTAGAAGCAGAAGAAGGTAAGATATTGAGACGTGTACCTCAAATGAGAATTCCATTACTGTGCCACTGTTATGATGTGAGCAGTAGCTAGTCTTTCACACTGAAACATTTTGCTCCTAAAGAACTGAGCAAGATGATAGGTGTTCCTCAACTGCTGCTGTGAAGAGCATGCAGAGCTTTACCATGAATCCTGAGATGTCATTTTCACTCTTCCAGTCCTGTAGCATTCCCTTATCTGCTAGCTTTCCTTGGCCTAGATTCTAGGGTGAAGAAAAGTACTTGGCCTAGTACTGGCTTCTTGTTCATTCTTTCCCAACGCTGTGGTCATACCCCTTTTATTACATATGGCTGCCGTTCGTTACCTGTTGTGAAACTGCTCATATAATAAGATTTGAGGGTTTTATTCAAAGAACCATAAAGCACAGGGAGAAAATTTTTTTGAGCTGTTCCAGGAACTCTTGCACAAGAGCTAGCGGAAGACAGTGCTGCACCACAATGTGTTGGGTTGCATTATAGTATGAGAAGCAAAAGCAGAATCTTGTGACAGATTTTATTATGGCACAAACTGTAGTCTCCTACATCAGATAGAAACATGGGGAATATTGAATTAGGAAAATACTGAATGTAGCATATAGTCTTTAGTGCAGGCAGTAAAAGAAGCCTTTGGAGTCTGAAGAACTTCTGGGTTTTCTCCTACAGTGCTGTGGACAGGAAATGTTTTCCACTAGTTTAAGAGCACCTTTTAGATCCAGCATTTAGATCGTTGTGAAGTTTTTCTGAATGAATCTTGTTAATAGAGTTGAGGAATTCCCGAGTATTTATGCCACACACCCTTGCTTATGATGGGTCATTCACAGATTACTGTTTCTCTGTAGAACTGCAAACTCAAACCCACCATAGATCATTTCCCACTGTTTTCATTACAGGCTACAACCATTTTAGGTGCGTCCAATTGATAAGTAGTCGCCAATGCGCAGGTTCTTTTTGGATCTGGAAGAGGGCAGAATGGGAGCAGGGCAGGGTGTACCAGGCTAGGGCCTATACATGCTCAGGGTGGAAACAACCCCCATGTGAAATGGTCACTGCCTGTACTTGGGGATAAAAGTGAGGCAAGATGAGAGTCCTTTGTTTGGTTGGGAGTCTTTTCCTTAACCAAAAACTTTCTCCCCTTCCACCTCCCCCCAATGGATATGTAGTTTAAATTCTAAAGAGTTTCAGGAATTCTAGAACAGAAGGCCATGAAATAGGCTGTTAGATGCCAACCACTGGCATACATTACTGCTTGAGCTAAATTCTGGTGATAGTGTATGCAAAAATCTTTTCCACTTCTTTTCTAGTCAACAAACTGATTAAACAAGAAGGACCAGTCTTTATGCAGATGCGAATAAAATACTTGATGAAAACAAACCGCCTTCGGCAAGCTGCTTCCCTATCCAAACTGTGCAAAGAGTCCACGGAAATTTCAAATACATTGCCATTTCTCCAAGCTTACATCACTTGCTTGTGTTCCATGCTTCCAACTGAAGAATCTATCAAAGAGGTGAGTGGGCAAGCTCTGATCTTGGTGGTGTTACCTGTTCAATGCCTTTTAATTGTGCTTTGTATTTCTAAAATGTATTGCTTTATTGCTCTGGAAGTAGCTTTGGAACTACTGTTTTTACCACAACAGTAGTTCTAAAGCTACTTCTAGACCAATAAAATATTGGTGATATATACCGTATTTTTTGCTCTATAAGACTCACCTTTTCCCTCCTAAAAAGTAAGGGGAAATGTGTGTGCGTCTTATGGAGCGAATGCAGGCTGCGCAGCTATCCCAGAAGCCAGAACACAAGAGGGATTGCTGCTTTCACTGCGCAGCGATCCCTCTTGCTGTTCTGGCTTCTGAGATTCAGAATATTTTTTCCCTTGTTTTCCTCCTCCAAAAACTAGGTGCGTCTTGTGGTCTGGTGCGTCTTATAGAGCAAAAAATATGGTAAATATTAATAATAAAGCCAAGATATTTGCTGCGGAGAGACGGAGCAGAGGATTCACTTCTAGAAGTCTGCCTCTGCTGATACAAAGTAACATTAGAATTTTATTTAATGGATACAGTGGTACCTCGGTTTAAGTACTTAATTCGTTCCGGAGGTCCGTTCTTAACCTGAAACTGTTCTTAACCTGAAGCACCACTTTAGCTAATGGGGCCTCCTGCTGCCGCCGTGCTGCCAGAGCACAATTTCTGTTCTCATCCTGAAGCAAAGTTCTTAACCCAAGGTACTATTTCTGGGTTAGCGGTGTAACCTGAAGTGTATGTAACCCAAGGTACCACTGTATTTAAAATCCTGTTCAAAGCAGCTAATAACAGTTTAAAACCCCACAATGAGTGAACAATAGAAAGACTATTTAAGAAACAAGCCATTAAAAATAAAACACTGTAATTCAGGCCAATAAAGCAGTACAATATAAGATCTGAACTGCATTGTTTTTAGGTGCTTTTCGTACTTCAGGTAACGAGCTGGGCTATGCCTTTGTTGACAATATGGACTTTAACACAGCTACTGTAGTGGCACAAACTACTGATTGCAGAAAGATAGAAAAGTCTTCCTGAAAGTACCTTTGTGTGTGCAAAGTGGTCTTGAATGAAACTATTTACAATAGACTTCTTTTGGATTTTTGTTTTTGAAAGATTGCAAAGGTGGACTGCAAAGAGGTCCTGGATATGATATGTAATCTGGAAGCTGAAGGTCAAGATAGTACTGCATTCATTCTTTGTACAACATACCTCACGCAGCAGCTTCAAAATGGAAATGTGTACTGCTCTTGGTAAGTACTATGTCCAGATATTATTTTCAAATGCATGTATTTGCTATTCTGGCTCACATAGGTCATTGAAGTAGCTCACATTAAAGAGAATGTTATCATTCTATGTGAATGAAATTTATTTCTTAAAAACAAAGTATTTACATTTGTTAAACATTACAGTTGTGAGTACATCTCTTCCATTTTCCAAGAACTCTAGAGGTTGAACAAACTAATGTTAGACCCAGAGAACATCAGATAATCCTCCAAACTACAATGTGGAGGATCCAGAATGAGCAGTAGGGAGCATTTGAAACTATAATTTCAAAACATGGTTTCCCTCTTAGCCAGAAATGGAATCCAGTGATGATCTCTACTTTCAGGGATTTCTGCTCTCCTCCTTGTTTTCTCAAACTGTGGAGGATTAACTGAATGCAGGCAGTTATATGAAGAAGCATATATTCCAAAAACAATCCTGTGTTTTTTTACATTTAATTTATTCTTTACCCAAATTAACGTCATCTTAGAAATAGGCTGTCTGTCAGTAATGTTGATGCTTGGAAACATGCTTGACAAGGATTTACAGATGTTAAATATTACCCCAAAAAAATCAGGAATGGTTAGATATAATAAGCTTAGATTGGATATAAAATAGAAGATACTGTTGTTAAAACAGTGTTTGATGAGGGTGGAAAAATAAATCCTCGAAGAAAAGGTTGTTTCTATCTCAAGACCATGGGGAGCCATCTGGTGTCTTCAGGATGTTGCTGGACTCCAGCTGCCATCATCCCTAGCCGGGAATGAAGGGAGCTGGAGACCAGTAACAACCAGAGGTCATCGTGTCAGCTATCACAGCTCAGGACCCCCATTTCAGGTCAAGACATGGGGGTGGTGGGTGGGGAGAGAGAAGAGAGATGAAACCTCAGAGGTACACTGAAAGTTGTTTATTTGGCTTCTCTTATTTGTATGACTCAGCTAAAGAAATTACTCTTGGCATAACTTTTCAGATGATCTCTTTCCTTTTTTCTTATCTTGGTCTTCTAGTTTCTCAGTAATGCTTCTAGCATTCTGTACATTCATGTTTAAACCATTGTTAAGCTTGACTACTGGATCTCTAACTAAGCATTTTTCCTAAACTTTCTCCGTAGGGAACTGACTTTATTTTGGAGCAAACTACAAAAGAGAATTGACCCATCTTTAGATTCCTTTCTGGAGCGCTGCCGGCAGTTTGGCATCATTGCTAGGACATTGCAACACTTGTTCTTCCTAATTAGAGTCATACAAGCTGAAGTAAGTGCCTGTTTGGGAAACAGTTTATCACGGAATTAACCTATGTACTTTCAGCAGATAACAAAAAATCAGTAGCTTTTGGGTGCATCCTGTTGTTGGCTATCCTGGGAAGACATAATTGATGGCTGCCTTGTGTCATTCTGATGGCTGAGCACATGACAAGTTGAACACCTGAACTTCACAGCAGCAAGTCAGACTGGCTCTCTGGCCTTCTCACTTGCACTTTTCTTCCCTTTCACTTGCTTCAGCCAAGTACATTTCTTTCCCTTTATGTCTTCTTCCTGTTGGAGTTCCCGCTGATTCAGGCTGCCTATTTTCTGTTTTAGATAAGGAGTACTTGCACAGTGGAATTTCCTATCTTCCAAGGCTTCATATTCTAGTCCTTAGAGGACATTGGCACACAGTAGATTCAACTCTGCTTTTACTCTATTGCTGTATTGATGTTGCTCTTTTTGCTGTACTACTGATGTTTCTTCAGCGCCTCTATTTAAAAAGACAAAGGAAGTAATTCAGCAGCAAAACTTTTGAGTGGAAATAGGAAGTGATAAGGAATAGTATGGAAGCAAAGAAGTTGAAAAATCCTTGCCATTGTGCAACAGAAAACAATCTACAAGTAGATATCTTGATTTGATGTGGTTTTCAAACACACACACACACTCATTCTCTCTCTCTATACAGTCATACCTTGGAAGTCGATTGGAATCCGTTCCGGAAGTCTGCTTGACTTCCAAAACGGTTCAGAAACCAAGGCGCGGCTTCTGATCAGCTCCAGGAAGCTCCTGCAGCCAATCAGAAGCCACGGATGCTGCGACAGACGTTAGGGTTCCAAAGAACATTTGCAAACTGGAACAATCACTTCTGGGTTTGCGGCGTTTGGGAGCCGAAACGTTCGACTTGCAAGGCGTTCGACTTCCAAGGTACCACTGTGTATATATATCTGAAACAGATATATAAATCTGCTTCAGCATTCCAAGTATACTTAGTTCCTAAAAACTTGGGAATGGCTTTCACAAAATTGTGTGTATTTGCTGCCACAAAGTGTCTTTTATGCTTGAAAACAATTTAAAAGAAGCTGGATGGGGCTGATGGGAGCTGTGGTCTAATCTAAAACGTCTGCAGGCCACCAAGTTGGCAAATTCTACTCTGGCAATGCCTAACATGCCGGTAAAAAGAATCCCCACTGTAGTAGAGTGGTTAGAATATCAGGATGGCAACAGAGACCGAAGTCCAAATCCCTACTTATCCATTAAGCTTAACTGGTGACTTAGGGTCAGTCATTATTTCTTAGCCTGATCTACCTTACAGAGTTGTTGTAAAGATAATATGTGCACCAGTGAACTCCATGGCAGAATTAAGTAACAAATATGACTGGTGCCTTCTTTAATTTTAAGAAAGTAAACCTCAGTATGTTTTTTTGGGTAAAACATTGAAGTTGATTGAAATAAGAAATGCCAGAGTATGTATCTATATATAACCCTCTAATCCAGGCGTGGGGAACCTGTGGCCATCCTAATGTTTCTGAATTACAACTCTCACCATCCCTGGCCATTTGGCCATGCTTGCTGGTGTTAATGGGAATGGGAGTCCAGCAACATCTGGAGGGCCACGGGTTACTCAAATCTGTAATCGCTTCAGGATTGAGAGGGATAGCTCAGTCGGTAGAGCGTGAGACTTATCTCAGATTTGTGGGTTCAAGCCCCACATTGGGTAGATGACCCTTGTCCCTTTCAACTCTAGAGTTCTATGAAAACTTATCCATATATCTTGTCCAGTTTTTTCAGTTGTGTTTCCTTTGTCTTTAAGAGATGTCCCTGGGGGCTAAATTAAGATCTGACTTGCGCTCTCTTCTTTCCTATAGGCAGAAGAAGCGGGCCTTATTGTGTCTGTTTTGTTATGTGTGAGAGCCCTGCAGCTCCGATCAAATGAAAATGATGACATGAAGACCTCTGTATGCAAAACAATTGCATGCCTTCTGCCGGAAGACCTCGAAGTAAGAAGAGCATGCCAGCTCACTGAATACTTACTTGAGCCAAGTGAGGAAAGATACAATCTACTAGAAGAGCTCTACATGCAGCCAGATCAAAAATTGGATGAAGAAAATGCAGCAATTCCAAACTCCCTCCGTTGTGAACTACTGTTGGCTTTAAAGGCGTATTGGCCATTTGATCCAGAATTTTGGGACTGGAAAACTCTGAAGCGACACTGTCTCAAATTGTTAGGAAAAGAAGTTTCTGAGTCAGAGGATGATCTGAGTTGCAATGAGATGTTGTTCAATGAAACCGAACTGTTGGATGGTCTCCTAAGCGATTGCGAAGATAATAATTTTGAAGGTCAAGATATAATAAATCAGCCTAAAGAGAGGGTGAGAGTTAAAAAGCCGATTGGGTCCTCAGAAAGGTACCAGAGGTGGCTTCAGTACAAATTTTTCTGTGTTATTTGCAAAAGGGAATGTATAGAGGCCAGAATACTTCACCATTCTAAGATGCATATGGAAGATGGCATTTATACATGCCCAGTGTGTATAAAAAAGTTCAAGAGGAAGGATGTCTTTGTGACGCATGTGATGGAACATGTAAAAATGCCTCCTAGTAGGAAATACCGTAGTAAGAAGAAGTTGCTGTTGAAGAAAGAGAGGCTGGCAAAGAGCAGTCTAGCCAGAATTGCTTCTGTAGGCCTTGGAGAAAACCAGCCACTCAAAATAACACAATGTGAACAACCCAGACTCAACACGCAGGATTTCGTCACGTTTAGTAAGCTAGAAAACTGCCACTTGCAGGACAGGGACCTGTACCCATGCCCAGGCACGGATTGCTCCAAAGTGTTTAAGCAGTTCAAGTACTTAAGTGTTCACTTGAAAGCAGAACACCAAAACAATGATCAAAATGCAATGCACTACTTGGACATGAAAAACAGGCGTGAGAAGTGTGCATACTGCAGGCGGCATTTTGTTTCGGCTTTCCATCTACAGGAGCATGAACAAGTGCACAGTGGCCCTCAGCCGTACATGTGTGTGTCGGTGGGCTGCTATGCTAGGTTTGGATCAGTGAATGAGCTGCTCCATCACAAGCAACAGCACGACGATCTGCGTTATAAATGTGAGCTCAGTGGCTGTAACATTGTTTTCAGTGACTTGGGGCAGCTCTACCACCACGAAGCCCAGCATTTTAGGGATGCTTCCTACGCATGCAACTTTAGTGGCTGTAAAAAATTTTACTATTCCAAAACTGAGTTTACAAATCACCTGTCGATGCATATGTCAAATGGTGAAATAAAGGAGATGCAGATTAAGCATGAGGAAAATGTTTCTGGGGACAGTCTTACTTGCCTGTCAGATTTGGAAGTGTTTGAACAAAAAGGTCCTTCTGATCTGCATGAGAGTCTTAATTTGCCTTCGGGATCTACAAATTCAGAGGTAATCCAGCAGGTTAAGCAAGAATCTACAAATTCGGAGGAAACCCAGCAAGTTAAACAAGAAGCTATATCTGATGGAGAGGTGGATGGCAAAAGTAATGGCAGTTTAGGAAGCAATATTGCATCCCTAGCCAGTGAGGCTCAGTTGACACCTTTGACTGAAGCAGTGGACTGTGGCCAGGCAACTCCTGGGAGTGATTTACCCCGTGAGAAAGTCTTCCTTTCATCCAATTTAAAAGAGCGGTATTCAAATGTGGCTGTATATTTTGATGGGAAAAGATTTACCTGTGGCTTTGAAGACTGTGGATCAACGTACAAAAATTCAAAGGGCATGCAAAAACATCTTCGAAGGGCTCATCCTTACCATTTCAAACCTAGGAGGAAGCTAGGTCTGAAAACTAAAGATACTACTCAGTACAGTGACAGTCATAATACTGATGGAGATATTAGTCCAGAGCTCATATATCATTCATGTAGAAATACAGACTCTCCAGGCATTATAGATTGTAATACAAGTACTAATAGCAGAAGCTATTTAAATGAAGAACTGTATCCTTCTTCCCCAGAAACTTCCTATTTTGAAGCTTCCAAAGTGTCCAGTTCAGAAGATGCAATGTTGGAACTTCTCCTGGGCTTGAAGCATTTAAGTTTAAAAAATTCCAGTGGTCATATTGGAAATTCTTCCAGGTTGTCACAGTCTCCAAACTCTGAAGATGAATCTACCTCAGACTACTTCCCTGAAGAGCAGCAAGGCAAACTACCAAAACAATACCTTACCCAATTGGCAGCCAAGCCATTTTTCTGTGAGCGTCAAGGTTGCACATGTGAATTTGTGACCAGGGAAGCGTTGTTGACGCATTATGTTAGAAAACACAATTATTCAAAGGAGACGGTGCTTCAGTTGAACATGTTTCAACATCGGTATTCCCCTTTTAAATGTCATATTTGCCAAAGATCATTTACAAGAAAAACACATCTTCGAGTCCATTATAGAAACAAACATAAACTTGGCAATATGACAGCAACTCAGAAATTACTTGGTAATGAGAGTTTTGAGGATCTGGATGAGAGCGCTGAGGATACGCTGAATGATACCATGGGTTCAATGTCTGATTTCTATGCCAATACAGAGGAAGAACTTGATGACCAAGCTAATCTGGCTGAAGAAGAGCAGTGTCATCCAAAGAAAGATGAGCTTAGTTCTGAAACAGATCTGGAGTCTAGTGAAGAAGCAGAAAGTTGTATAACTGGCAAGCAGACGAAACTGTCTGCTCTGGAAAGCCACCGGAAAGGACTAGAAGCAAGAGAGGGGAGGGGAAGTAAAAGAACAGTTGCCAAAGGAAATTTATGCTACATTTTGCATAAATACCACAAGCCGTTCCATTGTATTCATAAAAATTGCAATTCTGCATTTACTAATCAGAAAGGTTTGATTCGGCACTACAGAACGGTGCATCAGTATAACAAAGAACAGCTCTGCCTAGAAAAAGACAAAGCGAGAACAAAGAGGGAACTTGCCAAATGTAAAAAAATATTTGTTTGCAAACATAAGGCGTGCAGCAAACGCTTCTTGTGTTCTAAATCGCTTGCTAAGCATTGCAGTGACTTTCATGGCCTGGACCATGTAGAGGATTCCAAAGTGCTTTCTGAAACAGAGTCCGTGAGATTTCCTTGTCACCATCCTCAGTGTCCTGCTGCATTTTATTCCTTCCACAAACTGAAGCATCACCTGATGGAAGAGCATGCTACGGAAGAGGAAATAAATAAAGAGATTGAAATTCACTGTGACCTTAATGGTTGCAACCGAGTTTTCACAACTTACAGCCGCTATTCTCAACATGTATACTTCCGACACAGTGATTATGATGGGGTCTCGGAAGCTGCCAAAGAAAAACTGGCCCACCTTAAAGATGGACAGGAGCAAAGGTGCTTGAAAGATAAGTGTCTCGGGCATGAAGAGAGCGAGAAAAAGAAACGGATCTATGACAAATCTGAGAAGAATAATAAGAGCAAAGGAAAGCAGTTATATAACTTCAGAACAAGGGAGGAAGCCCTGCAAATGTGCAGAGACAACTGCAATCAGACACAGTATCCTTGCATGGTTCGGGGGTGTCCCTCTGTAGTAAAACTGGAAAGCAGTATTGTGAGACACTATAAGCGTACCCATCAGATGGCCAGTATTTATATAGAACAACAGTATGAGGAGCTTGTACTATGTGTCGAATGTGGTACTGTGATAAATGACCCCTGCTTAGAAGAAAGTCAGGGTTCAAATAAAGAGGTAAACAGTGACTCTAAGCAGGAAGTTACAGTGCACCCTGCATATCAGCGTGAAAATGAAGGGCATCGTGTTCTAAACTCGGACTGCAATCATGATGATAAAAGCAGTAAAAACGGCAGCTCTTGTGGGAGTGACAAGGCCCAGGAGGCTGGTGTCTCTTTGTATACAGGCACTTTAAAACATATCCACAGTCCAAAAACCAGGTGTTTTGTAGAATGTAGTCGATTAGAGTCACCTCGGTATAAAACAGACAGCTTGCCTGGAAGTGACGGAAGAGAAAATCCCTCCTACTGTGTGAGGTCAGGTGTACAGTTACAAAGGGAGAAAGATGTAAATGACTGGCAGCGTGCATCAGCACAGCAGAACATTAAAAACCCTCCTCCCCTTTCTGCTGCAAAAGATAAAATGCAGAGGCAATCTGCGCCAAAGCCGTTTGATTTAAAGTCCTTCAAACCAATGGGGTTTGAGTCTTCCTTTTTAAAATTCATCCAAGAAAGTGAGGAACGAGATGACGATGACGACTCTGAGGATGAATGGGAGCCGGCTGGCCGATATGAATTGGGTGTGGTGGTACAAAAAGAGAAAGACTTCAAAAGGGATGACACACGGGGCAAGACTGCATATGAAACTGTCCCGGCAGCAGCTGTGTCCAAGAAAAACAGCGGCTCCAGAGCTCATGGGCAGCTGAGAGGGATGCAGCCTCTCTTATCCACGGACTCTCCCTCGATCCCTTCCCTGGAAAACCTGAGGGCCATATTGGACAAGGCATTAACAAAGTGTGGGGACAATGCCTTAAAACAGCTTCATTATTTGCGACCAGTAGTTGTTATTGAAAGACGTACGTTATCCTCGCCCCTCATAGACTTCTTCCCAACAAAAAAAACAGATCACCTTTGTGTGGAAAGTTCATAAATTGTTGTGTTTAATTTAAAAATAGAGAAGGAGGGGAGACTTCTTCCACTTCTGGGGGGGGGGCGGGGGCGGGGATGCTAATTGGTTCAGTGCACATGGTGTTGAAGTTAGATTAGGCTGTTCAATTCCATGAATGTATGACATCTGTCTACAGTATTGGCTGAGTTAATATAGCTCCCCTGTTAAATTAAGAGAGAGAGAACAGATATTTTGGTGCTAATTAACAGAATATGGAGCTGGGGGCTTCCTCTTGCAGAGTAAATGTGCATGATTGTATATGGAACAAATACTTAGGGTACCAAGCGGGGGAGGGAGGGGGGAGGGAGGGAGGATGGAACTTCTTACTTGACTTGAATGTGCACCTCAGGGTGCTTTGTGTAACATATTGTACACTACAGCATCTTATATTTTTTGAGTTATGAGTTTCAATAAAAATGAATTTTTTTCACCCATTTTGGTTGACTGTACAGCCAGATGTCCATAGCTTAAGACAAATTTTAAACTGAGTGTTGCATGTAGTGATTTTGAATCCTGACACATTACCTGAATGTGGCAGTGTGTTTTATGTCTGACTGGGGGTGGAAATGTCAGGGTAGCCTGTTGAACAGGAAATGGGGAAACTCCTAATAAGAATTGATGTAAAATTTTATAAGGTATGTCAAGAAGGAAATGAGCAACTAGGTAAAGACATGATGCTCCTTTAAACAAATAAGAAATTTCCCGTTATATGGATATTTTTAAGAAAAATATGGAAAAAGACCAAATGTAGGTGGAAAGAACATTGTAATAAACTTTCATTTAGATATATTTTTGGGAAAGCTAATATGCCTAATTATCCCGCCATTTTTGTGGCTATCAGTTTTTGGTGTTAAAACATAACAAAACACTGAGCGCATTTGCTTCTTCATTTCTTGTGTCCGGTAGTATAATCTTAAAAGTATATCCTGATGTCTCTTCCTCCCCGCCCCCCTTTCCAAGGAGCTAAGAGCACAAAATCAATTTATCAGTAAGGCGTAAAGGATGCTTTATAAAAAAGGTATGCTGTGTTACCTTCTGTATACATTTCTAAATTCTTACTATATAGTAAGTATTGTTGGCCACCATTATATTCAGTAACAGTTTTCATATAACAGTTGCATACAGAAAATTGTGTGCTATTTCCCGTTAGTGTTGTTTGTTGGAAGGATAAAATGATTCTCAGTTGTTAAAATTTTTTTTATTATGTACAACTAATATTCTCTTGAGGAACTGAGGTGTCTATTATTTTTCCACTTCCCTTTCCTTAGGATGCTGCTTTCTCCTTTTTTGGAATGTTGCAATTGCATCATTGATTACATAAAGGGACACTGGTAACTATTAATATCTCTTTCCCAATTGCTTCTAATTTTATTTTAATTTTTTGCTTTTAATTTTTTGAATCTTCTGGACAAATGTCCTCTGCCCAGCTTGTGTGATAGCAGCTATGTTAAGCACTGTGGGTTATAAGCATAAGTTGGAATAATTTTCTCACTGATTATGAGCTGACCGCACTGCATGTTGTGCAACAAAATGTCATATTGATGCCAATTAGTTAACTAACATGTTACAAGAATATGAGTGGATTTGCAAGATCAGACAGATTCTCAAACATGGCCAAGCCACATACCCTGACAAGTTCACAATTGGGGCCTCAAGGCAGCTGTTCCTTATCTCCATGTTGTATGATAATCAGTAGTGTAACTGACTATGAAGAAGTTCAAAAAGTACAGCCCTTTATTAATGCTAACCTGAATCTCAGATTTATGTCCTCATGCCAGTTGCTAAACAACAAAAACACTTCTTTTTGGCTCATGACCACTTTGGCATATTAAACAAGGAAGAAGGAAGCTTAACAGTTCCTCTGAGGGCCCAAGCTCATTGTGTCAGCATTCTTATTTGTGAAGCATTTCTGCTTTTACATATCAAGTTGACTACTCTGTTTCAGGGTTTCGTAGGAATTGGTAAGGAACACAATGACCCACTGCCGCAATTTCTAACACTGTTCCTTTATAATCTTAGGATTGCCACATTTATCTGTGTGTTCTATGCATTTGTTTTGCTAAACTTTACATGGTCAGCAGCATACAAGAAGCTTCTAGGAATTTCCAATAATTAAGGCTTTCTAGGTTTAACAGTATTAATACCGTTATAAATCTTATGAAATAAGTTTAATACCTTCAGGGGCATCTTAGGCAACTTATTGCCAGTATTTGGCCTTTTGATTTCAAGCTGTCTCTATTTTCTGCTTAACCATAGATCAGGCATAGGCAAACTCAGCCCACCAGATGTTTTGGGACTCCAACTCCCATGATGCCTAGCTATTAGGACCAGTGGTCAAGGATGATAGGAATTGTAGTCCCAAAACATCTGGAGGGCCGAGTTTGCCTACGCCTGCCATAGACCATAAAGCAGAAAACTAAAAATACTGTATTGAATATAGGGTAGGATTTAACGTAACACTAAGTGGGAGTATGAGCAGGAAACAACGTCCGCTCATGCAGTGGGACTTTTCAACCTGTGCCCTCTTCCCATAGTACCATAGGATTGTTGGAAGGGACCTTGAGGGTCATCTAGTCCAACCCCCTGCAATGCAGGAATCTCTGCTAGATCATAGCAGATGGCCATCAACCTCTGCTTAGCAAATAATAAAGGACCTTTCTGCTCTAAGCACAAGTGAGTAGCAGGATTGGATAATTCAGTGAATGAAGCACCGGCTCTCCCTGTAAGGAAAGACAGCCACACTGCAGAGGAGGCAGGAGTGAGAGCTGTATTGTCCTTTCCCTATTAGCCACTCGGCTAAGGAAAATTGCAGCTGCTTCCAACAGTGACAGTCAAATAGGTAACCCCCTCATGCACCCATCCCATTGTGGAAGGAGGGGATTTCTTATCAATCCTTAATTGCTGCTTCCTTTAACATACATTTTGGGGGGAGTTAAAGTTTAGCCAATAAAGCTGGGTCACTTACTCTCTTCTTGAAGAAGTTATATTCTAGGATAAATTGGCATATGAAAAATCTTCACTATTAATACTCTGTGTGCTTTGATATATGTTTATAAAAACATTGACTGCAGTGCCCTCCAGCTGCCACCCCAAGCCATTTGAGTATTCTGCGGCACACTCTAGGGTGCATATTCAGTTCATGAAAACTGCTAGACAGGTCTAGTTCACATACTCCTCAAACCTGTTTGCCAACCCTCCAGAGTAGTGCATATGGGGAGGGGGGGCTCATTGCATGAGTGGACTTCATTCCACGCACACAACTTAGTTGAATCCCACCCTGGGTTTCCAAAATCATAGATGAAGCTGCATCTCTTTTGCTCTACTATGTAAGATTGGGAGAGCTCCTTCATGCTTCGGTCCACAAGGTATCTGAATTCTAACGGGAGTAAGTGAGGTATGCTGTATCTCCTGATTCAGAGAGAAGAATTCAGAGGCCACAGTAAGCAGTCCGTGCCAGTTCCATCAAAGGCTTCATGACCACCTTAAAAACCTGTTTCTTAACAAATGCAATTGGCTGCATCAACTCTTCCACTCAGAGAGAATTCTTGCTACTCCAGAACAATTCTTTCCATTCTAGTCACCATTAATGCTGATAATCTATACTACAAAGAAAGAAAAATGGGCCTAAATATTTCAGGGACTTTGAGATGACCAGCATTTATTTTACTTTGTAAGGTTTCTGCTACAGTGAATATTAATAAGTTGCAGCATTTGATAATTTTATTCTTTCAAAACTTGTGTGTGTGGCATACATTTTTCTGACTTACTAACATTTTGACACTTCGTATAAACATTTTTCTAAATGTCTAAATCGGACAGATATTTTCTGGACTGAAAAAGAATGGATAGCAAACAAGTTTCATGAAAGTGTAAATTAGCTAAATCTGCCTTTACAGCTTCTAGTATTCTCCAGTGGTCCTCTTAAATGTCGTGATTCTTCGACATGTGACCAACTTCTGAAACAGCTTTTATTTGTTTCTTTAAGGGTCTGTCTTTAGCTGTCATTTTAAAAATCCTTCTTGCCTTACCTTATATTCCTGTCTGTAGTAACTTGCCAAAATCCATGCATTGTCTTCAGTTTTTCACTTAGAATCACTTTCCACTTCCCAAAATGATACCAATTTAATTGTAATAAATTTTTATACTGCTGTTTAGGCATTTTGGCATTCTTTTGGTTCTTTTACCTTGCACACCTACAGAAGTCCTGCTTTTAGCAAGCGATGCTGAAGATCAGTCACATCCTTGCATGTTGTGACGTCTTAAGAGCTAAATAGGTCTGATTAATTTGAACTAGCAGCGCTAGCTACAGTTCACTCAGGAATTTGTAACTTTTTTTATAAGAAAGTGATTTATGTTGGATGCAAAAAATGTATAGGATGCAAGATAGATTTATTGCTATGATGTAATGTGTCCTGGAATCTACCTTTGGAGTGAATATGTTAAGTGCAGTTACTAGAATCGGTATAGATTGGTTTGGAATTTTCATAAGCCTCTATTGGGGGAACTTGTGATCTTTCAGATGTTTTGGGACTCCCACATTGACCCCAGCTGCATGACCTATGATCAGAGCTGATGGGAGTTTGGAGTCCCAGCTTTAGGCCACAGGTTCCCTAGCCTTGCTCTGTAAGGTGAAGATGGTGTCTTCCACCCTATCCTACCCCACCCAGAAAAGAAAACATGATGCTGGTCATCAGAATCCACTACAGTGGTACCTCGGGTTAAGTACTTAATTCGTTCCAGAGGTCCGTTCTTAACTTGAAGCAGCACTTTAGCTAATGGGGCCTCCTGCTGCTGCTGCGCCGCCGGAGCACAATTTCTGTTCTCATCCTGAAGCAAAGTTCTTAACCTGAGGTACTATTTCTGGGTTAGCGGAGTCTGTAACCTGAAGCGTATGTAACCTGAAGCGTATGTAACCTGAGGTACCACTGTATATGAATTCAGAGTTGTTTCCCAAACCCAGGAACGGCTAAACTCTTGACTTGCTGGACTGCAGTTTCCATCATATCTGAAGATAGGCTATGACAAGGGCTAGTAGAAGTGCAGCAACATCTGGAAGACCCCAGGTTAGCCATCCCTGCCCTAATCTATGATAATGGGAACTCGTAGTTGTGCATGTGGCAGATAAATGCACTCAACTCAGGCTCACATTCACCTGTTCTTATGCTGTAGGGCTGAGTCCTGGTCTAAGAATAGTGATGGTGGGGCTAAGCCTTAGAAGAAATTGCTTGATTATCATGCTGTGTACATGCATTCGTCTAGGCATTGGGATGCAATTAGCTCTCCTGCACCGGTTTTTGTTGCAAATTTTATAAAGAGGTAGACCTACAACATAACAGTGGGGAACCTCTGCTCTGTGGGCCTGATCAAGCCAGACCTCCCCATTTAGCTAACCATGGCATTTTGGCTAAAACACACCTACCTGCCCTATCCCTG